GGTTAGGGTTGTCGGGGCGGAGAGGGATTTGGTGGTTAGGTTGTGTTCGTAAGTTTTGAGGTTTTGTTGAGGTGGTCGTGGTGAGGGTGGTCGTGGTAAGGGTGGTAGTATGTTGATGTCTATTGTTGAATGTGATTTGTTTATTTATTGGGTCCAATGCTTGTTGTTTGGTCAGTAGAGGTGGAATACGGGCCCTATGGCTGGATAGGTTCTGTTGGCGGGTACTAGGTGGTTAGTATAGTAGGTATGGTATAGTAGGTATGGTATGCAACTTGGGTAAGGTTGTATGACGTGCCTGCGTGTATGGGGTGTAGGTGTAGGTGGAGGGTGTTTGGATCGGAGGTAGGGCATGTAGAAAGGCAAGCAGATGCTGGCTACGAGTGATGTTTGGATGAGGATTCTGGTAGGCATTGTGTCACAGTGAGTAGAGGTGTTGTTGATGTGATGAAGATGTATGTAGTGGAGGGTGCTTGAGCAGATAACTATAGATGTATTATCTGCCTGAGGCTTTAAGGTACAACAACCCTATGAACTGGACAGCTTCTTGACTTGCTTCATAGAGATAGTGGCAGTTGACAACTCCCTCCTCCTGATTGGCGCCCGCGAGTCTCATGACCCCACGATTTCGGCCCCAATCATCGATAGTGCTTCCTCCAGCTGCCGCCCGATTGGACCCGAGGCTGGCTCGGGCCTGCAGATAACTTAGCAGAAGGGAGACTAGTAGCATACTTTGCAGTTAGCACTCTCCCTGATGATGCGAAAAAATGCGGGGTCCCGATGTGGGGGTCGGAAAATAACCTGGAGTAGGCTCCAACATAGCTGTCATGGTGCATCTCTCCACCTTCAAGCATCCAGATAAGCTAACATCAGGCCACACTCGCAGAATGCAATCAACCCCCTAGTCATCATGGACAGGCCTTCCAAGCGGCCGCGGCTGTCAATGGCCTGCAACATCTGTCGTCAGCGCAAGGTCAAATGCGATGCAGAGTATCCCAAGTGCCGCAATTGCCGCCTGCGCAACCAACAATGTATCACCACCGATCCCCAGCGACCAGGGGTGACTGGAATTCGAGAATGGCTGGATATACCGGACAAACAGACTCCTCAGAATGATGATCAGCCTCAGCATCCGGCAGTCAGTGATCAGAATCACCAGGAAGCGACCGATACCCCACAGAAGCTGTCGCCAAATGAGGTGTCGCCCGTGCATCATCCGTTCGACGTCTCCTTCAACGTAGAACATGGCACCGACAAGGTCAAAATTATGGGTGGAAGCAGTTCGCAGTGTTTGGCGAAATCTCTCGATGTCTACTTCAAGGCCGCCCGATTGAAACCAGTATCGGGCTGCTTCCGGTATGGGATGAGACACGCGGAAGAACTAGACCTGCCGCTATCTCTGTCTTTGCCGGAGCTACCAGACAGTGACCGACGAGAGCGCTATTTGTCCGCCTATATCACTCGCATACACACTCTCTATCCTATCTTTAACACAACCCGACTTCGCGTGGGTACTGATCTCTTCGCCACGGCGGGTGGCTTCACCAACCTTCCGCGCGAACAAATTCCGCGAATCGTATCAGCGTACTTGATCATGAGTTTAGGAGCAGACGAGATAGGCCAGGGGGCAACAGTGGACGGAGATCGCTACTTGCAGGCAGCGGCGTGTCTGCTGTCTCATGTTATCATCATCCCGTATCTCCCGACCGTGCAGACATTGCTTCTTTTCACCATGGCATACCGCGGGCGGAACCAGGAAGGTCTAGCATGGCAGACTCTAGGCATGGCTATTCGGACTGCTTATACGCTGGGAATCAACCGGACTTCTACCTCCAACTCCGAAGGGAAGAACATCGAGCGTCGCGTGTGGGCCGTGTGTTGGTGTCTGGAGAAGATGATGCATCTGGAATCGGGACGGCCGACTGTCATCGGATATCAGCATCCTAAGCCAGAGAATGCTCTAGGAGAGAGTAAGTTCCTGAAGTGGCACGTCGAGCTTGGAGAATACCAAGGCAATATCAGTCATCATCTGTACAGTCATCAATCAGGGACAAGGGATGTGCGACAGATCCTCTTAGACACAGCGCGACTAGACCGCGAACTGTTGTCCTGGGCGAACCGGGTACCTACCGACATGCGTCCGGGGAGTGATATCTTCTGCGCAGACGAGGAGTTTCATGCAGCTGCTTTTTTGTCTATCCAGTATCACAGCACCCTGATCTCGCTGCATCGCGCCGCCCTCATCGCCCCGACATCGAGTTTTGAGGAGGAAGTGGCGAAATATTGCTCCGATGAGCCATCGCAGTTTCGAATGCGTCATGGAGAGTCAATCTGCGTGAGCAGCGCTCGAGCGATTGCCAAGCTCAGCGTCCAGCTGTCGGAACGCAAAACAGACTCGCAGACTATCCCGGCTGGCCCATCCCTTCTGGCTTGCATTGTACTGGCTATCTTTCTGATCAAGCATCCGGGTTCCCGGTTACAGGCCATGGATTTGCAAGTATGCTGTGCTCCCACTTACTGTGGAATTGAGTTAACGAGAACAGCTTCTCAAAGCATGTCTAGAGTACAGTAGTCAGCACCTATCTCAATACGATCCCGATCCGCGGTTCATAGAAGGTATGATGGCACGAACCATGACACAGATACAAACAACTAAGCTGACTAGGTATCGCGGCTATCTACGAACAATGCAGCACCCATCTCCGGTCCTGGTCTGCTGCGGAAGCCAAAAGGCGTCCACACAGTAGTGACAGTCTCACAAAACTTAATCCACTTCCTACTCCAGCAGTCGACGAGGCGCTGCCACCTTGGCGGCCTACTGAAGTGATGCAGCCGAGCGATCTGCACAAACAGAGTAATGTTGGATACCAGTCTCAGCGTGTGATACAATCAGCCGTATCTACACCTGCTATAGACCATGGCCAAGACCATCTAGACTCATTAGGATTTTCCAGCACATCAATGCTGGACGGGTTTGTCGCAGAGGGTGTCAACGTCGACCAGGTATTTCCCTTCGAAGGATACAATGTGGAGGAGCTGTGGAATTGGATGGGATGCTTAGATAGTCCGGGATCGATGCCTGATATACGATAGTTCTCTACGGGGAAGACAAGTGACTGTAACTAGTAAGAATTGACAAATGTAACATTCAATACAAACTACATAATCAAACAACGAGCGACTCTAACAAGCATAACAACACACTAATACCCACTGCCTAAGCAGCAACCGCAGCACCCCCCTCCATCCTCTCCAAATACGGAATCCCCGTCAACTTAAACACCCTCTCACTCAACACCGGCTCCTGCACCGGCCTCTCCCTCGCCACTGGACAAGGCTTCCCATCCCTCATAGCAATATTCGTCTTCGCGACATGTTTCGCATGCGGCCAATGCGTCGTTCCCAACCGATCTACCCGACACTCCATTAGCACTTTCCCGAACCTACTCCCCCTTACCCCCAAATAAGAAATAAAATAAACTCACTCTCAAAAGCCCCCCTCTTCCTAACCAAATCCTCCTTCTCAACCTCCCTCACCGGCATAAAGCAGGTATAAACCGCAAACCGATCCTGCCCGCCCGTCGGAGGCACATTATAATGCGGCGTGCGACTATCCCAGACGATCAAGTCGCCAGGCTCAGCACATACCTTCTCCCATTTTAGTCCGTGGTCCGCGAGCCACTTCATCCCTGCATCAGTGAACCCGAACCATTCGGTCGTCCAGGCGGGGATGCGCTCTTCGTGCGCCATTTCCTTGTGGAATTGGGCGGAGAGCGCGTGTCCGCCTTTGCAGACGATGAGGCCGCCGTCGTTCGGGCCGTTGGGGAGGAGGTTGACGAGGCCTTGGAGGCCTGGGATAATTTTATATTAGTTGGGTGCTTTGGATAGGATAGGGAGTAGGTGGTGGAAAGGGGAGGGGAACGTACATCTGAAACCTGGTTTGGAGGGGTCTTGGTCTTGGTGGGGCCAGGGTTTGCTTTTTATTATTAGTATCGTTTTGATCTAAGATGGCGGTGGTGTTGATACTCACTTCTCAGGCAGATCCTCCCGACTACACGCACAAAAGCCAACATGTTAGCATCATGCCACAGCAATACCAAGAGAGAAAGAGAGGGGGTAAATACTTAGCAAACCCCACATTCACCACATCAAACGAAACGATCAAATCCTCATCATCATACACCTTCTTAAACGCATCCACTACCCCTTCCTCACCACGAATATCCCACACCCACTGCTCATGCGTCACGCCGTAGTCGAGTATCATGCCTTTTTCATTCAGCACGGGCAGTTTGTCCCGTCGGACGGTGCTGGGGTCGTGTCGGTTGTAGCCGAGGTTGCTGTCACCAATGTCAATTAGTATTTGGTCTATGATATAGGGAATGCGGATGGCGGGTGGGTAAGAAAAAGGGCAATTACAATCCCTCCATATACGAGTAAAACGCATCCGCGTATCCATTCGCCCGATCAAGTGGAATCGCTCCCTTGATGACGGCGTAGCCGTCGCGGTTCAGTGCATCGCGGAAGTCGCCGTAGTCGGTGGGTTTACCGTCCAGGATCATGCGGTTTTGGCCTTGGCCGTAGCCTTGGCTTTTGGGAGGCTCCGCGGTGGTGGTCGTGGTTGTGGTGGTGGTGATAGTGGCTGTGGTGGACATATTGATTGTTTGTTGTTGTTATTGTTGTAGTACTGGTTTGTGTCGATGTTCGCTGTGAAGTGTGGGTGAGTGTGGATTGAGGTAAATGCTGGATTCAGTCTGTACTTATCTTCGTGGATTTGGATCTTTGTCAGATTGTCGTTTGGTTCAGGTGTAGTGAGCGGTATACTGCGCCGAGAGGTGGCCGAGTTTGTTAGGGTTCGGAGGGCTCGGGGCGCCCCGAGATGGGTTCCGAGGGTCGGTCGTCGCCGCGAGATGGATGCCGCTCTGATGGAACGATAATAACAAAAAGGTGCAATACCCCCCCTACTCCTTCTTATTGAGGCTAATCAGAGTAGGACGGTCATCATGACATTCAATATCATCATAGTAGGAGGCGGCATCGCCGGACTCGCAGCCGTATGTACACACCCCTCACCCTTCTCAATTCTGTTCAGTAGCTAACAAACAATGGATTAGGCTATAGCTCTCCGCTCCGATCACCATACCATAACCATCCTCGAACAATCCTCCCAGTCGCGCGAAATCGGCGCCACCATCTCCCTTCAACCGAACGCTAGCAAAATCGTCGAGAACCGATGGGGCCTCGCGGACCGTCTCCGCGAGCAAGGCTCAATGCCTGACTCCGCCTTCGAAGTATATAACCTCCGTGGGGAGCTGCAGACACGCGTTCCCTTGGTGACATCCAAGTATGGGGCAGATAGGATGATCTACCACCGCGTCGATCTGCATCAAGTGCTGAAACATCGGGCTACATCGGATGAGTATCCGGGGCAGCCTGCTACGTTGCGAGTGTCGAGTAGAGTGAAAGGATGTGATTGCGATGAGGGGGTAGTTGAGTTAGAAGACGGGGAAATACTGAAAGGGGATTTGATCATCGGTGCGGACGGGATCAAGAGCGTTATAAGAGGTGCAGTACTGGGAAAAGAAGTGCCCGGTCAGACGACGGGGTTAAGTGCATATCGCATGATGGTAAATACTGAGGAGTTGGTTGCTGAGAAGGGGTTCGTGGATGTGATTGATCCACGGATTGCGAGGACAACGATGGTTGTTGGTCCTGATCGACGGCTTATCATGGGTCCGGCGAGGAATGGGTCTGTGTATAGTATTGTTGCGCTAGTTCCGGACGAGAAAAGGGATGAGGAGTCCACGAGTTGGATGACTGCTGGTGATAAAGGGAAGATGCTTGCTACGTTTGCGGACTTTCCGGAGTGGGCAACGACGCCGTTGCGGTTGGCAGCGAGGAAAGAGGAGGATATCGGTCTTTGGCAGTTGAGGGATCTGGATCCGTTGGAAACGTGGTATCGGGGGAGGGCGATTTTGATTGGTGATGCTGCGCATGCTATGCTGCCGACGCAGGGACAGGGTGGGAGTCAAGCGGTTGAGGATGCTGAGGCGCTTGGGGCTTTCTTTGAGGGGTTCAAGGGGGGAGAAGGGAGAGAAGAGGTTGAGAGGGTTTGTCGAGAGGTTTTTGAGTGTCGGTATAAAAGGGCGAGTACAATCCAGGCGTATAGTCGCCAGGCGGGAAGGCCGGTGGAGGAAGATGTGAGGGTTGCGATGAATCCGGCCGAGTTTATGGACTATAATTGCTTGTATGAGGGGGCGATGGCCTGGAGGAGGCAGCAGGAGGCTGTAGTTGCTTGATTAATCACAGGTTGTTCTAATCTCATTTCATCCTGATATCACGATTCTGATATTGTTCTGTGAATATCTGAGACAACATTAGCCTATCAATAACCCGGATAGGCTATTCGATGCCCAATACCCGCACCCAACGCATGGATGACGGGTATCCCCAAGACCTCGTTGGCGCACATACGCAATCTCTCAGACATATATAAAACTATCGGCCAATTTCTCTGACGGGTTACCCAATACACAGCTTAAAGCGAAAATATTTTCTTAAGCGTGCTTGAAGTTAAACCCTCAAATACGCAACATGGAAGAGCCAACTTATGATCCGAGGTATATAACCCACGTGCCTCTGCAACGCCATCTCTAATTCAAATAGTCGTCCCATGCCGGCCCTGGAACTTGTCTATGTACACAAGATCGTCAACTGTCCGGGAAAGACAATCGTTGGCCTGCGCGTGGATTTTCCCCCAAACGGATCGACTCCACCCCATCGACACGGCGGCGCTTCGGTCTCGGCCTACGTCGTTAGCGGCACACTTTTAAACAAGATGAATGAGGACCCAATGAAAGTGATTCCTGCAGGAGGCTCTTGGTATGAAGCACCGGGTTGCCATCACCGCATCAGTGACAATGCCAGTTCGACAGAGCCGGCCACACTCATGGCTGTTATGATATTGGACTCGGAGGTATACGAGCGCGATGGGATGGCAGCGTTGCTTCAGATTGATGAGGAGTACAAGCATAACTAGAACGTTTGATTTGGCCTAACCACCCTGACACTAAGCTGTAGCTGAGGTGGCGGGTGATTGTGTTGGAGTTGAGCACTTACAAGGATTGAGATCAAGAGAAGTGATGTGTAATCGGCCATATGTCCATGCCTTCTTATAATGAATGGAGTTTCATCTCTAGGGATATCAGCTATTATCGTCTCTGATAAAAGTTTCCATTAGCATCGACCCGGAGTAGTATGAAGTGGTCATTCTGGTACAGCGATGACTCAAGAGGGGAGACAACGAGCAATTGGGGATGAAGCGATTGCATGTCTTGGCATCTTTAGTACTTGCACCCTAGGAGTAGTCGTGATGTTAAGAGAGAAATTTACCTTAAAATAATGCGATTAATTATCAATATCTACTCTGTACTTCTAACACACTATCGTAGCACCGGTTCGGGTTCCTGTTCCGGAAAGTTAGGGCGCAGGCTCGGCCCCACCGACCGAGAAGCTGGAGAATTTGTCAGGCCAGATGGCAAGATAGAAATTGAACGCTCATGTTTAAACAGACGAGTACTATCTAACTCTTGAGAGAAGACCAAATTGTGGGACGTAAAAGCTGTTATACTCATGGCGACCGTAGCAACTAGAAGCGTCACTCGGCTGACGGCCAGGTAAGCCCCAAAACTCTAGATCAATAGGAGACCAACTAATCAAGCAACAGAACACTATCCAAGAGAACATCAATTCTCACACCCTTCATAAATTCAAGGATGAGCTCCTCATCCGCTGCAGTGGCAGCAGCAACGTCATCAGAAACAGACGATGCCACTAAATCAGCAAAATCCAGCTATCAAATCGTCACCTCACACCACAACTTCCACGAAACAGAATCTCAAAGACCCAAATTCGACCACAACGCCCCCATCAGTGTCACCAAATCCCCTTACCCCAGCTGGGAATACGGCCAAGGAGTTCCCGACAACAATCACAGCTCCAGCAAAACCCACCACGAGATCGATCCCTACGCTGAGGATCGCCCAATGGTCAACAACTACCGACTGCTCGTGTCAGGCATCGCACCCCGACCCATCGGCTTCATCAGCACCGTCTCCAGCGATGGTAAGACCGAAAATCTTGCGCCCTTTAGCTACTTTCAAGTGGTGGATCACGACCCACCCATGTTCATTGTCGGGTTCTCATCCCGCCCTGGCGCAGTCAAAGATACGTATCGGAACCTGAAAGAGACTGGTGAGTGCGTTATCAACACTGTTTCCGAGGGGATGATTGAGGCTGTGAATGCGACGTCAATTGATGCCCCGTATGGAGTATCGGAGTGGGACGTATCGGGTCTGGGTAAAGCGCCTAGTTCGACTGTCAAGGCAGCGAGGGTTAAAGAGTCAGTTTTCTCTGTCGAGGGTAAGGTTGTCGATATTAAGGAGTTCAAGGCGCATAAGCCGGGCATGAGTTCTCCTGCGGTGGTTTTGATCCAGGCAACAAGGTTCTGGGTGCAGGAGGGTGCGGCGGATGAGGAGTTTAGTCATATTGACTTGGAGAAGTTGAGGCCTGTGGCGCAGTTGGGTGGGGTGTCATATGGAAGGATTTTGTCGACATTTGAGAGGCCTAGAAAGAAGTGGGATGATGAGGTTGGGAAGAGTGAGTTGTTGGCTGAGTTGGAAAGGAGGAATAAGGACAGTTCGTGAACAGGATTTTGTCTTGTTAAAATAGGATATTGGGCTTAGCATGAGTGTCAAGAAATATGCATACACTTGAGTAGTTCATGAAATCATGTTGATCTGGACGAGATATATTCGAACATCTCAGTAAACTGCAACCACGGGGATCGAGTTGTGGCATACAAGAGTTGTAACATTTATGCCTGACTATTCAGGCACCAATATCATCGCCAGATAAGGTAAGGCGGACCGTCGGAGTCATCCCGACGCGACGGACCGGCATCGGCCCTTGTACCCGACGACCAGTGACTGTTCAACGGCCATCCCAGAAGTACATCTGAGTGCAGAACCAAGGACAACAAAATATACATATCGTCAACATACGCTTGAATCTTGCTTCATCATGTCTTTCCTCCGCCTTTCTACAAGGGCTCTACCAGCCAATCTGCTCCCCCGCCAGCACGTCGCCCGCCGCACCATTGCAACAGCAAGCAAGAAGGAATGGCTCTGCATTATTCCTGATACACCAGAGGGTCCCGAACTGAGAAAGAAAGTTCGGGCGTAAGTTTACTTCTACTTCCATCTAGGTGTATGCCAGCTCAACTATCCTCGCTCACAACATCATAGGACTCACATGGAAGGAGTCGGCCCCCTCGTCCAGGCGGGAAAGCTAGTCGCAGGTGGTTCGTCTCACATCATCCTATTAACTTCTATTCGAGACCTCTTATATGGCTTTTCTCAATTAACTTCATCTTGATAGGTGCGATGCTGGCCACTCATCCCGAGGAAGGCCAAGATCTGTCATTCAAGGGCAGTATGCTTGTGTATATGGCTGAAAACTTGGAGGAAGTGCACCAGCTTATTAACGGCGATATCTACGCTAAGAGCGGCGTTTGGGATTTGGGAAAGGCTCTTGTTGTCCCGGTGAGTAATTTGCTTCCGTTCTTTTGGTCGTGGTACTGTGAGCTGGGTTGTGCTGATAATGGCTGCGTGCAGTATTTGTCCGCCGTGAGGGAGCCTTTGAAGAAGGATTAGGAATGATTATTTATTCTGTGTCTCTCAGAGATTAGTGGTGCTATTTTTCCTTGATGTATTAGAGAGCGGCCATCGTTGAGCACATATAATTTCTTAGGCTACTTAATGCAGATTAAGCATTTGACCTATCAAAGATGCTACCGGCATGTGATTTCTCAGGTAATTCTCCTAAGTTGCCGAAACTACTCAGACAGGAATGTGGTGTATGGCTGCAGCCATAATCTGCCATATTTGGTAAGCCCTTGCGTTGGTGGCATGCAGGTGATGGAGGGATACTGCAGACAGATTCCCAGCCACATAAGGCAAGAAGTTGGAGGCAATTTCAAGAACAAGGGACGATGGCGCATCTGGGAGCGCGTCAGACTGAAGATCTGGAGGTGGCCGGTTCAAGCCCGGCTCGTCCCATTCTTTTTTTCAATTTTTTTTTCCGAATTTCGGCCTGGTGGGTCCCATTCGGCCTCATACAACAAACGACCAACATGAATACGGATGTGAAGGAGGTATGGGAAGACGTTTGATTGCAATGATGGGGGAGAAGGCAATCGATCGTGGTCTTTTTTAGAATTTGCTTCTATGGCTCGCATGTTTTAGTTGATGTCAAAGGATGTCCCTTAATATTCCTGGTCCTCCCCCGTGGTTGGCTATGGGTATATCCGAAGGCATGGACTAATCGTTCGATGACATGCGAGTAAACGACGGTGTCGTACTCCATATGAGGGAATATATAGACAGGTACTGCTACTATGGCCTTGGCTCACTGTACTAATGTATCCATTCGACGCCTGGTATGATGAGCAACTAAGTAAAAGGGAGGTACATGATGTTTTTAGGCTTAATGTGCGGATATATATAGTTGTCAGTGCAGCCGACATTGATAGTATCAAAACAAACAATTTTGACTAAGCTCGGCAGTTTGCGACCACTAAGAGGCCAGGGAGCAATGGCAGAGATCATCAAAGCAGGAGCCTTACCATAAACTTTAGTCGTAGTTATACTGACTCTTATGGCACGTCTCATGCTTGTGCTAGCGACTACGCCTCCTTTAATGTAACACTATGTGGGCCCAATTATACATCAAATGGCCTGCTGGCCCAATGGTAAGGCGCTTGACTACGGATCAAGAGATTGCAGGTTCGAGTCCTGCGTAGATCATTCTTTTTTAATTTTCTTTTTTCACTTCTATTTTTTCTCTACTACTTGACAAAACATTCAGGCGACCGTTCAAAGCACCCGCCCATATCTTTGAACCACTTGTGTTCCATCACCACCTATCATTAATATTTTCGACGAGCTGTGTCACACTCTATGGCCGAACCGAACCTCACCCCAGGCTCCAAATTGTACAGCCATTTGACTCCGTACACCATTTGATCTAATCGACCATCACATCTATAAGATCCTCAATATCCTTCACAGTGACATTCTTTTGCATCTCCCGCGCCAGTGACACGGCACATGAGACAATGTTCTTAATCTGCAGTACATGTTAGCTTGCTTGTAACCTTAAAACTACCGAAAGCTGACGAACCTGTCGCCCATTCAGCGCATGCCTCGAAAGCGTCACAAAGTCATCGGCGGTAAATTCAGCCAGCTCCGACGATTTTGCGACATTGGTCAAGAAATTCTTCCACACTTCTAGTCGGCTATTGGTATCAAGCTCCGGATAGTGCATGGTGAAATGGATTCGACCTGTGATAATCGCATCAGGAGCTGAAAACACCTATCAATCAGGCCGAAACTCACTCTTGAATGCCGGATCAATGTCGCTCTTTCGGTTTGTGGTGAGTATGGCGACACCACGGAAACTATGATGGATATTAGCTCAGGCCGACATTTCCTATCAAGGGCTACTTACTACTCGAGTCGTCGGAGAAAGACGCTGACTAGAGCATCCCTCGCTAGGTCCTTGCCACGAGCCGAAAGGAACACATCTGCTTCATCGATCAATAGAACACAGCCCCACCGCCGGGTGATCTCTAAGATCATCCCCAGGCGATTGTCGACTATATCAGGGTCGATTCCAAGCTCGCCGGTTGCTACCACATACAAAGGGCGCTTAGTTACTTCGGCAACGGCTTCTGCAGTCAAAGTCTTGCCCACACCCGGGCTTCCAGTTAGGAGCGCAATAAGGCCTTTGCCTTTGTTCACAACGATATCGTCAAAGACCGCGTCATCCTGTCGATGGGCCTTGACAAGTCCATGGATAAGTTCTCGGCGGTTTTCGGCCATGACCAGTCGTTTGAAGGCATTATGGTTCCACTCTACATCGGATAACGCCGATACCGAAAGTTGACACCAAGACTTTTGTGCGAAGCTGAAGCCATTGATGAACGAGGCACAAATCAAGTAATGGTCATCAGACAAGCCGACAGTATCCAAAAACCCTTCTGATAGTACATACGGTTTGTTCAACTCCGACGATGTGTTATGAAGATAGTAACCAGCCGGGTCGACCATGACTCTCCCCAATGCCTATATAAGTGAGTCAGCGCCAATGTCCAGAATGAAGTAAGAGTTGTAGTCAGACATTAAACTTCTCGGGCATGGAGTCACCGTTGGCTCGTTCAAACTCTTTTATACCGTTTGCAGCCGTATACTCTCTGCATGCAGGCTGTTCGAGTAGCGCAACGAATTTGCGCCCGCGGGCAATGAGCCTTTCTCGCACGGCAAATTCCTCGTCATGGTATTTGAGCGGAAAGATGTTTAAGCTAGTTATTGTTCTCGCACCCTCATATTTGTTGATTTCTAGCTCCATTGACGATTTACCAAAGTCTTGACCGTCATGTTTGATAACTTCGGCAAAAGCAGAGAAGTATTGCTGGCCATTTGGACGTGACTGATAACTAGACATCTTCAGGTTGAAGGCCTGCTCTTCAGTCATAAGGCCAAACCGGGGTGAGATAATAACTTCCTTGGGCGGGAAGATTGCCCAAAGAAGGTCCCAGGTGATCTGATTCTCACTCAGAAGCGATTTCAAGCTGACGATCTGAGCTGCAAAGTCCTCTTCAACAAATTGCAGAGCCGTGCCAATATCATCGATAAGTTGCTGGTTCGGTCTCTCCTTCTGCTTCTCCTCTTCTTTAATACGTATCAGATCCGGGGCGGCCCAGAAGAATACTTCGGGTGTGGCCTAAAGAGGTTCATCAGTCAGTGGAGCTTCAAAAGTCCGTATGAGCTGACGAACCATGGGAGGAGTCTTATTCAAGTCAAGACCCTCTACATTTTTGAACAGATCACGAAACAAGTCTTGCAGGAGAGGAGACCGGATGTCAATCTCGACGTGGGAGACCATGCCCTGCTTTGAAATAACTCGGCGAACGACCATTGCAGTCTTACTGAAACGGTCGGGTTTGGCTTTGACTTTTGCCGTCTTAACGAAGTGAACTTGTCGGTCCTTTCTGTATCCATGTTAATGGTCCGGCTGTCTGAGGTTCGACGCAATGTTTCGCTACCTGCTATATCTGTTGGAGCGAACTATGGTTAGCACCCTCTTTACCAAGACCTAAGGCACGGTCTCAAATCTCACATTTGATCCACGCGCAACAAACGCTGAGACTTGTTGCCACGGTCCGTCATGGCGCGCTGGATGGATGGCTTGGAAGGCCCGTCTGAGGGCTTAGCCGCCGCCGCGGACTCGGTCTGATCGGCCATGTCGTTTTTGCTTGCTGATAATGGCTACAGTGGCACATGAAATGATAGAACAGACGAATTTTGAACGAAAGGTGAAAGAATTGGCAACTGGAGCAACTTATGCTTGGACAAAACAAGGCTGTCGACACTTCGCTCGTATATGAAATGTGGGCCAGGGCGTTCGCAGTGGGGGTGGCTGCTGATGCTGTCCAAGGCTTCAAGCTCATCCTTCCTGGTCCATGCGTCAGCACAGCGACAAAGTCGCGCCACCATTTCTGCCCAACTCAATGTACCAAAAGTCTTCCTTCTATTTTAAAAATGGAGGTAATAACCTGTTATCCGGGGAGTTTTTGGTACAGAACTTTTTCTTCTAAGCCAACAGAGGCTAACCTTGCTGCCTTCCAGGGTCTCGAGACGACAGGGTGTCGAGCCGTGCCGCGCGGCGCTAACCCTGGCCCCCCGCAGGATCACTCAGATTTTAGTCTGACAGCCTTGTCAGTTGTCACACTAGGTTAACTATATGTGACTGGTTATCCTCATGCAAGGTCTGACGTGTGCACCGGCGGGGTAGATTGCAGACTGTCTTCTGTCCTATTTCCCAGAGTAGTGAGGCGCGCATAGTCCCCAGCATAGAGCCTCCCGGTGGGACCAGACCCAGTCTATTACTTATAGTTATTATCTCGCGTGATCTCAGCGAACCATTCCGGTCCTTGACAAGGCTGCCGGTTGTGCCATATCCTCACAATGCTCGAGGAATCCAGCGAAAATGTGGGAGGAGCAGGCTCAACTGCCTTTGTGCGTGCGCTGGAAGAATATATCAATAAACCCCGATCGGCGAGAAGCAAGACCCCCCAGTTTCTCAAGAAACTGCAGGAACAACAACGTTCCGGCTCAAATCTTACTGGAGATGCCATCAAGAAAGACCTTTTCCTTTTGGACCGCCAGGCGACAGATCGTACAGCCGCTCGTGCCGCTCGCAAGATCTTGGGACCGGTTATACAGGTGCTTAATACCTACTCAGGAATTGTCGAAACTCTGGTCTCAGCAGATCCCATGCCTACGGCTATCATATGGGGCTGCTTGAAGTCTGTTATCGACTGCTCGCAGAGGTTCCTTGAACTCTATGAAAAGATATCCGATCAGATCAAACGCTTAAACACACACATCACCGTGCTTACAGAATATGAGGATTTATTCGATCACTCCGCTACGATGCGGGAGCTATTGCAAGCATCGTATATCGACATCATTCGGTTTTGGCGAAGGGTGGACAAGGAGTGTAACCGCTGCGTGGCTAATCGTGCCTTTCGAGCGATCGCCCCTTTCAGTACAGAAAAGCTCGATGGCATTATCACGAGCATCGGAGATACGGCCGACAGCATGAGTCGTCTTATTCCTGCCGTTCAGGAACGCCTAGACAGAGGAGAGCGGGAAAATGCAGCCGAGGAGCGTCGGCTTGCCGGTATCGCGCGAGAAGAACAAGCAGCACTTATCCAAATGTATGCGGAAGAGATGGAGAAACGGAAAGAAGAAAGGAGACTACAAAGGCAGGAAGAGGTACGAAAGTGGTTGCGAGATGGGACTATGCCACTGAATGGGAGCAACTTTCGCCACCGTGACAGCAAGCTGGCGCAACGAAGCCCAGGCACTTGTGACTGGGTATTTGAGCATGCGACTTTGAAAGATTGGATGGATAAAGATAGCCCAGCCTCTCAAGTATGGGTGAAGGCATCTCCCGGAGCCGGAAAGACTGTATTGACTGCGTCTGTTGTTGAAAAGCTGGAAGCGACCAGCGCTGAAAACGTTGCCGTCATATATCATTACTTTACTTTTGATGAAGAATTTCCAGCCTTATTGGTCTATCGCTGCCTTGCAGAGCAGATTGTCAACCGACTGGGAAAACAGACCGGCGACGTGCCAAAGGATATCCACAAATTTACACAGGAAGGTGCTACAACCGCTAATGTTGAAGATGTCAAGCAAGTGATCAGAATGCTCCTGGAAGAAATGGCCGTTACCTACATCTTTCTCGACGGGCTTGATGAGGAGTGCGAGACAGAGAACAGAAAGAAAGAGCTTTGCAAGGTGTTGGAATTTTTTGGGGAGCTGAGCCGTGCTATGCCAAGTCGCCTGCGCATTTGGTACAGTTCTCAGCACCGCACCTGTCTCGATGCTCCCCTCAGTAGCCTTCCATCCATCGAGATCACGAAGGAGTTGAATAGCCACGACATTGAGCACTATCTATTAGACAAGATCGAGGACCTGAAAAGTCTCGAGTTTGATGCAGGGTACATCAGGTTGATTATTGGTGATCTGCGTGAGAAAGCCGACGGATGCTTTTTGTGGGCCTCACTAATGTTAGACTCTATGTCGGACGCAGTGACCCTTCATAAGGTTCAAAGTATCATTGAGGGAGGCCTTCCCGACAGCTACGAGAAGTACTACCAGAGAAAGATGGACAGCATCCGGCCTGGTCTGAAGGAATTTGCTTCGTATGTAACTCCGAACGCCCGCGACGTGGTTTTAAAAACTGCTAACCTGGAGCTGCTAGGATTATTCTTTCCTGTATCGTGCATGCTAAACGTCCGTTACGTCTGGATGAGCTTTGTGAATGTACGGCGATGGTGAAAGGCATTGAAGGACAGAATATTGATAGGAGCCAAAAGATCAAGAAAAGCAAGGTGCTGGAGTTATGCCAACCACTTGTCCAGATCCATGAAAGTGATGGGCCAGCCGGCACCATCTCTATCTGCACGCTGACTCATGGCTCGGTCAAAAACTTTCTGTTGAAGAACCCAGGGATCTTGGCAAACAATTCCAAACCACCAGCATATGCGCTCACAAATGATGTTTTGGCGAATGTATGCCTCAAGTATCTCCTGCAGCCACGGTATCAGCAACTTCTTACCAGAGAGGGCGAAACATTCGTCGATTGTGATGGGGAGGACATTCTTAACCACCATCTTCTCTCTTATGCCGCCAAATACTGGGATAAGCACCTGGATGGAGTCAATTATTCATTGGACTATTGCCAGAAAGCCTCAAGCTTTATCCGAAGCCCACAGTTCTTCACATTGCTACAAGTCCAGAGTCTCTTTGTCGACGGTATGTTTGATAAACCTCCAGACCTTTTGAAGAGCCACGTTAACTAATGAGAGATATAGGTCAATTTCGCTTCTGGTACAGTACTTACCGTCCATGGGCTGGCAGACATATCAAGCGCGTATTTCCTCATTGGTTGGATGATAACTGCAATGAGCCCTTCGCAAAGGACTATGCATCCTTTGTGGGTGAGTGGGGACCACTATTGGACCGTGAGACAAGCATCACGGGCGCCTTCGCAGGCGAAGTCGATCGATGCTTTCCTGGGGCATTGGGACCCAACAACTACCTTCACAAGGGACCCAGCCGTTACCGAAGTCTGATGTTTACGGCAGAGACTGAGCCGATTGAGCCCCCAATTCGGTGCTTTGAAGGGGTTGACGAAACGGGGAGGTATTTGACAGTACTGAACCTGGAAAAGGTGTAAGTGCCACAGCCCCACGTTGTCGTTGTTCATGGCTTATTGATGTTATAATTACGAGTAGTAGTGAAGACAGGCTACAGTTCTGTTGCGAGCATTGGCATTTGAATGGTCGCAAACCCGAGCTTCGAACAACTCAAAAGTTATATGCATCCGCCTCAACCTGGTCTCTTTATGAATATCCCTTGACGGAGAATGTTCCGGGCCGACCTCGTCTGGTTTCCTTCACTAAAGACTTGAAATTCATGCGCATTGGGTCTCAGCTATTTGTCAAGGGTGTGGACCATGATTATACGTCCCTACCTGTGACCGATCCCGACGAAGATTATTTCGATGAAATGGCCAGCAACAACAATATGGTTGCTGTGTCAACAAGACGACATATCTCAAAGTCAGATGTGGAATTTCCAGGGGCAGTTACTGGCGATGTGAGAATTGTTGACTATGCGGATATAGCGATTCAAAAGCGAGAAGAAGAGGTAAGCGAGTTGGATCAAAGAAGTACGGCCGCCCCAACTTCAGCTGCCGATACACAGCCAACTACTACCGTTACGAAAAGCAGTGATGACGACAGTGATAGCGGGACCATTGACACCGATATCACATCAGAGTCTTCATTGAAGCTAGAAGACCCAGATGAGTTCCAACCATCGACCGAGAAAGACAAGGCGCTGGAGCTCGCAACAAAGGGGTCGAATTATACAGACGAACTCATGAAAAGCTCTTCCGAGTCTGCCGGAAATTCGGCTTATACCTCCTGGAGCGAGGGATCGACTGATCTTGATGATGAGGTGGAGGACGAAGAGGAATGGAATGATTGGGATCTCGAGAATCTGGAACTGGAAGAGCTCGACATCGAAGAGAAGGGAAGCTTTCTTGGCAGCGACAACGACGGATACAGCAGCGGTGATGAGAGGAAAGATGCTTTGAAACTACATGATGATCTCGCGAGTGAATTATCGGAGTCAGACAACGCGAGTGACGCATTGGAAAAAAGAAGTGATATGCTACCATCGGACTCTGATGGTAGTGACGTTGAGAGTGTCGGTTCTTCGACGAACTACAGCGTCTCTAGCAGCGAATATGGCTCCGATGATGAAAACCGCGGCATACTCGAAAACATGATGACCGGAAATAAGACCACGAGCACCGAAGGGACTCGTCGCACAAGCATTCGAGTGTACGATGCTAGCAGAAAAGAACGCATCCCCGTATTTCACTTTACCTGCTTTATTAAAGACAGGTTGTTCGACTCACCTCCGGTGTTCCACCCTTCCAAGCCCCTCCTGGTCTGGCCACTGGGCGATAGGGAGATTCTGTTTGCCAACTATGAGAAGAACACGTATTTTACACGCGGGCTATGTCGGTCGGGCTATGGCAGCTGCCACATCTTCATCAAGGCTCACTTCTCGAGCGACGGTCGGCACCTGCACCTCGCGGCATTGGAAGCTCGCGAGGCCGCCAAATCAGACAAGGAAGAAGCCTCCGTACTTCTCAGCCTGCAGGTCTCAACACACCGACTATCCGAGCACAAAACTGCTAGTAGCCCGCCTCGAATGATCTTCCGCACCACTGTTGAGCTCGGTAACACCCCTAAATTGTCCGTGTCCAATCTCCCTCACTTCCTAACATGGAGCGACACACATCTTTTCTTCACAAGCCGCAACAACAAGCTCGATGTCCTTCGGATTCCTCTCTTCCGTTTCCCGGGCGACAACGTGGACCTGAACATCTGCTCCCTACAAGAACCCATATTTTTGCCACGTTCAGTCGAAGCACGAAACATGTACTTCTTCCCATCTCAAGAAACAACGAAGAAAACTTCACGGAAGAAGGACACGAAGTCAGCAACGCTTATTCTAGGTGCACAGACATGTCTCCCAAGCCAGGGAATACTGGTACCTCGGCACATGTGTTATCCCCCGATCGCGGTATTTCTGCGTGAGGACAAAGATTTAGTCTGGGCTTGCAAGTCGAATGTTGATGAGGGTAGAAAGATCAACAATGCCTGTGGCAGGTTGAGGGGGAAGTTCGAGTCGTTCGATCACAACGAGGATTGTGACATTATCCCGTATTTGTTTTGATGTGAGCTTCAACTCTGGCTAAAATCTGTATCTGTTGTACCTCTATGGAGAACATCCCACTGCATAATTTATACGAAAGTCAGAAGACGAATCAGTAATGATAGAGATTAGGCGTCAAGTTAGCAGTCATCGGTGTCTACAACATGTTATGACAGTAGAAATCTTGAGCTACGTCAAAGTACTTTATTTCAGCTGAGAAGGAGGATTGCATCTTTTAGTGTGGCGGAATTGAAATCCGCAACCACCGAGTGTAACCTTTCCCCGAATAATGGACATTTCCTTAACTCAGTGCCACCAGGGATTCCCTTCTATCATTGCAAGACCATCCCCGACAGTTCAGTATTAACAACTAAACTATCAACTGTAAGAGGCTTCTTTCCTCTCATCGGTCCCCAATGCAACTAAACACCCCCCGGCGTCCAGTATTACTAAGACCTTTTCAAAGTGTCCATTCTTGACTCTTCTTTTCTCTTGCTGATACTCATACAATGCGCTACACTACAATGACAGCCTTTGGCCTGCTTGGTAGTGCAAATGCAGCCACTTTTTGCAGCTCAGGTCGCTGGGTCAACCTCGCCTCCATTCCCACTCCCCGTCAAGAGCATGGGACCGTCGCCATCGGTAACTCAACTATTGTGATCGTCGGTGGCATCGCCCCTCAAGACAATAGTACCACCGTATTCACAACCGACCTAATCCAGCTCTACGACATCGCCTCCAATACCTGGCGCACTGTATCCCCGGCCCCCTTCAGAGTCAACCACCCCAACCTTGCCTCCGTGGCCCCCAACAAACTTTACCTCCTGAGCGGTCTGACCGACGTACCACCCCCAAAAGGCCAGGATCTAGACATCAACTGGATTGCCTCCAAGGACTGCTACGTTTATGACGTTGCAACAGATACTTGGACCGAGATTGCTTCCATGCCTAACGGCACAGAGAGGGGCAGTCCCATCGTCGGTGTTCACAACGAGATGATCTATCTAGCCGGCGGAATGACTGTCCTCCAGACTGGATATTAAGATGCAGTCGACTCCGTTATGTCATTCAACACTACCTCTGGCCTCTGGCAGAGACTTGAGTCCGCTGCGGCTGAATTGCCAGAAAGCCGCCAGCATGCTACTGGAGCGGTTATTGGAGACACTTTCTATGTTATCGGTGGACGCCGATACGGCCAGATATATCATCGAGACACGGTTTTCGAGCTCGGTCTGCAGAATATTGAAGCGGGCTGGAGGACGAGCAGCGGCCATATGCCTACCTCCCGCGGAGGCATCTTTGGGGGTGCTGTTGATGGGAAGTTCTACATTTTCGGTGGTGAAGGAAATCGAGGTTCCAATACCGGTGTTTACAACCGAACGGAGATGTTTGATGTTGCCTCGGAGCAATGGATCAAGTTGATGCCCATGGCTGTTCCTCGTCATGGTACTCAAGCTGCGGTGGCAGGGGGATGTATCTATATCCCTGGTGGTGGCCTTCAGGAGGATGGCAAGGAGGTCATAGTGGGTGGAATGACGACTTACCATAATCCTACCTCTCACTTTGTTGCTTACTGTCCTTGAGTATTGGGAATGTAGAGCGGCGTGAGGGATATAGAGAAACGGGTTGTTTGAGAGGCAGTTATTTCTCGTCACGGACATTCTGCCTGGAATGATCAATGACAATAATTATAATTTCATTTACTTTCACAGTGATTCACGGACCAGTCTTCTAGCAGGCACCCGGATAAGATGCAGAGCCCTCAAAGCTTGGACAAGGCTTCTGCAGATTGACTGTTGACAGAAGCCTCCTTTGCCGTGTAAATCGAGGTATCGGCATATCTTTGAAAGGTACGACGTTAACGCTACTATCCCAGAAACAAAGCCCTGAATTGATTTATTCACGGCTATCGACATCTACTACTATTCAATTACAAGCGTAAGACCCAGCTCAGACATACACTACGAACGTATAATACGGCAAAAAGCCTATACCCATAAACTTATTGCATACTAGAATCTATGAAAACAAAGTCGGGTGTGTTGAACCCCTTCATGGCATGGTCAGCCCTTCGAAATGATGTCACATCCTCCTCGTCGCAACAAATCACACGCTCCACCATCAATTAGGCCGCAGCCTTGTACACAAAGTGGATAGGGACGGAAATAGTTGATGATTAAATGCCACCTCCAACAATGCCACCCCTTCTTCTTCCGCAGTGATCGTTCTTGTTAAGGCCACCATCCACACAATCGCTCCTTTCACAACCCTCGACCAACGTCAAGGTATAGTCATCGTTACAATGAAAGATGAAGGGATCCCAAAGACCAGGCGTATTTACTCGCCCTCCATAGCCCCCGGCTGTCAGCGCAGCCCTAATGGCGGAGGTTGCTTCACCTATATGAGGTTGATTATCAGATTAGTTACTTCATAATCACTATTACAAAAAGAAACGAGCATTTATGGATTACCTCGATTCTGAAGTGTAGATGCGCAATAATTGAATCCCGGTTTGCAATCGGCAGTGGCGCCGGCGTGGCACCCTGACTGCGCTGTAGCAAAGCTCGCCAGGGCGATGGTAGTGGCGATAATCGTGGTGAAATGCATGGTGGGAAGATAGGTGGTGTGCTTTTGAGGACTGACTGGAAGTTTATAAATTGGGATCTGTAGAATTGACCTGAGAAGAACTTGGTTGTTAATGGAAAGATGTCCTGATGAATGGCAAGAAGGGTCTATTTATACTGAAGGAGGGCCCTGGAGAGCCAATGCTGTTTAACCACCTCTCCTCTCTTGCGAAGAAGGTAGGAGTCGCTGATGTGGTGACGAGCTGCGAATATCCGGTGTGAATTCTCTATCACATCGCATAGGTTCCCGACCTAGTAGTCTTGTGTCACTGCTGCTGCATGATATCAAATCACGAGGCTGTACACGAAGAGATCATGACCTCAATTTCCTCTCTACACCGCACAAAACCTGTTATAGATTGGTTGAGAGGTAATTGTGAGACAGAAGGTCGTGCTCGGGCTTGAGCAAAACAAGGTAAATGGGAGTTGCTCTAAACAGTGGCTTGTTGACCGACCCACCTTTTCCCGATAGTTAGCATTCTTGTGCATCACGAAGGGGAGTGATTCGACTAGGTTGGGGAAAAGAGGCGGGGAAAAAAGAATGAAACTCATAATTCCAGTCAAGCTGATTCTCACTTTAGCAAGAGAGCCAGAACCTCTTGCTTGACTTGGTTCTATTGGTCTCTCTAGGCCAGTCGGGACCACAACAAAAGCCCGAGGGATTTAAACAGCTAGAAGAAAAAAAAGCAAATGTCGGGCCTTATTACATGGTAGGGCTGATTTGTTCCCGGGATTGGTTTTCGATGGTGCTTCTCCCATGCATAATGTATACTAGTGGTAAATAGGCTGTGATGTGATGCGACCTGAGACATGTAACTAGTACAAGAAAAAGAAAATCCCGGTTGTGGCACCGATAGTCGGTTTCTGAGATAGGGCTGGTTTGTAACACCCACTAACTAGGCCTGCTGACCTATTGCCCTGCAGTCGGTTTTACTGTAAGGGAATGTACCATGGCCAGTTTCGGAAGTAGGCATCAAAGGCACTCTAAATATGATGGTATAATTTTGTCAATAAGAGCCCTGCGGCTTCTAACAGCCAGCCTTTTCCAGTAATAGGAATTGAATCGCGACAGTCACAGAAAGAGAAGCATGATTGTTCGTTTTATCGTCCAAACACACAAATACACACACATACAAACACAGAAAGAAAGAAAGAGAAAGAGAGAGAGAGAGCATTGGCATATTTGATTTCATTCATTTCATCTCATTGGCCGAGTGCGCTTTATGCCAAATACTACCAGTGCCAATATCTGTATCAATTTTAGGAGAGAGAGGGGGGGCCATCGTGACAGCGCAAGGGTGTTTCCGATAATCCGATAATCCGGAAATCCGATGGGTGTACCCACAACGCCTACAGAACCCCAGAATATACAAGAGGTGATAAAAGGAGGTATTCGCCACGAGCGTTCCAGTCAAGTACAGAGCAAAACAACAATTCATTTCATGATCTTTAAACCATCACCTGAAATTCATCCAATTATCAACATGGTTGGCTTTGACATGCGTGGTTTGACACCGGCTCCGGTAACTCCCTTCACGCCGGACGGTGCAGTAGACTACGAAGCTATACACCGGCTTGGTTCCTGGCTTGGTGGCATTGAAGGAGTCAAAGGACTGGTTGTGCTTGGCCACGCTGGCGAGGGTACCTTTCTCACCACCGAAGAGCAAATCTCCGTCATCAAGGCTTTTGTGAGGTCGGTGGACAACAAAATCCCAATCATCGCTGGAATCACTGGCGAGGGCACCGAAGTGGCCGCCTTAGAAGCGAAGCGTGCCAAAGAAGCTGGTGCGGCTGCTGGCTTGCTCTACCCATCTCATGGCTGGCTGCGCTTCGGATATCAGCCCGGGGCTCCTCAAGATCGGTACCGCCGTGTATATGAGGTGTCAGGCCTGCCGTTGATCCTCTTCCAGTATCCGGACAATACAAAGGCGACCTACAGCTTACAGACTATGCTTGATATTGCTGCTCAACCCGGCTGTTTTGCCATGAAGAACGGTGTGCGCAACATGCGCAGATGGGATACGGAAATTCCTGTTATTCGGGCTCAGCGCCCCGACCTACAAATTCTCTCTTGTCATGATGAATACCTGCTGCACACTTCCTTCGACGTCGATGGTTTCTTGGTTGGCTACGGGAACATCGCCCCCGAGCCTCTTATCGAGTTGATCAAGGCTGGTAAGGCCAAGGATTACAAAAGGGCACGAGCTATCCATGACCAACTCCTGCCGGTCACGAAGAGTGTGTATCATCGAGGATCTCATATGGAGGGTACGGTCGCGCTGAAACATGCTCTTGTTGCTCGGGGGATCCTGACATACGCCACTGTTCGTTCGCCTTTGTTGCCGCTCGAGGAGGGTGCAGAACAAGAAATTCATGCTGCCATCAGTGCTGCATCCCTCAGCAAGGTGGTTCTGTGAAGAGGAATGTCAAATTAAGGATCTGTATATGATTGTGTTAAGCTAGAAGGTAGATGTGAGGGAAGATCACATCCAATAGCCAATGATAAATTTATGCGGCTTCTGTAACAATGGTGGCCTTATACAGTATAGTAGTATCGTAAGGCAACCTAGTGCACTCAACGATGATGCAAGAAGATTGTCTGGATTAACCGTGGCTCGGATTTAGATATCCTCGTATTCTACACAGACTACTGACCCTGCGATCTCGGACTTCCGGCTATGCTCGGCTATCCAGCCCGCAACCTTCATTCTATTTGGTCTGCAAATCCGGCATTTCCGTCCCCCTCCTCTCCCACTCTCTCCACTAATCAGCACCAGAACCCATCATGACATCCACCCATTCACCACAACGCCCTTTGCTGGCACCAGATCCGTCCAGAGCGCCCCCAGGGAAGCGCCCCTTGCTGACGACCGGTGACGATGCGGATGATGAGAATCGCCGGAAAGACCCAAAAATCACTCGGGCTTGTGATACCTGCAAAAGAAAGAAAGTCCGCTGCGATGGTACGCTTCCATGCAGGAATTGTGCGAAACGAAAACTCCATTGTTTCTATAATGCCAAATACAACCGGGGTCGGCCCCCAACCCCACCACGTTCTATGACGATCGGTGAGCACCAAGCCAGACGGCAAAGTTATCCTCCAGAGCAGAATCCCAATAGACAGAATACGGAACCAGTTACGCATCTAGTCGCCGAGTCTCAAATTAACCCTCGGGATTCACCAGAGGTCGAACTTGAGGGGCAATATTCCGATCCTACATCAGGATTGAACTTCTTGCACAGAGCATGGAAGAAACTGTCGACACAAAACGATGATTCAGCATTATATCATTTGAACAACGCAGGAAGAGACCAACTGCTCACTTCAGCTGGAGATCCCCCATTTCATGTTGATGATGCAGCTCTAGACGATGTGATTCCAGTCGCCTCCGCAGCGAGGGAATTGCAAGAGTTCTACTTCGAAACGTGTGTGGTGACGTATCGCATGTTCCATCGGCAACTCGTAGAAGGTTGGATGGAGATTCTCTTAAAAAATCGACAAGAACGACGGCCAATTACCCATTCGCTCGGAAATCCTAGAACTGCGATACTGCTCACCATAATGGCTATCGCCTCTTTACGCCGCCATAAAGTCAACGGGAAAAGGCCCCAAGACGACAACATGGATGGCTCATGCAGAAGTGATCGGTTGTTCAGTGCGGGCATGAAACTGACTGAGACGGAGATGGGGTTTCCAAAAGTTGAATCCGTCCAGGCACGGCTCATCCAAGTTCTCTACCTTCTTCAAACAGCTCGCATGAACAAAGCCTGGTATGTATTTGGAAATGCCTTTCAGGTAACACTTTCCCTCGGCATGCACCGGTGTCGAGACCAGAGGAGAAATTTCCCTTTCCCGGGACGACCCCATAATTACATTATCTCAGAATGCTACAAACGCACGTTTTGGGTAGCTTACATTGTTGACACCTATTTGAGCGTCGTGTTCGGCAGGCCTCGACTTTACCAAGACGAGAATATTGACCAGGATTTCCCTAGCATGGTCAATGACGAGGACATGAAACCGCAAGGGCCTTGCAACTCAGACAACCCAGGAGATTGCTATATTGATGCTTTGATACATCATGCCAAGTATATTGTAATGCCTCTCCATTGCGATGATTGCATACTTACCACATTTCAGGATTGCACAGATCATAGGAAAAATATCACGAGAAGTATATTCGATCAGCAATTTGCCCAACGAAGATCGTCTAGCAGCTGTGCAGCGGTTGTGTCATGATTTGCATGTATGGTGGGCCAGCCTGCCGCCACATTTGGGTACAGTAAAACCCTCCACCTTGATACCCAGTTTCCGGCGCCAGGCCATTGCTATGCGGCTGGCATATTATCATGGTCTCATGCATGCCAATCGACCTTTCCTTTTGAGTGAAGGAGCATACGAGGAAGTTAAAGAATGCATAACTGCTGCCCAGAACAGTCTAGAACTTCTCAATAGAATGGCTAAAGACAGTACATTATTTCATTCTTTCTGGTGGACATATTATGTTATTTTTTGTGCATTGTCTGTTGTCTATGTCTGGGAGATTCAGCGAACTACCCGATGCATATATGGAAATGATGATCAGACATCGAGCAAGCTCTTTGATCTTGCAGAGAAGTGTCACTATCATCTCAAGAGAGCATCGACAAGTCTATCACAGAACCAACGATACAGCATGATACTAGATGAACTGCGATCCGAAGCACAGAGATGCCGAGCTGCGATGGAAAGCCTGCAAAGTCAACGTCCAGGTACTTTTCACGGTGCTGAAGGCCATGTTGCAGATATTAGCCTTTCATTTCCGCAGGACCCGGGAAGCTGCCTGAACACGGCCTTTCTCCAAGAAGGAGCCATGCCTGGGGTGTTAGAGAACCTCCAGTTTAGTGATTGGCAGATGCTTGACTCTTCGGTAAGTGTAGCGTTACAACTCCATTACAGTATGCTAAGTTCACTTAAAGGCTTTCTTGCCCTTATTGGACTCAAATTACGTCTCTCCCACAGACTTTCCTGGAGTTGAATAGGATTGATCGTCTCTGGTGGCCAGTGGAACTCTTACTAAAATGCCTTCCCCGCTTTTTGAACGCAAGATACATCGGTGGAAATACCGGATATCACGGAAAAGAGGGCTCACAGCGCCGAGAATCCGGAGTTGCCAAGGCTGCTCCGTGAACGGCGCCAACTTTGCTTGCTTCCCCGGATCTGCTTTTCCTGCATCTACCCCGTGGGGGTGCCAAGAGCTCTGTTAGCCCAGACCCATAAGATGATCTCGATTCCTGCTGTTGATTGTCCTAATCTGCGCCCCCAAGACCAACTCCGTCAACATGACTGATAAGGACACTGCCGTGATGCACCTAGAGGACCTCCCAGGTCATGGAGCCTCTGCCGAGGATTTAGAGTTTCTGTCTAATTTTCCACCCGAGGCAAAGAAGAAGGTTATCAGAAAGGTAACTGTATTGATATGGCGCACGTGTGTGGAGCTTACTGACAAAATCATTATAGGTTGACGTATGGTGTCTATCTCCATTCCTTCAATGAGTGAGTTGCTGAGTTACAATACAGATGCGACTCGTTCCAATGTTTGTCCTTTTGTACTTAGTTGCATATATAGACAAAACCAATATCGGTATATAAGACCCCCGAAATTTATGCGTTCTAATTTTTAACACTGAACAGGAAATGCCAAAATCGAGGGACTACTTCCAAGTCTACATATGAGCGGCATACAATACAATATTGCCTTGTCTATCTTTTTCATACCTTATGTTCTAGCTGGTACGAGTCTCCTATGTGCGAACGGCAAACAAACACTAACGTGGCAAAGAGGTACCAAGCAACATCATACTTAACCGACTCAAGAGACCATCACAGTATTTAGGGCTGCTAATATTCTGCTGGGGTGTAATCATGCTTTGCACGGGCTTTGTTCGCAATTTTGCCGGCCTTGTGGTGATTCGATTTCTTCTGGGTCTTTTCGAGTAAGGTCATAGGCGCACGGAACACTTTTCGCAGTACTGACAAGTCATATAGGGCTGGATTTCTGCCAGGTGCTGTGCTAATCATATCGAAATGGTATCTTCCAAACGAAACACAGACTCGCATCGCTATTCTCTACACATCTGCTGCTTCTGGTGGAGCCTTTTCCGGTCTCCTGGCATATGCTATCGCCAAAATGGACGGAATAGCAGGCTATGAAGGTTGGCGCTGGGTAGGCCATTTCTTTAAATCCTTCTGTGATCCCACTTACTGATATCCATACAAGATCTTCATCATCGAGGGTCTTGTGACAGTTTTCATGGCCGTTCTTTGCTACCTGCTCCTTCTGGATTCCCCATCTTTATCCCCCAACTGGCTTTCACAAGACGAGATTCGATACCTCGAGGTACGACAGCTGGTTTCCAATAATCATAGTGGTCACCATGAAAGCTTCAACAAGAAGATAATCTTCAGCGTCCTGACCGATTGGAAAATCTATCTCCTCATACTTGGTAATTGGTCCAATGCCGTCCCCAACTACGCACTCAAATTTAGTATGCCTGAAATCATCAAATCAATGGGGTATAAGTCAGCTACGGCCCAGCTTATGACAATTCCGCCTTACACAGTCGGCGCCATATCAGCTTACGGCTTCTCCGTGTTCGCTGATCGCTTTTCATGGCGAATGCCATTCATCGTGATCCCCCAGTGCTCGCTCATAGCTTCATTTGGCATTCTGTTTTCGAAAGCCGCCAGCATCGAGAATAATATAGCACTATGCTATTTTGCGATCTGCCTTGCTTGCTTTGGAATGTATCCCATCCTCCCTGGTGTTAATGCCTGGAATGTGTGCAACATTGTTAATCCGCACAAGCGTGCTGTGGCTATTGGTTATCTTATCTGCGTTGGGAATGCCGGTGGTATCATCGGCAGTTATATTTATAAATCCGATGAAAAACCCCGATACCCTACTGGCTACGGCACCTCTCTAGCATTCGCTGCTGCTGGACTCGTGGCTGCCTTGAGTTTGGAGTTCTGTTTATGGAGCGCTAATAAGGGCAAGGCTCGGTTGACTCTGTCTGAGATTGAGGAACTGTATACTGAGGAGCAGCTTCGCGATATGGAAGAGAAGAGTCCTCTTTTCAAGTATACTCTGTGAAGTTTATCTGTTATATTTGCATTTATAAATAGAGTTGGGAGAAAGAGACAGTACAATGTCAAAACATGGATGCTCTCGTCACAGCTCTGGGATGTGTATCATCCTCGCCCGAAAGTCCAATCTTGGCCCTTCCTGATCTCTAAGGCTGTCTGCACCCACCGAATGAATTTTCCTGGGGATTTTTGACCATGATGAGGTCGCAAACATGGCCTGTATCAGCCCCAATATACGAAGCTTTCTCATCGGGCGTGGGCAACTATTCCTATGAAACTCTAGTATGATGTTGACATTGGAAGGCCCAACAAATTTGACGATTATTTTTGGCTAGGTAAGCAGCCAATGCAGGAAAACCTACCAGACAGTATAAATTTGCATCTAGTCTGACATAAGTCTCGCTTGATGCGCCTTAGATCTATATCGAGGTACCCCATTGAAATAGAGTTCTGGAAAGTATATCATGCTGATGCCTTAGATTCTTTTATTTTACTGTTCATCTACTTGGATGTGACGCCCTACTGCTACAATATCTGTCAACAGAGGGAGATATACTGGTGTACTGTGGGGTTTGTTTCTACCCTAATGACCAAGAAGGCGATCTCAGGCCCATCAACTCCTACCAGCAAGGGTAAGATGGGTGTTTTGTGTCATGTTCAGCGGGCAAACATATGATATTAGCAACGCGATAAATGCAATGACTGCGTGATATGTATCCGAAGATCGCTTTTCCAGGCTGAATTAAATCTACGCTTTTCCACATACGTATCATTGGCAGGGCTACAAATTTACATCTATCTTCCTGTGTCCGGAAGAGGGGAATTTTGGCTTAAACTCAACGAAACGACTTTCATTTATAATTTCGTATCACGTTCGTCAAATAGGCGCTATACATGCTTCTTCCATAAAAGTGTGTCGTCATAATATGCAAATAAAGTGTAACTCACAGGGCATTGCTCTTAACTTCATATGGTACAATATAATCATCTAAGTTTTTATGGATACGAGTACGACGTGGCGCACCCGCCGATGCCGTTATGCTGGAAACTCTTCTTCTTGGATAATCTGTTCGGGCCAGTGGCCTACAACTATATCTGGAATAATGAACTGGACAAATCCAGGGTCAACAATTTATTTAAAAAATCATCCCCTGTCGTAGCATTCCCCTTCGCACTTATGAACCACGCCTTGTCAGGTTAACATTGAATCGCAACGATCACAAACGTCTTTTGCGAGCATGGCATGGCCTCGTCCAGGCTCCATAAGTGTTTATTCAGTACTTGGAGTGACGATAGTCGCGTCTGGGATCCTTTTTTACTACGTTAGACGCGCGTTGAAGCGTCATGGACAGTTTCTTCAACGAGGCACAAGAACGATAGTGAACTGCCAGCCTCCCAACCGCAGACTAGAGTATATCTTTCCTATGCTCCCATCTCTTAATTCAACACTGACTGTCTTCAGCGTCGTCGCAGTGCATGGGTTAGGCGCGCACCCCGAATTTACTTGGACGACGAGAGGCCCAAACCAGTCTCGCGTAAACTGGCTAACGGACCTTTTCCCACGAGACTTCAGCAAAGCACGGGTCATGACATTTGGCCATAACTCTGACTGGTTTGTCCGGGCGAGCAACAACACACCGTTTGAAAATGCCAAAATGCTTTTACGAGCAGTTAACGAGGAAAGGCGTGAACACCACAAGGTCAGTCTTCAAATAATCGAGATAACCATAGAGAACACCTCAAAAGTAACCCTTTTGGCTTATACCGCAGTGTCCCATCATTTTCATCGGCCATAGCTTTGGTGGCATTATTATCAAAGAGGTAAGATCACCATGATCTGTCTAAAGTGACCTGACTGATCTGGTTCATCAAGGCAATATGCTTGGCGGAAACAGATAAACAGTATAGGGACATATTGGATGATACAATCGGTATCATCTTTCTTGGAACGCCCCATCAAGGGTCCAATGTCTCGCAGTTTGGAGCTCTCATAGCACGCTTGACACGGGTATTTGGATCAAGCACCATACTACTAAAGAGTCTCTATAGGGATAACCCTCATCTATCAGACTTACAAGAACGATTCATGAGCGTTATTCGGAGAAGAAAAGACATTAAGCTCGTCACAATGTATGAGAAGCACCATACGTACTTTGCTCAACTTATTTATCTAGGCTTTGTAAGTACGATCATTACACGCTCTACATACCACGAATACTTACAAAAAATGAAAAAGATAGTCGAGAGGAATGCTGCAGTGCTTGATGTGGCCGAAAACATCGCAGTTGAGAAAGATCATATGGGGCTGAACAAATGTGCCTCACCAGATGATCCGGCCTATGACGCAATTTGTCAAGGCATCAATAAAATACGGGACCATGCAGAGAGCAGAGGCTGGAAGAAAAACTATTTAAACTGGTCCGAGAGGTCAAGGCTCTAGCTTACAAGTTGTGAGGGACCACAATTGCTGTGGTACTGCTGCAAGAATAGACCTCGGCATGCTCCGACTCAGGTTCCACAGATCGGAACTCACAACTCGAATCCGAGTCAGATGATTCAATCATGTTCGAGTCATGCTTAAACCTGACAGTATCTGGGTTGCGTCATTCTACCACGATGTTGTGTATTTTGGTGGTACGGAACCCACCTCAATCATTAAGATGGCGGCTGCGCGAGACAATATCCTCAGACAGGGACCTCACAGGAAAAGGGCCTGCTTCTGATCCTATGCTCAATAAACGCCAAATCGGACTTGATATCCTATGCAACTTTTTGCCAATTGCGATGTTCTTCTGCCATTATTGTAACCTTGCATTATAGTCATCAGGAGTCGCCCCGGATTTCTAGGCAATGAGAGAACACGATCAAGTTATCGGCTGTGCGAGCTCAATAGCTTGTAGTGCGCGAGTCGCTCCCGTTTGAATTGCAACGTCGCCAGAAGATTATTGATGAATTGGATGAACCCAAGAATTGCAACTAGCAGAAGTATAATGAGCGGGCCAACGATTGAAAAGACGGTAAATCCATACGAAGCATTTTGAAATGCAACATTGCCCCCCAGCTTGGTAGCCAGCCCAACCTGCATTGCCGTCAACACTAATGCGACATAAACAATCGTTGCAGTAAGGGGTGTTAGGTAATCATAGGACAACTCAGTATATGTTTGATATGTGAAGTGATAACCTCGTAGAATACTGCCATGACGAAACATGTAGATTTTGTTGAGTCGTGACAGCCTAAGTTCGCCAAACAAGTAACGTGCATTGACATTTCCAGGGTTAAAAGCTCTATTCTCCAAGAGCTCCTTGACCAATCTAACCCACATTTCCCACGTCACGTTGAGTGGTAATAGGCGTTGGTCCTGGGCGATAGCAAAATCACTTTCTCGCTCAATTAGAGCAATATAAGAATATAAAAGTCCTAGGCCACATTCGTATAGATGTCTTTGCTGACAAACCCCGTCCCCTCTTTCTGTCTGACAGTAAATATAGTTGGACGTGCAAGGACAGTGTTCTTTGCAGATCAGGTAAGATTTCCAAAATTGATGGCTTAGGAGGTATCGCGGGAGCGGCTTCAGATGGATACGCCGTGAAGGTTCCCAGACCATGTGCATGTCAATCCTCTCATCTGGCACAATTTGCCGAGAGGTTGCGGTTTGATAGTTCAAAGGTCTGGGTGGCATAGGTCGGCCAGCCAACCACAGGTATTTATGAATACGGTTAAGACATTCGACAGAGAGATCATTCTGTAAAAAGCGGGAAGTATCCGTAGTGGGACTGTAGGGGGTATAATACTCGTCGCGAATTGCAGCAGGAGTGTAGAAAGTACTTGGAATAGAGACGTCGACGCTGAATGGTGGCTTCCTGGGCATGCTTATACAAGAGACGGTAGTGATCCGAGTTGATATTAGGTATGAAGTCGATAGATTGGAGAGTGACAGAACCACAGCTAGGGACGGGACTAGGTACATATGTTGCTTAGCTACCTTCAAAAGCCAAGATTGGAGGCTTGATTTGTTTCTCACTTGAACAGAGCCGCTCCGAGGAGCGCCATCATCCGGGGTTGGCTGGAATCTTCGAGACCGGCCGAGAGTCTGGCGTTGGCAGGGTTAATGCACTAATACTAAGGTTTCGAGTGGACCAAGGGAATGATCGGCGACCCAAGGTTTACGTTTGTCATCTGCTCTTACCATGTCATTATCGATTAGTCTATAATCACCTCTCTGTTAATTCTTCAAATCTTCTAATTCTCTTGATTTATAATTAGTGCAAAAGGGTAATATTAACCGTTCAATTTGACTAAACGGAGTATTATATACTACGGTATAGGAAGGGTCTCCATTACAGCTAGACATGATTAAACAATATATAATGTGGAAATATGAATGTTTAAGCTCAATCCAAGCATATAAGCCAGCTTTACATTGTAACTGACACATACGACCATAGGGTGTGGAAAATAGGGCTTCCCGTCCGCTCAGCCGTACTCAAGCCACACGCCGGGAGGTTAGTAGTTGGGTGGGTGACCACCAGCGAATCCCTTCTGTTGTATGTTTTTCTCTTTTACTTTTTATTTTTTCACATATCTCTTGTATTCACTTCGTTTTTACCGTTGATCGTACATATATTAACCCATTTCTCTGAATCCAAATACAAAATGCGACAATTGCTGCAGTCAACTTCATTGGGTGTGGACTGCAAAAATCCGTCGGGTAAGGTCACGGCTACCGAGCATCCTTCATCACCTCCAAGCCCAGCGCATTGCCAGGGGACCAATTATGTGATAAAATAAACATTGCAGTCAACCCTCTGAGAAGGTATCTTTTCAGAAAAACATGCCCACAAGCATGAATCCTCAAGCTCAGTTTTGCAGATCTGAATACTCTTTCTACATTCTGATGGAGTATAGAAGGAGTTCTACAAGTACTGGCTACGCACGAGCAGCTGATACCCAGATATAACAGCTTACTGTAGAATAACGTATTCAAGTAGTAGATCCAAGGTTTATAAACCCACAGCAATCAGACATGTGGACCGGATAGATATTGGCTGCGTAATTTCAAGATAATATAGTTAATTAGAAATACAAAGAAAGCCTTCAGGACTAAGCCTAGAAGGCATATAGATAAATTACTAGTATAAAGCTATACATCTCCACAAATCCTAAAATGGGGCTTTTAAATGAATAGAATACAAAGTCTAATCTTTAATTATTCTAACAACTTATATCTTAAATTTACTGGCACCCAAGACCTAGATACCACTGTGTCGGGCTCAGCGCACTCTGGTGAAAAGAAAGAACTGCCCCGGACGGGATTTGGATATCCTCAGACTTCGAAGGAACTTCGCTCAGCCATAGTTCGATTAGCTATTGTTGTGCCTACGCTGACTGTCTGAATTTATCTTTACCGGTAGATTATATATATTGAGATTTATAGGACCATACAATGAATCTTTCATTTGGGCTTCATCTTTACCATTAGAATCTGGGAGACGACCCAGAACACGGGATTCGTCATATCAAGTCCAGAGTATGATGTGAGAAGAGTTTGAAGGATCACTTCAATGTCTCCCCACGCGGATGTAACAGCAGCCGCCACAGTATTTGCCTCGTAAAAGTGGTCCGCTACTCCAAATATTTACTCCGAATCTGTTCGCATACTCCCCAAATTCTTCTCCTGTTGGCAAGACCCAGGATATAGCCATAGCTTCTGCCCGTGGACTCACCCTGCTCCCTGCAAGCAAAAAGCAGCCTAGACGTTTTCTCTTCGATCTCCTGCGATTGGAAAACCGGGAGTTCAAGCACCTCCCACAGCCATGGATATGTATCGACTAACTTGGCTTCCCACATGGAGCGCGGAACCCAGGTAGTGTGCATGATTAGCGAGGCAGCCTTGAGAGCCAAAATCGATTCTGGGCGAAGGTGCTTGAAGATCTCGTGTCGCAGTTCATTCGAAAGACGACTGAAAAGATCGTCTTTGTGGAGCTTCGTCTCATTATTAAGGTAGGTCTTCGTGTCTAACAAGCACTTGATGTCGTTGATCTCTGATTCAAGCTCCGGTATGTCGACTGGGTTTACTACCAGAATCTGGGCATATTAAACTTCTAAACCCGCATTGTTTGCTCTCAGCATATTACTTACCTCCTGCCCTCGGAGAGTCTCCCACACCTGCTCTACGGGCGGGTCTGGTTCGCCATAGTCAAGTTGCAACCGGACGTACCGGCCACCGTTGGCCTGTTCGAAAACCTGATATAGCTTATGTTCCTGAATTCCACCTGGCTGCCTCAGGGAGATGCATCTCTTCAGAACCTCGTAGCAAACGGAGTGAAACGGAAACACATGTGTTTCGCCTATTTCGGCAAAGTCGTGATACCTATGAGGGTTAGCGGGTAAACTGGAAGAGGAGACGCAATGCATACGCAACCATGGGCACGACCTCGTTCTTCGGGTATGGGATGTTCATATCTGGCAAGACAATGTTACCATTGACGGGTGATTCTAGTGTCACGGAGGGCCACGCATTCAGAGCAACGTACGATTCCCAGCAACGACCTCAATCCCCCCCTAGCAGGACCTCCAGCTTCAGCAAATTATACTGCCGGCTTGAATACTGTCAAAGGGATCGATTAGCTTACATAGTCAAAGTACCGGCCAGGTCCCGTCAGAAACGACCTAGAAAATCAAGCCACTTAGTTTTGTAAGACATTAACGGCGAGTCACTACGAACTTGTCACTTCCAGTAGCATTGGGATTTATTCCTAGGGCACGTAGTTTGTCGAGCCACTCGAGGTTGCAGTGCTCGAGGATGTCGAAACGATACGCCGTCTCATCGGTTCCTTCGCAGTCCATGTCGACTTGGCTGGAAAATGGACCTCCGCAGATAGCGCAAAAAATCGCCCAGCCACCCATTTTGATCGCTGTGCGCGTATGATATAGTGTTGTGAGACAAAGGAAAGGATAGCACGTCTTATATGATTTGTAGTCAGTTGGAGATTGGTGCCTGGTGCCTGGCGCGTGTGCCCGGTGGAGAGAGTCGCCACCATGCCTAAGCGGGACTAACCTACACTTTATGCCAAGCCACGCTTGCCTTTGGCTTCTACGAGCGGTACTTTAGAATGATAGGATCTACAAGGAGAGACATAGCCGAAGCTTTACCATTCATGCTATGGGATGGCATGATTGGCATTGTATGCTGCGTGTAGAGGCAAATTTGTGTGTCAGGTCTTAGGAGGTGGCGATGGAATCAACATACATGGCCGTGACGCTAAGACATTGCAAATTGAACAGGAGTTATCACACGCCATGCACGAACTACGTGCATGAAACTGATGAGTGCATTGCATTACTGCCAGTCGCTCAATGTCGCTGTACACCAGATAATTAAACTATCATAACCCCCCCCCAGTTAAAGCCGACGGACGGGGTTATCACTACATACTGCCGGTGTTTATTAGATCCTAAGGAACGACCAGTTACAGCGTCATTACAAAAAGCAGATCCCTGCACAAGCTGCTTTCCTCAACGCTTCAGACTTGTTTCTCTCCCCCCAACAGCCCATCCGCTGTATGATTTCCAAATATAATCGTGCTAGCATGTAATGTTCAATTGCTGATGCTGCAGAATGCAATGGGTGTACAGCCTTCAAGAAAGTTCAGTGCTTATATAGTAGCAGATGCCCCCCAGTGGATCATAGAGGCTGACCACACAGTATAGCTTCAGCAACGGCTGAAGACATTCCGCAGTCATTAGAGCTATATGTCAGAATTTATGCATAATCACCCGATAACTGGTTAGGGTAACTAATCTGGCGGCCTAGTAAGCCGAAATATCTCAGCCACGCCATCGATGCTTCAACCCTTTAGCACAGATAAACAAGGCACCACCATATCCCTTCACCCCTAGCTTCTTAATTATTCACCTGAGTCATTAAGCATGTTATCTTATCAAGAGTAACATTCCAAGTAATATTTATTTAAGTTTATAGTCCAGGTCCACATACTCTGTATTTAAAGTTAAACTTTACAAAGTAAATATAATTAATATGATTAAACATTGGAATAATAAATTTCTAGAATATTCAAAATGTTAGATTAAGATATTTTCTCTTTTGTATCAACTTTATTAACTGTGATTTTCAGTAGTAACTCAGTATATCCAAGATCCTAGATTTGAAAAGAGACCTTCTCATTAAAATACGCAATTACTGTCAAATCTTATTATAATCATTATAATATACGATTTAAAAGGATTATAATATACCTGCTTGTCTAGGATTCCTAATCTTTTTGAGAGCTTGTTTTATGCCCAGAAGCAGGGCTCACTGTTGACAGGAATTTCATAGCCGATGAAAAAAGATTGATTGATAGGAAATTTATTGTTGTAATCATTAAAGTTCTTTGATTCTGTGTACAAACAGTGCAGGAGTCATAATAATCTGAACTGTAATATTTAGTAATTTGTTCATGAAATTATTTGATATTTGCTATCTGGGTAAGTAAAGCATGATAGACAAGGGTATACTTAATGCAGAAACCGAGGTAGATTATTTTATACTAGCCAATATATCTGAAGCACAGAAGAGGAAAAAGACACATATCACAGATTTCAATAATAGTCACGAAGCCTATATCATGTTTCTTGTGAAATCATATTCTATCTGGAAGCACATGTGTTTCTTACCCTCGGTAGGGCAGGTTAGCCCATCTAGAGTTTCCTAAAGCACCCAAGAAAGTTTCAGCTCAATAGCTTGGCTTCATCACTATCCTTGTGTTCAGATGGCAAACTAGGTATTTCTCATGCTCCCACGGACTGCCTATTTACAAAGCCTTTCGCCTCCTCCACCTCGGAAGCCGGGACGGGACGGAAAGCCGCCAACACAGCCCTGATTAGGGTCCTATATTTCTTCCCCCGACGGAAGCAATGGTTTTCCGTAAAGTGACAACATGAGGTATTTAGTCGGCAGTCTTTCAGATTGTCCTCCCGTTTTTCGTCGATTTTCATTGCCTGGTTACAGACAACATGGTTTTCAAAGCACTGGCATGTCTTGCGCTCATGGTCGGGGTAATTGCAAACCCGGTTATGACATTGGTCGAGAGAAGCCCGTCGAGCAACACATCATGCAACCGTGAATGTCTGGAAACGATGATCACGGAAGTCCTAGATTCAATGGTGGCGCACGACCCATTCAGACTTCCATTGGCAGAAGTTTACAAGGCAACCGAGAATGCGCACCCGGCAGCCCTCAACATGATGACTCTCTGGCGGACTGTCACGAAAGCCAGCTCACCGAGCCTACTGGCCATCGACATCACACAAGGTCAGGCATACTTCACCGTACCTATTACTGAAGGAAACGCCACAATTCAGAATATCCTCTGGGGGCGCATCAAAGTATCCTCGCAATTAATTAGCGAGTTTGAGTTATTCGTCAATCGCGGTAAAGGCGAGGACGGATTCGCCTTCGATGTCGAGAATCTGGCCCAGAACTTCAAGCGCTGGCAGAGCCCGCCCACAAATCGGACGAAAGCGACCCGCGATCAGCTGGCGCGTATTGCTTCCTCGAGCTTTAACGCAAATAACAACTTTACGGTAGATATGGCCTCAGACTGCCAATTCACTGAGATGGGCTGGGTGGTAAAGAATGCTGCGTGTAACTGGATGTCAGATCGACCTACTGATTTGAATGCCCGGACTCTGGTCATCGATGAGGAACTGGGAATTGTCGTCACGGCAGGCGTGGTTCCGGGTAAGGTTTACCCCTACGCGACCTTCTCCGCATTTATCCCGGATTCGATGAAATCTTCGCAGGAGACGCAGGATACGTGGTATTCTATTCAGAGTTCTGAGGGGTATATATATTTGGTCGAACCGATGGCGACCCTGGCGACCAGTTTCAATGTTTTCCAGTATTACAATGATCAGCTTCAGGGTGAGCAATTCTTGGTTTACCTCACTGGTCCGCGGGATGGAACTAGTTGGGCATGATGTTCATTTCAATTGTTAGCTGAGTGTTCGGGAGTCTTGATGATCAAGCCATCTATGAGTCCTCTTTTCAATGAGACTATGTAGCATGTCATCTCTTCGCTTTTGGGCCCTCTAGGTATTAATTACCAGCGAATTCCGTCAGTCCTATACATAACAGGAATTTCTGTATCCTTCTTCCTGTTCCAATTTAGATCACAGCGCTGTAATGATATTGGTGATTTGTTCAATTTACCGTAGATGAGATAACGAGTTCCCCGCCCGCGGAATAGTATATTGAAACTGCTCTACATCCATGCTAACGGCGCAAATAGGAGAGAATCCCGTACATGGGAGGATAATTTTATTGGGATAAGTAATTCGAATAAGGGAAAGTTGAACATAATAGATCCAATTTATTGCCATCTTTGACAGGAAGAAGGTAGAATTGTTCAAGCTGGAAGATAAAGACAGACCCGAAGAGTTGAGATAGTCTCCGATTCATAAGGGTACAACGATAAGTGCTACATATGACGAAGCTTCCTCATAACCAAGCGGACGTCATATTCGGACCGGTAAGAAAGACATTCAACTGAAGGGCCTGAAGCTCATCGTTGTAGTACTGAACAACCTCCATGTTTTCACCGGTAGCCTCAGTAGGGGACAACAGGGATACGCTCCCTTGTCCCTTTACTGTATTTATCCAGACCTCCTGGGCGTCCTGCTGCGTGTGCATGGAATCCGGGATAAAGGTAGAAATATTACCGTAGTACGGATAGACTTTGCCCTGGACCATGCCGCTAGAAACGACGAATCCTAACTCCTCATCGATAACAAGATTGGCTCTTGCATCTGGATCGTATGGCCTTGTTGAGTCCCAACTACACCCAAGCGGGTTGGTGGAGCCGTTCCCATAGGTCCCAGTATCGACGACCTTCCATCCTACTTCGGTGAACTGACAGTTGTCACTCACAGTAGCCGTGAAATTGTCGGATGGGTTCCAAAGCGCCTTTCCCAGAGCCTCTAATGTTTCTCGATTTGCTTTTTTCTGTCCGGCTGGTAGTGACATGAGTGTCTGGTAGTTGGCATAGAGCTCCTCGACTGAGAAAGCGAAGCCGTCGTCACCACGGGAGCGGTTTATGAATAGCTCCAGCTCAGTAATAAGCCAATCAACCACTTGGATTCGGCCGCGGAGAATTGATCTGGATCTACTTCCTTCACTGATGGCTGAGATAAAGTACACTGAATTCTGCACGGTGTCGATCGCAAGCATGGCAGGCGCTTCAACCTCGGTGATAGTTCGCCACGCTGTCATCATGGCAGGTGAAGAAGGATGAGAGTTCTCGGTTGCTTTGTAAATAGTGGCTAGTGGTAGGATATCTGGGTCTTGGAGCCTGATAGACTCTAAGACCTGAAAGATAACGCTCGACAAGTGCCTCCGGGAGCTGCAGGTGTCCGTCACGTTGGACGTAGCAACCATAGGGAGCGTGAGGGCGAGAGTCATGATAGTAACAGGAAGAACTGCTGGGAAATGCATTTTGAGTTACTATTAAAAGAAATCTGAAGCATTTGATAGACGTGAGATGGTAAACTCATGATCCGACGACTATATATCTTGTCCACATTGCCCATGTTGCTCGTCATTGTTCCGGAGCATCCCCCCTTGGATCATTACAGCTAAAGTGAGGTCCCTACGTTAGGTAACAAAATAAGGATTGGTGTGGATCTCTCTGGAGATTCTCCGATATGCACTCCACAATAGGTGTTCATCTTCACCGGAATGCCCTATGATGTAGCAAAGCTTCCAGCTGGAACGCACAGGGCACCGGGGGTCCCCCACATTTCCGATATTCTTTGCAATGGCACTTAGCAAGTTAGCATTGAGACGGTAAAATGCGGGGTATGGGGAAAGATGACCCACTGAACCCCGCCGGCGATGGGGAAAATACACTCTCGAAGCACAAACCACTCATCTGTGGCTTAATGTTCGAGCACCATCGGTGACGAATCTGACATACAGCTTTCCGCCACCACGCCCCTTGTTTACTACGTTCACACGAAGAATAGGCCTGTATAACCTAAGCTAGACTTCAGTTTTTACAGGACTCCTTGTTCCACCCTTACCTCCTGTGCTGTCTTTTTGGTGAGCGGCCTCAAATGATTAGGTTGGACCCGTTCACCGGACACCCAGGAAAACCTCCATCTGTGCTTACAGAGGGACCCAATGAAGTTTCGCCTCTCCATGCAATCTTAGGATATATACTAAAAGGTTACTGGAGTAGGTATTTGGACTATCGCTGGCGGGATCCGGGGTTGGTCAAACAAAGTAGCCTGACCCACAAATCCGCCGTGGTACTTGACTCTAGCTCAGTCCCATGTGTCCAATCGGAAATAGCAATCCCGCTTACTCTGTTATATCTACTCTTAATACAATTAAAAGAAAGCTTCCTCGCATCACTCGGTCCAGAGCCCGGGTGGTGGACTACCGGTCTGTGTGCTGGCCAGACTCTATCCGGAATGCCGGTTAGTACTACACGACATGCTGGCCGAGTTTACGGGGTTCACGTGGACAATCACCCCTAACTACGACCGGAGGAGACAATGACAATTACTGAATGTAGATTTCTTATTATAATAGCCTAATTTACAGCTTGCCCTGCCGAGAGTAGCTTCTCGATATCGTCGCCATGGATTCTGCTACCACCGACACCCACACTCACAAGCTGGGCACCTTACGCATCCGTCACCATGAGACGAACGAGGTCATCCTTATTCCGAGTCCTACTGCGGATCCCAACGACCCCTTAAACTGGTCAAGAAAACATCGGTATTTCCTGGCTGTTGTTGCTTGTTTGGCCGTGTTCTTCTGCAATTTCCTGGCAGCTGGGCCTTCAGTGGCCATCTCGGAAACGACTATCGACTTTCTCGGCCCAATGGGACCCGACTTCTCCAGTCATGTATCTCAAGTCTCCTACTTCTTTACTTCCGCTGCTCTCTACCAGGGCGTTGGGATGCTATTTTGGATGCCGCTCATTGTAAAGTATGGTCGGCGACCAATTTACGTCCTCTCATTCCTGGCGTATTTTGGGACGGCGTTATGGTGTGGCTTTGCGCAATCATACGCTGTCGAGCTGACTGGTCGAATCGTTCTGGGCCTAACCGCAGGTGCTGGGGAGTGCCTTGGGCCACTTACTATCGCAGACATCTTCTTCCTTCATGAGCGAGGAACTGTCATGGCAATATACACTGCGGCCCTGTCCATGGGGGTTGCAGGTGGTCCACTTCGAAGTTACTCAGATAACACGTTCACTATGGCCAGATCAATCCTCTATTCCATGCTCTTTGCATCACTTGTCCTGGCATCTATCATTATTGAGGATCCAAGCAATATCGTTCCCCCTGAAGACTGGGCAGACGATAACGCATATGTTTTCGACTGGCATACGACCGGAGAAGCTTACCAAACCATTCCTATCATTGGTCCCTATACCTATAATCAGCAAACAGGGGCTATTGATCATCGGTCACTAGAAACTACAGCAAATGACACAAGTGTTGTGGTCATAGCGAATCGGTCCGACGTCACTATCACCCACAGCACTATCACCAAGTTCGGCTATTCTTCTGCTCTCAATCAAGCCAGCTTCTATGGTAACGCTCTCCAGTGCCCCTTGAATTTTCTAAACTTTTATTGATTAACTCTTGCAGGAGTGAATGCAGCTGTCAACAATGCGAATCATTCGACACTGCGACTCTCGAATGTAAACGTTACTACGCATAATGGAGCAGCAAACGTCTACACATACGGCACTGGAAGCGTAACCTATGCCGACAACACATGGCTCTACAGTTCCGGCCCTGTCTCCCATGGTTTCTACGCAGCAGGAAATGGCACCATTTATGCCAAAGACGTCCAGGTGTATTCCGGGGGAACTAGGTGCTCAGCGTTCAGCGGAGACTACCCAGCTGGGTATATACACGCCGAAAACGCAGTCGTCCATACTGATGGAGTTGGTTCCGCTATTTGCTTTCTACAGGGTCTGTGCAACATGACAAATGTTGTCGGTTACGCTGCCAAATCTCCTGCCATGATCAGTGACGGTGCACTGTCCGATGTTATAGGCATCTGGAAAAACTCTGATCTGACTGCTGGTCTGTTAGGTGGTATTGTCATGATATCTGACTCGACTATCAGGAATGGCACCACTGTTGTTCTCGACAATACTCGATTGACTGTCCTCGGTGAAGGGAATCCAGGGCTATGGTTTGGAAATATCATCGCAACTGTCGATCTCATCGCAGCGAGCATTAATACCTCTTCGGGTATCCTCGCCGTTTCAAACTACTCCTTTCTGACTCAGGATTTTGATTATTATGCCGGGTACGAAGAAAACAACAACCTATCTCCTGCACAGGCAACCATCAATGTTAAGGATTCTACGCTATCGGGGTCACTTGTTGCATACAACGAATCGTCAATCAGCTTCAATCTTCAAAGTTTCTCGCATTGGAATGGCATGGCAAAGGTGGGATTAGGAGCCGCTTACTTGTCCGTGTCATTGGACAACACATCGACATGGACCTTGACGGGGGACCCAGTCCTTCAAAGCTTCGCTAACTCCAATAGTACGCTCACAAATGTTTTCAGTAATGGTTTCGATATCTTGTATGACTCGGATTCATTGGTGAATGCTGCTTGGAAGGGAGAGACCTACGAACTTCAAGGTGGAGGGAAACTTCGACCGTCATGATCAGGTGGGCAGGTGTGAATAATTATTAGTCTGATGTAAGGTAATCATATATGTCTCAAATATAGCTATTCGTAGCTTCTGATGCACTTTATTCACATCGCTCTATCTGCATAATCCTAAGACTTTACTCAAGACCGCCGCAAGTGTCTCCGAGTGTCCCCCACAAGATGCCTTGCCTCGCCAGGCGATTAACCCGTCAGGTCGAATCAGTATAGCCTCTCCGTCATTCATACTGCATAATTCTTTGAAGCGACCGTCGGGGTCGGCGATTCGGTTAGATCTCTGCGACAGTTCAAACGCATCAACGGTTACAGCCTGCGCGGCAGCTGCTGGAAGCCACGGTGAGGAAGAGTCCGCGGTTAGCAAGACAAAATTGACGCGGACGAGATCAAGGGATGATATGGCTTTGTCATTCCTCGTACGATCAATAAGATTGATATGGGGAAGACGTGAGCCAGTCACAGGATTGGGTTTGTGAGGATTATCCCACGCCTTTGGAGTCTCCTTATCCTTCCCGTTGTCGAAGTCAAAAGCTCCAGTCCGGTAGCAATACCCTAGTTCGCATACTTCATCTGGGAGTTCTTCATCGTGCACAACAGCTTTGTCCTCCAGGACTCTGTTGACAAGACGGGAGAATGCCTGCTGCATCGTGCTTTCTGCAGCGGGTTGGCGCTCTATGGTGTATGTTTTCAACAGCGAAGCGTCGGCCAGCCCTTTGAGCACATACGCGAGCTTCCACGCAAGATTATATGCGTCCTGTATGCCCGTGTTCCCACCCATCCCTCCTGTCGGGGGCATAATGTGAGCTGCATCTCCGGCAAGAAACACACGCCCCCTTTGGCTCGCGTATTGAGTGCAATTGAGAGCAGCTACACTCCAGTAAGAAACAAAGTCAATGTCGAGGGAGATATCTTCCTGTATTCCGGATGCCGCGAAAAAGGCATCTCTCGCATTCTGCTCTGTGACGGAGTCCGGCTCGAAGTCGTGTCTATCACGCAGACGAGACACGATCAAAAAGCCACGCTTGCCTCCATCTTCCAGACGAAATCCTCCACTAACGTCTTTATTGACCACATATGTCACTCCATGCACTGCCCGGGAACCCAAGTAAGGAGTTAGATCTGCCCTGAAGTTGATAGAGATATTGTTGCCGAATGTTCCTGGCCCTATCCACTCGATGCCTTCCTTGCGACGTGTCGGGCTACGATTTCCATCACAAGCGACCAAGTACTGAGTCTTGTACTTGGAATATTTCCCTGTGGTGAGGTTCTGCACAACCACAATCACACCGTCGTCATCCTCATCGTAATGCACGACCCTAGTCGAGAAAACTTGTTTCGCGCCGAATCTATGGGCTTCTCTCCGGAGTAAAGGCTCGAACATGTTCTGCGTTAGCCATACTCGCTTGCAAGGCGTGATCTTGGCTGTCTGTTCCGGATCTGCCTCCTGCATTTTGGCGATGACCTTCCCGCCAATCAACCGCTCCACCAGAAGCATCCCTGCATCCAGATCAAAATTAGATTTGCTGGCGCGAAGCATGTCCTCCTCTAGTCCAAGTTGTCGGAAGATTTCCATTGTACGGAGGAGGAAGAGGGCCGCGCGAGGATGCGTGGCCGTTGAAGGATGTCGGTCGAAGGCCACCGATTCTATACTTTGAGCGAGTTAGATAGATAGTAGAAGAAAGAAGACAGTTCCATGGAAGAAGAAGGCATACCCCCAATATCCCAGTAAAAGTCCTAGTGCCATTCCTACCATACTTGATCCAATTATAATGACTGGCCATTTTTCCTCTTCTAAGGGAATTTCTGAATGGTCAAAATCGGAAAAGTCGAAATCCGTTCTTCGTGGTCCCCGAAGGACTGTTTCATCAGTTTGGGTGAATTTGGGATTCATTGTCAGTGTTTGTGCAATCATGTATCGAAATCCGTGAATGTTGTTCCAGTAGTTTCATTTGATGAATGTTGATACCTTGACCGAGGGTATATATTTGCGGTTTGATTGTAGTTGGTTGTTCAAGCAACACGCATTTGGCTCCATGTCTGTGGAGCCGGAACGGGAACTCTGAGAGAGCAATGGCGCTCGATATGGCTGAGAAGATGGTGTGCATCGCGGCCGGGATGCCGTCGACTTCCGGAATGCCGGTGATTGTGGAGCCGAGCAGAGCAGGCAGCCGAAGGCAAATCTACATGTCCTTCAGCACGATCGATTACGGGAACTTCAATCGTCCTGGCCATTTTTTATCAAACGAAACATTAGCCTTTCCGTGCAAGATGCCTCTAACTCCCAAGGTCTACGGATCAGTATCCTCGACATGCACCCAGCGGGTTCTCATAGTCCTGGAGGAGTTAGAAATCGACTATGAACTCATCCCAATCAACATGCGTGCCGGTGAGCACAAGGTACGTCTTTGAACCATTCTACCAGATTACTGGAATAAAGTTGATTATTATAAGGGTCCCTCGTATCTATCTGAGCACAACCCGTTCGGATACATCCCAGCATACCAAGACAAAGACGTTAAGATTTTCGAATCACGCGCTATCTGTCACTATCTCGCGGCCAAAAGCGGCGGACATCTGGTACCGCCGTCTAACCCTCTAAAGGTCGCCGAGTTCCAACAGGCAGCAAGTGTCGAGTACTCGTACTTTGATCCACCGATGAAGCAGTTGGCCTATGAGAGTCTGTTCAAAAGGTTGGCTGAGTCCGTTTCCTTGAAGTAGTAGTTCTAATTCAGAGTGAATAGCATGATGGGCCACGGCGAGCCCGACACTAGTTTAGTGTCTCTTTACAAGGATCAGATACGGAAGTGTCTCGATTACTACGAAGGTATCTTGGAAAAACAGGATTACCTAGGAGGAACGGTATGATCATAACCATATAAGCGCATCGTGAAGCCGCTAATGATATTGACTAGACATTCTCCCTGGTGGATGTCTATCATATGCCGTGGACTGCTTTCATGGAAGGACTTGGATTGTGGGCTGAGCTAGAGTCAAGAAAGTACTTGCGGGCTTGGTGGGAGAGAGTGGAGTCGCGTCCTTCGTGGAAAAGTATTTCAGGTAGATCATAAATCTTCGCCTGGCTTTTAGACTAGAATTAGTCATACAATCAAACATTGACTGGGTGTTCGTTATAGTGCCTGAGATGATTCTTTGCATGAATTTCGGACGTTTTATGTGCATGTCGTTGTAGGCCAATAAATATGCAAATAATTACACCCTTTGAAGATGTAATGCCACTTGTTATGCTTGACAATAAGGGGCCTTGGTATTATTTTAGATTATCTGCCTTCTACCCCGCAACTTTTAAGCAAAAGCTGGGGATGTTTATATAATACTTAGCTGATAGTTCGAAGTATAGGCAACTAAAAACCAGTCAGATGTATATGAATGCGAAGAGGAACCCGACAAACCCCGAAGTATACAGAAGGTTCAGATACTGGTTCTTTCTGTGTTCAAAATTCGATGTTCACCATATAAAATCTCTATACTCAGCTAATATAAACTATCTTCGCGAAACAGCCCACGTACAGTATCCCAATCCCTTTCAAGCCGCATAATTGGGAGATCTGTTTTTTTATATAATACTATCTCTTCTACTGTCTATTTATTAAAGCCGGTAATTGACTCTGTTACTCCATCCCCGGGTTCTGGATAAGATATTATTGTTGGGGACTCAGCAGCCGCAGCTGATAGAAGATTACAGATCTCCAAAGCACACTTTAGAGATACAGTCAAGCAGCTATTTTTAAATATTATATAAGTCACAGCAGATACAAACACAATGTGTTACTCTTTTATATAAGATACCGGAACTCTCATCTTCCCGTTAATTAAAGTATAGGCCTTTATGATATAGTAACTAGACCAAAACTCGCTAGTATTAATAAAATATGTGATTATATAGATTTATTTATTATCCCAGCTCGAAACTCTTATCCAAAATTTGTATGTACGGAATAGCTTAATTTCTTGATAAAACATATATAATGTCACACTGACTATCAAGTTATAATATACCAAAGACTTAATTGACAACAAGATAGGCACAACAAGAAATCTACTGAGATATACTCTTGATATATCAAGATTAGTAATATAAATTGAATTAGACTTATAAATATTAAAGTTCCCTTCAGTTACTGGAGACTGTAATCTGACCACTACCGATAAAAAAATATAGCATTGTTAGAGCACATAGCTTGACCTTCAGTAAGCGAGGTAACCCATTACAAGAACATCAAAAAATTATAATTAAAAGATTAATGTTGATCCAAGAGAAAAGAAAGAAGTTTATATTCTGAGCTTACATGCCACATAAAAGACAAATTCTTGAGACTCAGGCCTAGTACAAGACCGAGAAACCACATTAAATATCCCATGGCAAAAGACAGACATTATAGCTGATATAAATAGTCCAAAACAGCTATATACACGCTGCTATAGTCGCAGTTATACAGGAGAATATCAATTATATATTTCATACCAAGGTCTTTGAGACTTCCTTACAGGCGACTATACTTTCAGCCATCTTTGGTTCCCGCGGTACTGAGGGTACCCACTCCATAGCCACGGGTGTCAAGCCATAGTATACACCCAAGGGACAACATAAAAAGTCAATAAGAATCACCAAAACCCAGATTATACAAAGAACATTGTCATAATCTTCTCATTATTAGTAAACCGACACAACGTTCTTTATCACAATATAGCCGAAGAGGAGCTTGTTCACCTGAACATCAACAGCATCTTTGCCGTCATAACACTGAACAACCCAAGAAAGTTCAACACCTTGACGCAGAGCCTGTATTACCACCTCACAAGCTTGCTCCGAGAGGCTGAAAATAATTCAGACATTTATATAACGGTCTTGATTGGCAAGGGCACCTTCTTCTCCGCATAAGTTCTCTCCACCCTCTGCCCAAGGAAAGCTTGAAATTGGAAAAAAAAATTAATTCCAGCTGTTAGAGGGGCCGACCTCAAGGAAAAACCACCATTTATAGAGGACATGTTATCTCACCCTCACTAGCTTCCTAAATTAGTGAATAACAACATCAACGTGGCGAGAGCATTCTACAGCCATTCGAAGATTCTAGTCACAGCGCTGAATGGGCCGGTCATAGGACTTTCTGCCACATTAATATCGCACTCGGATTTCATCTACACAGTATCCAACACCTGGCTGATGACTCCTTTCACCTCTCTTGGCCTCATGGCCGAGGGGGGCTCTAGTGTCACCTTTATACAGCAGATGGATCAGAGAAAAGCAAACGAGGCACTCCTTCTCGGCAGAAAGATACCCGTTAGTAAGTTGGCTCAGATTGGTTTTGTGAACAAGGTCTTCGAAAACAAAGACAACTTCCGTAAGCAGGTGATGGGGTACCTGCAGCAGACATTCGGTGAACATTTAGTACCGTCGAGTCTTCTGGGCACAAAGGCTTTGATACGTCGTCGCTTAATTCAGGAGCAGGACAAACAAGCGCCGCTCGAGATGTTTGGTGGCCTCGACCGTTTCTGCCAGGGTATCCCACAGGCAAAGATGGGAGAGGCCCTGTCCAAGAGCAAAGCGTCTCGACTTTGATCTTCCTGTGTACATAGTACTGTGCCCTTCACTGCACGCTGCTTAGTCATATTCATCAGCGCTTCGTTGCGCTTCGCCTAATATACAGTTCCAGGGGCTCTATGTATGTCCTTTGTCAACCGAAATGACCACAGGGCGAAATTACGATAATAATGCAGCCATCATCATGCATTGTTTGTCTAAGACACTGGGTATTAGTGTGAGACGCTTTTGTTGATAGATACCTGTTCGATACTGTTTAAGCGGAAATCCTTAAGGAACCAAAAATTTAGAGATAGCTTAGAAAATCGGACTCTCATTCATTCATTTTATGATGATTACCTTGGTTTGTGTGAGAAATACCGTTTTATGTTAACATCCTTTCCTTCTTCGCCTCTCTCTACAAAGTTTCTCAAACCAGGCTCTTGTTTCTGGCCTTTGCAAGCGTCATCCGCCGGCCCTAGCCCCAACGGATCTTAATGTTCAACTACAGTCTCTGTTGTAGTGACAACAGCTTCAAGAGTATGCCTCCAGAATTCTGGTGCATTTTGGGGGTAACTTAGTCGTCCGTAGCGGTAACCCTTCCCCAGCGCGACCTACTTACTATGCAGGAGTACGAGATTCACCTGGACCATGAGCTCGAACTGCAGACAGCCGAGGCAATGGACTCGGTATGACCGTATCAACATGATCGGTGATGACATGATCAGTAACTGCCAAGCGATAGTGTAAGTACATTCTCAAAGAAGAAATATGGCATGTAAGAGTCAGGGTACTGAATATTACTAGCTGCATTGCCTTGGTTCCCACATTACAAATCCATCTGCTTGACGCCACGTCTAAAAAGCAAATAGTGCAACGTATGGGCCGCCATAACCTTGAGTTTTACATGATGGTCATCAAAAAGCTCAAATCTGTGTACTTTAGCGCTGAAATACTTTCAAGAATGTTTACTAAGGCAAGGGACTGGATACTCTACAGGGCGTCTGTCCCCGCCACAGCTCCCAGGGAATGTACGCCTCAGTCGTCGCGTGATGCCGCAGTCAGTTCTCTTCCAGTGCTACCAGATGATGCATGTCAGGACGATGCGGGGATATTTAATGCCTTTGCGACAATGCTGAGTCCCTTTGCCTCAGTATCAGCTGGCGGACTCTTCAATAACAACGAGTACGTTTAAATTTGTTCTGGACCCCCTTGTATCTCGATTCCCTATGACCATCTCTGCCTGGTGACCCAAGTGTCATTTTTCAATGTACTAATCGTCTTGATACTTGCGTTAGGCTATTGGATTTCGAATCTGCCACCACACTCGAACAACTGATGTTCCCTGAACCCGAACCTTCTGCAGATACACGTTAGATCTCTATCGGCTATTGAGCTTCCAGCTTCTGCATAGATATTGGCGTGCATTGTTGTACGAGTTGAAAGATCGTCCCGGCTCTGACCTATGTAAGAGTAGTAATGCGTAGGGCCCATTTCCCAGTCAACAGCTCCCATTTAGCGACGGCCTTCACTAACATGGGTCGTTGGTAGTCCCGTAGGCCTTGTTCGGTTACCGCACGCATATCAAGCCCGAGTATTCTTGTGTTGCAACGAAAGGAATTCATCTACCTTCCAACTAGATGATATTTACTTTTCCTGTCCGAGAAGACTCTCCTCACTGTAAAAGAATTGGCACAGGAGTGGTGGGGATAGTGAACAAGACTTTGTTCAACGTGGGTGATAGCCAAAACGAACGGTGTTTCCTGCCTAAGTTATCCTTGAAGTGATTTGGCCCGAAGCGCCGGTTCCGATACTTCAGCGAAGCCCAAGTTGGTAGGACATATCAAATTGGAAAACATCGATCCTTCTAATCTTCAGCTCCGACATTCCTCGCATTGTGATGCTACCGAGTATCAAAGTTTGATGAGTATCGAATTCTGATGTGATTAACATGTTAGACCTGTTGCAGAGGATATCGTGATGGTACCTATTGGGTTCGGTAGTCTTCTGCACCGGCAGCGGTTTAGATCTAGGGAGAATACCATGGTATTGTGTGAACGCTCCTAGGTTCCCGAAGCACCCGATCCCGAGCGAACCCGACCAACCTAGTCTTCGGAGGTGTAATTTAGCTCACTGATTATGGATCTTATCCGAGACTAAACCACGGATTCTCACGAAATCCCGAGGCCCTGCCCCGCCGGGACCTTCTTCCGACACAGTATATATCGCTACTTAGCCATCCCTCAACTTCAAAATTGCCTTTCTTCAACGCGAGAATACGTTACTGATCATTCTTTCTATTGTCTCTCTTGAAATCACGAACATGGCCTTGCCAGAAAAACGCATCTTTCGCGGTATCCCTTATGTCACTGGCGCCGCCTCTGCCACGTTGTTAGCAGCTGACCTTGAACTTAGTTTCTGGGGCGGTGTTGATCCAAGGACAGGCGAGATCATCGATAGGTTCCATCCGCTGAGCGGTCGTTTTCTGAGAGATACTATCTTGGCAATACCTGGAGGTAGAGGATCATGCGGCGGCAGCGTCATTATGATGGAGCTCATCCTAAATGGCTTAGGCCCTAAAGCGTTGATTTTTGAGCGTCGCGAGGAGATCATCACCCTAGGAGTTATGGTTGCCGAAGAATTCTTTGGCAAGACGGCCGCCGTTGTAACGCTGACCCCAGAGGACTTCCGTGATACTCTAGGCTGGGATGGGAAGACCGTTCACATCCGGGGTGAGCTAGTCTCGGATGCCCCGTTGAAGGCCGACTCTGCCAATGGATCTGCGAAGCATGCCGTTGACCACAACAAGATTGATGTCCAACTTACTGATGCCGACCGGGCGGTGCTGGACGGAGCTAGTGGCAAAGCCGCTATGATCTCGCTGAAAATCATTATTCGAATGGCGCAAATGATGGGAGCCCAAGAGCTGATGGATGTCAGCCAAGCCCACGTAGATGGCGCCTGGTATGGGCCCGGCTCTATTGCTTTTGGTCAGAGACTTCGTGACTGGGACGGCAAGTTCCAAGTTTCTACGACTATCAACGCGCTGAATGTCGACCAAAAACGTTGGCGGGTCCTCGGAATCAATGCAGACTTTGGATCAGCCTGTGACGAACTGGCGAAGGCTTTTGTCGACATGGGTGGCAAGATTTCATTCACCTGCGCCCCGTATTTACTGGAAAATGCCCCTAGACTAGGTGATCCAATCGCCTGGGGAGAGTCCAACGCTGTTATCTATGCAAACAGTGTGCTTGGTGCGAGAACACTAAAGAACCCCAATATGTTTGAGACTCTAATTGCCTTGACTGGCCGCGCGCCAAAGGCAGGGGTCTATGTTGATGAGAATCGCTTCGCGTCTATCTGGTTTAGAGTAACACCTGCCGACGGGGCCGACGACTCATTCTGGCCTATCTTAGGCTACGCTCTTGGTGCTATTGCAACCACTCACATTCCGGTCATCACTGGATTGGAACACCTAAAGCCAAGCAATGACGACTTCAAGGCGTTCTCAGCAGCATTTGCTACATCTTCTAGCGCCCCTATGTTCCACATGGTCAACTTAACTCCAGAGGCTCCCACCGTCGAGGCTGTGTGCGCCAATGGTATAATTCCCAAAGCTATTGATGTGGACTCCAAAGATCTATACGCTATCTGGGACGAGTTCAATTACGGCTCTGAGCCCCGAGAAATTGACCTTGTCTCGCTTGGCAACCCGCACTTCTCTTGCCGGGAGATCAAAGAGGTAGCGAGACTGTGCCAGGGAAAAACTAAGAAAGATGATGTCTCCGTGATAGTTACCTGCGGTCGGGCTCAGTATGGCCTTGCCTCGCAAGCGGGCTATGTTGGGGAGCTTGAGAAGTTCGGAGTCCAGTTCTTACAAGACACTTGCTGGTGCTCTATCGAGGAACCGGTTATTCCGAAAAATACTCGGACGATCATGACTAATTCTGGCAAGTATATTCACTATGGGCCTGGACTAACGGGCAGGCAATTTGCCTTCGGCAGTTTGGAAATGTGCGTCGATGCTGCGTGTACTGGGAAGACTACTGGGGACCCGCCGTCGTGGTTGCAGGGTGTTCGATCAACTTAGATTTAGCCATGGAAATGATCATGTACCAATGTGCTTTCACAATTACAGACATCCCTGGTCCTGCTGTGATTAATGATGCTGCGACTACTAGTCGTATTGCCTACCTACATCCCCATTGGTCAATACTCACTTGTGTTCAAGTGTCAGGCAAGCAAATAAATATGACATCCTTTCCTTTGACTTGTTCTTCCTGTCTTCTCATCGTTTCAGGGAATATTGAAACTCCGGATAGTTCCCAATCCATAGTAATGTCTCTTGCGGTCAGGGTTGGCACGACAACGAATTGCAGGTGGCGACAAGAATCCCCAGATCTACTGTGTGCCGCTGTGTAATCCTCTCCATTTGGCGCAAACATATCGAGGTTCAACTATTCCTATTCTTGCGGCAAAGCCCTCCGCGTTGTTTCATCCAAACACCAATGTCGTGTACAAACCTAATTTCACACCATGTTTGACAAAAAGCCAGGGACTCGATCTTCTTAAATCTGCATGGGATTGATGATCGAACAGTGCTCCTACTAAAATTAGCGCCTAGATGAACCATTAATCATGTCTACTTTTAATGGTTGAAGCCAGTATTCAACACCATTTGAGAACTCACTCTTGACCGTGTTAAATTATACGGAAAAGAGGGCTGGGCAAAATCAGAGCTTAACTTTCCGGAGTCAAGTGTTGTGAACTAAGGCGCCACATGAGACATGATAAGGTCTCGTATACAGATTTGAATCCGTTCATTCAGATTCGATCCAGACTGATTGGAGATCCATTTGGGCTTCACTCTGTGTTCATCAAGGATCTTCATTCTCAAAACAGAACACAGCGAAATATCAGGAACAGAAATTGCAGGCGGTCCTTTGCGTCTGTTGGTCGTACGATTCCAGATTGCCGACAGAGTAGTCAGAGAGCACATGGTATGGCCCGCAATATACAGCATATACTAAGAGCCTTCTGTGGCTCCTCGCATTCTAATTATGTGTGTACCATGGACCAATCGCATAATAGAACAATTGGGCAGCAAATTCAACCGAGAGAACTTTGTCAATGTTCATTCATCGCCCAAATTATCTCAGATGAGCAGGAGATTTATGGTCTGTCTTTTCGTTGTGTCCGCGTTCTTATTTATATTTGCTAGAACTTAAGATGTCTTCCTCCTCTTCTTACTGTTAGATTATTATAATTCTACCATAGACAATGGAAATATGTTATTCTAATCTATTTAGTAAATAATTTGATGATCCATTTTTGATAGAAAAAATATCTTCCAATATAATTTTTAGTATAGTGAAAATTTATAGTTAGTAAATAATTGAATTAGATTCTATTAGTATATTTCGAATTTAATAAGAAGTAGAATTTTTCTCATTATCTTATAAGGTCTGCGGATACCTATTTCTTATATAAGAGAACATAGGTAAATTCTCTTAAAGAATAACTAGATCACCTGACTCACCTGACTTACCCCCTTCAAGCGGCAATGACTGAAAGAGTTAAGAGAGAAGGACTTTTTGTCTTTTGAATGGTAGATCTACCTATCTAGTCTTTCCGAACGAGCACCGGCATGCCGGTCGAGCGCTACGGCGGATCAACTATGTGGCCCACATTTCACAACTGAACCACAACTTATTTAAGTGAATCATCATCCGAAGTAAAAAGACTGTCGCTTCTGGAAAGGTTTCTACATCAGCCCCTTTTCTATCCATATAGAAATATCCCCATCAAGATGAAACCCTACTCGGTTTTCCACTTCATCGCGGCGGCCATGGCCGCAATCACCATCAGCGACCCTGGGGACATTATACCTGCGTTCCAATGGGAATCCGACAACGCCATTATTGCTGATTACAACGTAAGCACCGAGGCAGTGCAAAGAATTGCCCAAGTTGGCCCCTACATGGTGCGTGGGCAGGAAAAGCGATTTAACCATACTACGCTGGCTGTCGACGGCAACGACACCAGCGTACTGGTCGCGACAGAGCACGCCAATGTGTATGTCGACCATACGGAGGTTGTGAAATTCGGCTATTCCAGCAACCTCATCCAGGCCAGCTTTTATGGCGTAAACTCAGCCGTGCTCGTCGCAAACAACAGCCAGCTGCGTTTGACGGACGTGAACATCACAACACACAATGGTGCGGCAAATGTTTACGCCTACGGCACCGACTCCGTGGCCTATATTGATAACGCCTGGCTGTATAGTTCGGGGCCAACGGCGCATGGGTTGTATGCTGCCGGCAATGGAACAATCCGGGCGAGGAATGTGCATCATTTCAGTGGTGGGAACCGCTGCTCTTCGTTTTCCGGGGATACTCCAGCTGGATACCTCTATGTAGAGGACTCGATCGCTCATACTACCGGAATTGGATCGGCTATTGTCTTTGCAGTCAAACATGCGAACCTAACCAATGTAGTCGGGTATGCCGAGCAGTCGCCCGCCTTCTTTACCATTGGTGAAGGCCATGCCGTTGCTACGGACTGTGACCTCACTGCTGGACTTTTGGGTGGGGCAGTCATATTTAGCATCTCCAAGGATACCCAGGCATATCCATTTCAGTTTACTCTGGAGAACACTAGATTGAAGGTTCTAGGCGATGCACCGGGACTCTGGTACGGAACGGTCTATGCCGACAGCTACATCCGCAACAGTCAGATTATCACCGAGTCAGGAATACTTGCCGTGGCTAATTTTTCAACGATCACTGAGGCTTTTAACTTCTACTCTGACTATGCAACTTCCGGGGATATAGTCGCTACCGCTGATAGTCGCATCTACGTCGAAGAGAGTACCTGGAAGGCGATCTAGTTGCATACAATGGGAGCACACTGGGATTCTCCCTTGAACGACACTCGCATTGGAAAGGGCGAGCCTACGTCGGATATGGAGAAGCTGAGCTGGCCGTGTACCTCGATAAGACAAGCAGTTGGAATCTTACAGGGGATACTGCGCTAAAGGACTTTACCAACGCAGACATGTCCTTTGGGAATGTCAACAGCAACGGTTTCTCCGTCACATATGACGCTGATGCTCCCGCAAACAAGGCGCTGGCAAGACGGACTTTTAATCTCACTGGTGGAGGAACTGTCTCGCCAGCCTAGTTTGTATGAAAACCGTTGGAACCCTCATGTTGATGGATGATAAATTCACTAGTGGCTGAACGGATGCAAATATTGGCAACGTACTACGTGTCTAGTCCCAGTGAGGGCGGGCGGCGATGGAAGAAATAGTTATCTATGAGCAAGTGCAACACACACACACACATATATACATATATATTCAGTCATATTCATTTGTGCTGCACGTTTATCGGAAACATATAAACGGAAACGCTACTGCCGCCGGGTCAGTAGCGTACAGTAGCCCAGCAGCTAGTCTATTACCGGGAAGTGGTTGTTCCCATCCCTACATATCCGATGAGGGGCAAGAGTGCATGGTTCACCTCCTTGACTTGTCGAGAGGATTTTTGTCACATGTTTCAAGGCCTCCACCTGTAGTAGATTATCTCATTACAGAGGGAGGTTCACTAATCGACAATACCAATCACAATTGGTTGTCACTTCTCTGTTCTGGGCCTAAGGTAACGTGTGATGGGTGCTTAGATAACGGTTAATGACTCCCCCGGCGGATACACTCGAGCAACTACGTATTCGGTATATCCCTCCTGGGCTATCAAGCCGTGCGCTAGCGTGGTGGTCAACACTAAAATGTGTTTTTCGTGTAGGCCACGTACCGTCATGCAGAACCCCGCAATCTTACCCAATTTGAAGCTTTCCCCGGACTATCCTCAAATGATAATAAGTGATAGTACTACTTCCAACCCCACTCCCCCAGCAATTGTCCAGCTCTAATGTTCCACTCTTCAAAATCTGTCTCCAGGACTAGAATGAACAGATCACCCAGAGTCCGCCGTCGGGGCCCGCGTGCCTCACAAGCCTGTGAGGGCTGTGCAACTGCCAAAGCTCGATGCGATAATAACGAGGTTTGCCAGCGATGCCACCAGCGACAGATGTCTTGTGTTCGACCCTGGCCTCTAGCAGAAGATGAAACCCAAGTTCCTGGGAATGCTGTTTACCCCCAAGCAGATCATACCGCACATTCCGGCGTTTCACATCAGACGCCCATTCGGGCACCGGATGCCAATATAACGCCAGACTTGCCTAGGGCGGGGTCCGACTCAGGTACGATCATTATTCGCTCTCTGGGAGTACAGCTTGTCTTTTGAGATGTCCTCTAATCATTGGGTTAGCGATGGGCACCCTTGATGGCATAGACGATCTAGCAGAACTTTTGGTCGAGGGATCACCACAGAACAGACAGATTCTACAAAATTCGTCTAATATTCTTCGCATGGCTTCCCATATCGTCGGAGCGGCAGGTTTAGATTTATCATCCATTACATCTGATGTTCCCTCTTCCACACATTCAAAGGCCAGAGTAATTCCCCGAAGGTGCTAGAGGCCTATGAAAACACAGTAGGGCGATGGGATCCAGACCCAGAGTATCACCGTGCTGCCGAGGAAGGCAATCTGTTTCTCGATCCAGAATCCAGCTGTATAGAAGATCACCTAGCATATCCTTCCGCTCGCATGTCTGACGATACCGTCTCGTCCGATACACGCGATCGGATCTTGGCCATGATACTGCACACCTGTGAGCCAGCGAATATGATCAAAGTGGTCTCCGCCTTTCCAGCAGCGAATGTGCTTGATCGACTCCTACATCGCTTTTATGCGACTCATGCAACTGACGATGACAGCTGGATTCATATTCCGACTCTACGCTCAAGTGAGATGCCGACAGAGCTTCTGGGCGCTTGTATCACGTCGGCAGCTATGAGATCGTCCAGTGCGGCTGTTCGCCGGTTCGGAACTGCCCTACACGGCGTCCTCCATCCATATTTATTCCAGATTGTAAGACTGGCAGCTTTCCAGCTTCACATGCATAGGGGAAATAACCAAGGGCGATAGTTCGAGAAACGAATAGCACAAACCCGCTGCTTGCAGCAAATCCAGGCGCTTGCTCTGTATGTCCAAACAGGGCTATGGAGTGGCAATAAACGCAGGATGGAAATTGCCGCAGCTATTGTAGGATCGGCTGTCACCGTGAGCCTATGAGCCCCAGTATTCAACTGTATGCCTTCTAACGCGCATGGAGATGCTCCGAAGTGGCCGTCGCTACCGTGCTTTGATCTATACTAGTGTGATCCCAGATCCGGCAGACACTGACGATGTACTCGAGAGCAAATGGCATCATTGGGTTGAGCAGGAATCCTGGAAAAGGTGAGCTCCCATTATCATGTCATAGTGTCCAGTCAGACTAAAGTGTGGATATACCGGCTAGATTGGTGTTCCACATGCATATTCATTGCTCGCAAGAGTCCTTGGTAACTGGGAGTAGAACTCCTGTCTCCTACGCCGAGCTCTGTCTTTCATTTCCCCAAAGCGGGAAGCTTTGGGCAGCGAAGACCGCAGCGCAATGGCTCAGAACATATAACCAGATGCAGAGTTTCGAGAAGACATTTCAACAGGCGGGCCTTCGGGAGTATCTCGCCAACCCGTCTCTCCTGCAGACCATTTCACCACTTTACGATTCCAATTTAGCACGCTTGATCGTCCTTCATGCCGTCGGCTCCATGGTCAAAGATCACCTCCAGTCGAAAGGACTTCTGCTTCCAGGAATCTTGGATACACCTGGAGACTTCCTCCTTGCAGATGAGAGCTTCCAAAACCGGGTAGCTCAGCTCCTGAACAGCATCCGCATACTCCACGACGACAGCCAGCCAGGTGATCATCACAGCAGCCAATTAACAGCCGAATTGATCTCCATGCATTCTCTGACACCCTTTGAGCAAATCGAAATAATTGCTGGCCGCGAAGGACCCGAAGAAGCCGAAGCTGTATTGCCACTCTTGGAACGATGGTGCCAAAGCAGTCAGGCACGGAAGGCAGTATGGCATGCAAGCCAATTTATTCGGTATCTACACCATCTCAATGCCCAGAGCTTCACAGAGTTCTTTGCGGTCGGAGCTTACCAAGCTAGTCTGTGTCTATGTATATATGGGACTATGGCCCAAATGCCCTCTTCGAACAACCTCTCTAGTGGTCTAGGGTCGGGAGGCAATTTCCAAATTGACGGACCAGACTCCCCTGTAATACAGAGATGGATAATTTTGGGATCTGGAACTCCCATGTTGGGAAGCGTGACCTCGGCTTCCACCTTCTATGGTGGTATGCCGCTGGGTGCCACCAGGTCTATTCTTCTTCGAGTTCGTGACCTCCTGTATGTCAAGGCATCACAGAAAAGCCTGTTGCCACTGGTTACTGGAATCTGTGATCTTCTATGTGCCTTGAGCATTACAAAACAGAGAGAGCCCCGGTGCCTGTATTGATGGCGTGACCGACATATCGACTATCATCTGAAGGAAACGAAACAGTGCACAAGAGGCAGACATATTATTGTCTATTGAGGAGTCACTCTTGGTCTTCCAGATTCATTATAGCAATTGGGTCATTGGAAACGTTCTTAGTTTGTACGTCTATGGGAGAAAAGGCAACATAAAAATACTCGTTGTTCGGCCCTGGTAGTCATATGTATAGCCTAACAATTGAACGACACCGCTTACTTAGGTAGTGAAATTAGGACAATGAGCACATACGACCATAGGGTGTGGAAAACAGGGCTTCCCGTCCGCTCAGCCGTACTTAAGCCACACGCCGGGAGGTTAGTAGTTGGGTGGGTGACCACCAGCGAATCCCTTCTGTTGTATGTTTTTTCGGTTTTTGAACCGAAGTTAATATATTATTTTCTTATCGCGAACGTGGCGACGATGATTTCATATGCGGCTTGATTCTCTTCTTTCCGCTATCTTTGTACGGTTGCGGTTGGCTTCTTGTCTCCACTGATGCTTTGCAAACCCTCTAAACGGGCCGCCCGAGATGCATGGCCTTTCCCCAGGATATGATGACGCTGTCAGGGGACGATTCGAAGCCACAAAACCCCGTTCATATTAAGGGTTGTGCTGAGGCTTTAGCTGGAGTCGACGTTGTAGTACTTCAAGGATAGGAGCAACTCACCAAAGACAGATATAGGCCGTCGCTTTGCCGTTGAATTCCCTCGCTAATGCCGGCCAGCGCATGAAGCCTGAAGGTCTGCGATGAGAGATCCGTGTGATTCGGGCGTTCCACCCCGCTGCTAAATTGCCTCAACAAACAGATTTTGGCAGGATAATAAGTTCTGATAGCTGTAGTGAGGTACATGATGAAAAATGGTGTTGAAGGAGGCGAGTAACCTGGGTAACGGCTAGATCGCTCTCTATGGTAGTGACTAAATAATGCGCCATACTCAAGGGCCTCAGGCTGGTTTCCAATCTATTAGTCTCTTTCATTGGACGAATGCTCGCAACCCCATTGAGTCCCATGGTCATACACATTCTCTAGGTACCCATATCCTTGTTCACGGGGTTGTTTGCTTCAAAACAGTAATTCCAAGGGTCGGGTATCTGTTCTTTGCACATGAGAGACCAGAGTTACTAACTTCCCTCAGAAAATAGCAATGGTGTGTCCGAGTGTCTGATAACGGCTAACTATTCGGTATGAAGTAGGTAGTGGTAGTAAGTTAACTTGTCCATGTCTATTAGTATCGGGGAGATTGCTTCGTGGGATCCGATGTCCGCGGCTTGGCAAATTGGCGGCATCTTCAACCCGATGGTCGATGAGTAATCAATGACCAGGTCGTTCACCTACGAACATATATACTTCTAATTATGCTAAACCCTACCTCATCTTTTTGTGCTTCATTCGTGGGTAATACATTTTCTGTCTCTGGATCTTCTGCAAAATGGACGCCAAATTTGGAGCCTTCGACGAGATCGAAGCCGCCTACAAGACTGTTTCGGGCACGCCTCTAGAGACAACTATCCTCATACCGAAGAATGCTCAGAGCAGAAAGTGTCCCGTTTTGGTTCATTTTCATGGTGGCGGGCTGATCGTTGGCGATAAATTATTTGCCCCTTGGTTTCCCTTGTGGTCAGCCGCCTTTCATTATTTCCCTCGTTTCAATAAGATGCGACACCTAACCTAAATCTCTAGGATTATTCAACTTGCGGAATCTCACGGAGCTATAATAGTCACTCCAAATTATCGACTGATCCCCGAGTCCAAGGGTATCGATATTCTTGATGATGTGAAAGATTTCTGGGCTTGGCTTCATTCCTCCTTACCCACTGAAGTGGGAAGGGCTCGTAAAGGCCTATCTCCGCAGCTCTCTAAGGTTGCCGTCGCCGGTGAAAGTGCTGGTAGGCATTCCGGCCATATGTAATTGACTCATATGTTGCTCATCTACTGATTCTTGAAAGGTGGCTACTTATCGTTGCAATCCGCATTTCTTTTCCCGGAGGCTCGAATCAGTGTCGTTTTGGCCCAATACGCAACGCTCGATATTGACAGTCCGTTCTACAACCCACCTCCCCCTTCGCCTCCCTCAGGCCACTCTATTGTCAACGAATATTTGGCAAAGCTTAAGCCTAGTTCGGTTAGAGTGTCTTCCCCTATGCCGGACCGATGGGATCTTTGTGAGGCTATCCTTGCAGAGGGCAGGCATCGCGAGTTCATAGGAAATGAAGACAAGGTTCGCCTGATGAGTACTCTCGAACAAGCTCAAAATCCACCCGCAATCTGGCTTGCTCAAGGCAATAAGGATCCAATCTTAAGTATTTCAAAGTCAAGGAAAAGAAGAACAATTTTTGCGACTAACAACTCAATAGGTGCCGATGGCGACAGCCACAAATTTTGTGGAACAGATGAAGAAAACTCACCCAAGCACGCCGCTCCACTTTTCTGTTCAGCCTGGCTCACATGGGTTTGATTGCATGAGCACATTGGATGAGGAATGGGTGAAAGAAGGCTGCAAATTTGTTGAAAGATATTGGCCACCGAGTGATCAAAAGGAGTCTACGCACTCTTCGTGAGCGGAGAAAGTATGATTTGTGGCTAGGGATGATGCTCCTGGCAACACGTCTTTTCACTTCAGATACAAAGGTACAAACCTACCACGTTGGATGAAGGGTAGATGTAGGGAACTCAAGATTTTGTCAATTGCAGTCATGATAGAAGTTAAAGATTGCTATCCGTATGTGTTGATTCCTTCGCCTTATACTTCTCATATTCCTCCCTTGTTAGGCTTACATTCTCAACAATACAGAATTGTTACAGACCAGAGGAAGAACAAAAACTTAAATATGAAAGGACTAATAAGATTAATAAATCAATAACGCCGGCACAGCAAAAATCCCAGTACCTACTCATGTAAATAGTAGTAGAAAGTTCTGAAAACCAAGTGAACCTCTGAATGCAGTGCACATCAGCCCCAAGAAGCTTGACTATATATGGTACGAATAAGCCGTAGTTTACCAGTCACGAAAGCAAACACCATTTCTTAAGATGATCGACTCGAAGGCTGATGGCATGTCCTTAAGGAGGAAGCCCAGATAAGCATACAATGGTCACTTCCCTCCAGGCAGCAATCTAGAGGAACCTTTCCGGTACGCAGAAGAGAGGTAGTCAATATGCACGTCAATTCCGCGGCGCGGGATAGCCATAGTTGATGACATCAGGAAATCTAAATGGGAATAAAAATCGTTGCAATAATTGTAAGAAGGCCAACAACTTGTCACCGGGCAAACGCTTCCAGTACGGGACTTGCCGATATCTGCGGCTTAGCAAAGCGGCACCCGATACTCTGGAAGAATGCTTCTTTCGGACATGCCACGCTGGGCCTCATCTTCAACCCTAAGATAAACTATCCTACAATTCGGGGAGCTATTCAGTAACAGGGATTGTGTATTTTACCGTCAAGCCGATCTCCGCGAACTTCGGCTTGATTCCGGTCCGATCCCGAGCGACAAATTTGTAGATTTCCAACCCATTGGTATGCAATAGGCTAAGTTTGTTGAGTGCCATAGACTTGAGAGACAAATACTCTTGTGCTTATGATTAAGCTTTGGTCTAATAAGGAGAATATGCAAGTTTCAATAATTATAAATGCAATGAGCTCAAAATCTATGTAGACGCAATGTACCTCAACATCATTAGAAACAACATCCTCGTCGATACGAAGGAATATTTCCGCGACTAGCAAATTGTCCTTCATCAAAGTACAAGTAATTGATAAGCCAATTTCGTATAGGAATAGTATTTGTAATCGTATACTAATGCTTAGGTACACTTCAGAATGATCATGGAAAATTTGTAACAAGCTTTTGTGGTAATTTTAATGGGGCCTCCAGAATTGTCACCAGTGGTTACAAAGAAATAGTGGGCCGCCAGCTCTGAAGGATTTATAAGCACCCTCTATATGGATCTATCATCTCTGGATTGGGCAGAATTTCAACATCGCGCTATTATTATCTATACAGGACTTGTTTCTCAAGATATGACACAACCGAATAGTAAATACGAATGATGAAGATGGTTGCGTTTATTAGGGGCTAATGTGAGGCAAAACGATCATATATAAGTGAGGTCTTCCCTCTCTATCACCAGGATAGTGTTCTGGCTCACCTGCCAAAGACTGTCTCTGCTTCCTGTATCTCACCATGTCTCCTAATAGTACACGGGTCGTGATCATTGGAGCATCTTATGCTGGCATTGGGCTGGCCCAATCCCTCCTCAAGACAATCCCCAACATCCACATTGTGATCATAAACCCCTCGGACACATTCTTTTTCAACATCGCCTCGCCTCGGATTCTGGCAAAACCAACGGCCTATCAATCTGACCAGTATCTGCTTCCCATCGTGAAGGCCTTTGCCCATGCCCCTGCTGGTGCATTTGAGTTTATACAAGGCCATGCAGTCGACATCAACCCTGATTCCAAAACCGTTGTCGTTGCCAACAAAGGCAACATCGCCTTCGACTACCTGGTCATTGCTTCCGGTAGCTCCACTCCATCGTCAACAGCTCATGGAAGCACCTTAGCGCCTTTCAAACCAACCGGCGAAAGAGATCTGGAGGCACAGATTAACGCCGCGCAACATGAGATTGCACGTGCCAGATCTGTCATCATTGGAGGTGCCGGTGCGGTTGGTGTCGAATTTGCTGGGGAGCTAGCCGAGGCCTTGAATGCTCGCAAAACAGACATCGCGCTGATATCCTCGACATGGCATGTTTTGTCCGCACTCAAAAAGGCCGCATCACAGAAGGCGGAGAACATTCTGACTGAGAAAGGTGTGAACTTGGTACGAGCGCGCAAGGTTGTGAGAGCGACGCAAGATGCTACCTCGGGAAAATGGAAGGTAGACTTGGATGACGGCCAAACCATGGAGGCTGACGTATACATTTCGACGACCGGAGTGGTTCCCAATAACAAGTTCATTCCGCCTCAGTATCTGGACAGCAAGGGATGGGTGTCCGTGGACAGCGAAATGCGCGTCAAGGGATCTACTAGCATGTATGCGATTGGAGACATCACCAGCCACTCGGCTCGCCTGTTACTCAAAGCCCAGGAACAGATCCCAGTGGTTGCATGCAACCTTAGAGCTGATATCCTGGGGCAAGGCAAGAGGAAGAGATATATGGCGGACGATAAAGTAATGATGATTGTGCCTGTGGGGTCATCTAGTGGAACTGGCCAGATGTTTGGCATGGTTCCATGGGGAAAGCTGGTTGCCATGATCAAGGGAAAAGACTTCTTTGTCTCCAAGGCGAAGGAGATGATCGGGATGAAATAGATTCACTAGATCATAGTTATTGTGTAAGATTACTAGTATGTAATGTTTATTTCCGGCGTTTCAGTGAATGCCATGGTATTTGGCTTCTGTTGTCCATGGTGGTTGCAATTTCACATCCACCTGGTTTACGTCTGCGATACCGCCAAATAAGTTACTTAACCCAGACTTTAGACAGGCTGGGGGTCGATTTTTTATTCTACCTTATTCATTCAAAAGTAAATATCTCAAGAAACTCCCTCCCCAAGTAGAGTGCTTATATTGCTCTCCTCTTCACGCCGGTGAAACCTATAGTCTACTAGTCTAACGAGTTATTCTATACAATCTAGCTGATATCATGTAAGACCACTGATACCCTTCTCTTCTGCACGAATGCTCGATGTCCCCAATCATCGCTCGGAGGCATTGACACGATCAGCATCGAACAGACTTCGTTCATAATCAATTCTGAAGACTTGTTATTAGTCCGTTATGACCTCTCAGAGCGTTCGGCTATGAGCCGGCGTTAAGAGTTTTGAGGTATCGACCTCCACTCTGTGTCATGCCGAAATGGACATCCACCTGGATCCTGGTTTTCAGAGCCTTCCGCGACGGGTTGCTCCAAGTTCTCCTCCCCCGCGCCCTGCATGAATATCTCTGCTTCGTTTCCATACCGGCAACGCTTGCGGATTTTCTCTCCATATATGTAGAGAATTACGGGGAATGGGACGCAGGCCACGGAAAGAAATGCTGGAACCGAAGCAGCCCAATGGAGTCCTAGATTTTGGAACATTTGATCCGTAAATAGTGGGAATGCAGCGCCAAACAAGGAGCGTGTGAATGCGCTTGCTGCAAGAACTGAAGCGGCGTAGATCGTGTATGTGTCAATAAGATAGTTCAGCACACTTAGAAACACAAGCACCATTCCAAACCCGAAGCCGACACCGGATAAGACACTGGATATCCAGTGGATTGACGGTGAGTTTGTCCAGGCAAACCAGAAAAGCCCCACCGGTATGGCTACCCCGCCGATAATGCATGGGGGAAGACGAGCCTCTGGAGTGGCTTGCCCACCGCTTTCCTTGGCGATCTGGACGTATCGCTTGTTATCCAAAATGGTGTAGAGAAGGGCTAGAATCATTCCAACAAAAATTCCAAGAAAGGCTAGTCCTCCAATACCTTGGTTCCAGCCAAAGTGCTGTTGATAGATAATCGGGTATGCGGCGAAGAGCATATACAGTGTTCCGTAGATGAGAGCTAGGTAGGCTGAGAATAAAAATACAATAGGTTCTCTGAATAGCAGTTTCCAGGGCCGTGACAAGGCTATGCTGAATGCCAAGCGGAGCTTAGCGGGAGGGTCCCCAACGTCAAGTTGGCTCAAGTAAACCTTTCCGTTTATCTTTGATAACTCTTCTGCCCATCGACGTACGAGGACTGGTGTATATGTCTCAGGAATCATCAGCATACCAAGGATCCATAACACTCCGGACACGGTGGCTAGGAGGCCTAGAACCCATCTCCAGCCTGCGCTCATACCGAGGAATCCACCAACGATTGGACCAACCACGGGGCCTAAGAATGGTGCTGAAGCAAATAACGCCATTGCAAGGCCTCGTTGTGAGGGCGCAAACATGTCGGCGACAACACCACCAGCATTGGTCAATGGAGATGAGCCAAAAGCACCAGCAAAGAACCGCAGGACAAGTATAGTCTGAATATCCTGAGCTGCCGTAGTACACGCAATGAATGCAGTCATTGCAGAGTACGTTACGATGAACAGTTTTTGGCGGCCGAACATTTCACTCAGTGGAGCCCAAAGCAATGGGCCAAGCGCAAATCCAAGGACAAAAAGAGAAACCCCCAGGTTGGCAACCTCATGGTTGATTTGAAACTCTGCCATGATCGCTATCGACCCTCCGGTGAAGGCTGAAGAGACAAGGGCCACGCCGAATGTAGAGGAGGTAACAAGGCTGGTTATGAACCATTTTCTGCCTTTGGAAAAGCTGATCGGATTGCGGGCGTCATTTGGAATCCACCATACACGATACGGGTCGATGTCGGTACCTGAACCTGGATAGTGGTGATCGCGCACTTCCGGGAGAATCAGAGCCTGATCCCATACTAGTCGCCAGAGGGGGACTTGTCGGACCGACGGTTCTTCACTTGCATCGGTTTCACCCATCCTGGCTGTCAATAGAAGTGCGTGATGCAACCGTCGGACGGCCGTGGCAAACAGGGGCGAAAGATGAACTAAAGAGAGGCATGATGAAAGAGTTCTTACCTTATAAGCGGAAAAGATTATTTATTGCTTCGTAAATGTCACTATCAGCATGTTCATGTCAAATAAGGTAGACGAAAATCAACATATCGTCCGATCTTTGATATGTTTGCTAGTAGTACTTTGACAAATGTGGAGCCATCGGGGAGATAAATGTGAACCATATCTCGGACACATAACCTCAATTATGCCGTCCCGATCTCCGCGTATGCTCGGACGGAATCTTCCCGGTCATGAGTAATTCAGTAATCGAGCCGGAGAGAACGGAAGGCACTAGAAACACATTATTAAATGCCACATTTTGACTTCTTCTTAATTAGCCACTGAGAATTATTTTTGTTACGATTCCACATTATGTCGTTCCCTAGCAGAAGAATCACCTCTAACTCTAAAGGCATTTCCACAACAATTGGTCATTGTACTGTAATTTAAAGCATATTTTTGACATTCGTGACAAGTATTTATGTATATGAATACATCTCTATAGATACCTCTAATAGTCTTCCTATACTGCGCGAGCAACTTGGCATTACCAGCTAGATCACATGCCCTTCATATATGATTTTTAAGATATATGGCTGTTAAGGAGATTCTTAGCCATTCTGGGGATGGCTAAAGGATACACCCAAAAACCGAGTATTGTACATTACGCAATCGATAAACCTCAGCAAATCCAGGCATGGGCGTTTAAGAGTATTAGGCCACCACAACGAAGTCTATAAAAACTACATATATGTGCATATACTCTGCGGTTTACCGGTTGCTACGTAATAGGAGGTAGGGCTTGGGTGTTTGCTGATATTTCTATCGAATCGGACAGTGAGCATGACGGATTTGTATTTGTGTAAGGGTAGAAAACATTGTCCACTACCAAGTACAACTTCGATCGTGGACCTCGAGCAATGTATACGGCGGAGAGGTAGCAGCGGGCGGCCAGAAGGTTCGCGTGGGCGTCGAGGACCTCGTTGTCATCAAACTTCCCATCGAGGTAAACGGTGAATCCACCATATGATGAAGGTGAAAAATTCAAGCAATGTTCCATGGAAGCTTTGTAAGCAAGTATATATTGGTCCAGTATCACCAATGTAATGTTCCTGGGAGCCTGGGACCAACAGTGTCCTACAATGAGCCAATAGGTATAATATCCGTAGGTCCATTATAGAGGATGTACATGAATGGTGACCAACTTGTGGCCACCTCAGACTCATTGGGGAATCCACAAGACATATTTTGAAGTCGAAGTCGTTCACAGACGAGTCAAGAAGTTCCCAACCACTCTATATCCCCAACCTGCTCCATGAACCAGGCTTCACTAAGCCGTGTTGTGTCAATTTCATCGAATTGTAACAAGTCACCCTGAGAAGTCGTATTGAAAGTGTAATCATCCCCCGGCAAAGTATTCATGTTCACTGGATCAACGGATTTGGAAAGGTTGCTAGTCAGTCCGTCAATATCTAAGAAGGAATTAGGGAAGAAATTAGACATGATTTGATAACGTATGAGTTAGCTTCATTGCGCATGTTAGATCTTACCAGCCTCGCAAGCAAGTACAACGCGATGTTGCAGATTCTCAAGAATCTTGATCGCATGAGCTGCGGATTGGATTTGCAGTTTGTGCTGTTCGAGTATGGTGATGCAGCAGGATACCAATTCCTGAAGGGTGGCGCTATCAAACTCGTCACTAGGGATAGGACATAGTTGGGCCGCAAGAAGGACTATGCCGCAAAGAAAGGTATCTTAAACATGAAGTTTTAGCCACTCATCGACTTAACCAAGATAGGAATCATTTCAGCGTAAGGGTTATTACTCACAATGTACTGTACGCCAACCAGAACTTCGATATACCGCATCTAGATTCTCGTTGAGATGGGTAACTAGTGTGTGAACTGTCGAGATGCACAATCCACACACTTTCATGGCCAGATGTTCTTCTAGCCTAAGTTGTCCCAAGTCAGCCCCTTTGGACAGATGGTGCCGGTTCTGAGCGGCGGAAAGTAGGGTCGGTCTTAGTAACAGGATGCGAATGTACAGGAATCTGGGACTAGTTAGCGATGAGTCCGAGCACTGATAGATACGAACAAAATATTGGAAGACACGAACCTTGAATAGAGAACTTTGGCTTGTAAGACAGCTGTATCGCTCCTCGGATCAGCTCTTGCCTCCACGGCACTCTCCAATCGTAGGTTATTAGGAATTGTGTCGCGCCAGTCATCAAGAGCGCTATTTAGCTTTAAAACGTCCTCGAGGCATCCACGAGACCACCAAAGCTCTTCAGCTCCTCCATTCGAATGGTTGATACTTTCGCAACGATATTTCCTGGACATGATGCCGTTCAAGATCTCGAACAATTGAATCGAACAGACAAAGAATTCCATACTGGACTGGGATTGACTTCGCTGAATACCTTCTCCGTCTTGTAGTAAGTACTCATCATCGATTATCAGCGGTGGAGGAACAGCCGAGTTGCTGGAAATTATATTTGGCCGGCCAAACGTAAGGGCGAGTAACCTAAGTGTCGCTCATAAGTTCAATAAAAATGCTAGCAGGATATACGAAAGTGGACTGACCGATCCAAAATAACACAGTTGTGCCATACTCTGCGTCTCATTTCTCGTTCAAGCTGTGTCTTTGATGGCCGAGTGTGTTCGATATGAATGCCAATGTCTTGTGCGGTTCGGATTGCAAGGCCAACCATGTGCCAACAACGACTCGCGTATTTCGTTGACTGCAGATAAAGACCGGTGAGAAGCAGCATTTGGACGGTAAGAAGCGATGCGGAATCTAGCGCATCAATGTCGTACAGCGCCCTAGACCGCTGATAGAATTGATCAGCTAGGCTTGTCCTCTTGCCAGGAGCGACCAGGTCGCTAAATTGGCAGCCGATGGCGAAGACGATGTTCATAGTCGACAGAAAGATAGGGTCTTCTGCTTTGCCACACACGCTACCCGAGAAGCTTTCGGTCGGAGGGACCCATAAGCTGTCATAGGAAATGACAAATGTTGGTTTGTGGAGGATTGGGAATATTGGATGTGTAAAGTTCCAAAAACAACTCATGAAGTTGTCGGCCATACGTCGTGTGGGTAAAGTAAATGCGTTTATCTCTGGGCCTTCGAAATTTTGTCTACTTCGTCGAATATGCTGTGGACTGGCAAACTGATCTATGTTGCTGGCAATATTCAGCCCCGGCATATTACCAGTCGTTTTGCTTGAGTTTGTAGCACGCATCGTGGACTGGACAAGGGCCATCGTGGACGTATTTGCAGAAGAGCAGTGTTCGTTGTCTTCCAACGATGGCACAATTACTGTTGCATCGGTGCCAATCATCTCATTCTGAAATGAAGGGCGCGAATCTTGTTGCATCAAAACTTGGGCCTCAGAGTAGTTTTCTAGCGGTGGAGGTGGAGAGTTGAGACGACCATTCACTGCCGCAGAGTTAGTATTGTGATTTAGTCTCTCTTGCAATGTGATGTAAAGTTCAACAGGAGTTGTTTCTCCACGTTCTTCGAAGGCGGATGTTCTGGTAGCCTTACAGCTGTGGCCTGGATCTGCTATATCGCGAGGGGCTTGAGCAGGACCCCCTCGGCTGTGCTTTTCGAGCTCTTTCAGGCGATCTTCTAGTGTGGAAATGTATCTGCATTAACCCGTTTAATAATTATTACATGGCATCCAGCAAGGTATTTCGGTGTGGAAGCTATACCTTTGGTTTTTCAATGATCCCTTTTCATATGTGCAGGTAAAACCCTTTTTGCACACCTCGAGCAGCTGGGTCTGTTCCCATTACAGCGTGTCTTCTGATCACGGCAGGCATTACATGCAAGTTGTGTCTTTCGCCGTTTGGCAGATCGAGTCTCGCTAGCGATGCTGTGGAATGTGATATCTGAGGTCGGCCTTGCTGGAGTCGCCTGCGCCTCCTGGGCACGTTCACTATCAGCCTCAACCATATTGTATTATAGATTCCATGGCCTCGAGTGTGATTAAAGGTAGGGGGTGTGGTTCATTGGATGGTAAAGGGAAATGGATGGTCCGACCAGGTCAGGTGATTTCATTCGCTGTACTACGGCGGTCAATAGCGGCCATTACTAATACTAAAAGATAACTTGGAGTTTCTTTAACTAGACTGTATAACGGGAAGCAGATAAAGTATGAAAAATTTATAGTTAATTGTATAACATAATCACAGAATTCCTAACTAATAATCCTGAATGTAATATATTGATACCATATCTATAATAAATTGAGGGGGTAAACATTTTTGCAACTGACAATTTCTTCTCTACAAAGTTGGAGATTCAGTTACCTTTGATTCAAGAAACCCCAGGCAGAGATTGATATGGGAAGCCCGGAGACTCCTAGGTGATTGTGGATATGAAATTTCTTTTCAGTAAGGAAATTCAATGACGACTTTCGTTTCCTCACGACGGTTGAACCGCGCGTAGTACTCGGGCGCCTCCTCAATTCCGATAACGGCGCTGATGATGGAGCCTGGGTGCAGTTTACCGGTCATGATGAGGTTGAGCATCTGAGTGCCGAGACTCAGCGGCGATGAGACGCCTCCACGCACTGAGAAATTATTCATGAAAAGAGGCTTGATGTCAACCGTCTGCTCTTGGTTTCCACTCCCGTAGACTCCGACGATACCAATACCGCCCTGCGGCGCCACTACCTGTCCAGCCTGGTGCAGCACAATGCTACTGTTTACATTGCCCGCCGCATCTTCGGCCTCGTAACCAACACAGTCGAGAACTCGCGTAACGCCAGCCGGCTCGAAGCGGCGTAGTGCCTCCACCGGTTCCTCCACCGCAAAGTTGACTGGAATGGCACCGTGGGCGGCGGCCAGGTCCAGGCGGTCTTGTACGTGGTCTACAACGTAGATCTTCGAAGCACCGCGTAGTCCGGCAGAAAGGATAGCCATTTGTCCTACGGGACCGGCACCGAAAACTGCAACCGTATCTCCGGGTTCCTGACCGGCAAAGTCAAGCGCTGTCCAGCCCGCTGCGAGAATGTCGGACATGAAGAGATAATCATGAATAGTAGACGTATTAGTGCTAGCGTTGATGGGCACAGGCATAAGGGACTCATCCGCAAACGGGATGCGCGCATACTCGGCTACGGAGCGGAGGAGAGACCATATCAATATTTTCCGCAGTCGAAAAGATCACTGGATTCGACAAACTCACCTTGCATACCTATAGATGACGCTGCGGGCGCATCAATCATAGGTCCATATTGGTAATGACCATCGTCAAACGCGAAAGGAATGACGACCCAATCGCCGGCCTTCAGGAACTCAACGGAGTCCCCAACATCCTCTATATAACCAATCGCCTCGTGGCCTATCTGCTGGGGATTCTCTGGCGAAGCCGAATTCTGATGGTATCTGTGTAGGTCGCTACCACAAATGGCACTTGCTGCGATGCGCACAACGGCGTCGGTTGAATTTATGATGGTCGGCTTGGGCACATCGATGACGCTGATATTGAACGCGCCGACGAGAGCAACCGCACGCATGAAAGATTGCATTGTCGTATATGTCGAATGCTTACCCGGCTGTATGATGAGGGCACAAGAAGAAATTTGTCCAAAAACAATCTATACAACGTGGCACCGATCTATTTATGCAGACATTTACTGACGTACGTCGTTGGAGTCTGAAGGACGGAGCAATATTAGTGTATTTCGAGACGCGTCATGCCGAGCCACGATGTCCGTACTTGTCTCAACCATGTTTACATGATCGCCATACGCTAATGTGAGCTGCTTATGACATCCCTGCAATCTTCTGTGACGTATTCCCGCTGTTTAATGTGGAGCTTTCATAGTGAACTCGAGTCCATTGCACGATTTCGTCCAATACCTATAGTATTGTAGTAGAGCGTCTACTTATGGAGAAATAGTCGCAGCTAGATACAGGGTTCCAAAAAGTCTTTGTGTGTGGCGCTCAAGGCTGATAGCAGTCTCTCAGGGCCAACATAGCAGGGCTGCTCACAAACAGGTCTAGGATCATAATGGTCTTTCTCGCAAGGATGCCTATCGAAGATGTGGAAGCAGACAAGGCAGAGAGGGCTATGAAAATTATGGTGGATACCAGTTTAGAAACCTTAGATTTCTCTCTCTGCTTCTTTCCGATTATTATCACAGGCATGACGACAGTATTCCGCCTGCTAGAATAGATATTTTGTTTTCGGTACAGCAAACACGGCGGTGCCTCTATGGCAAATAGGCCTGATATCCCGCAAGGGCTATCATATTTGGAGTAGTGAATGAAAGGGACTGCGGGTGGGAGCGATGGCATTCTGCAAACAAGGGCGTTTGTTACTAGATCCGGGAGGCGACAAAGCGATGTGTATGATTATTGCTGGACCCGTAAGGGTATTTTGGATAGCCCAGTTAGTGGGACCTGATCATGGTAGCTCTGCCACAACTGTTGTGTGACCTGTATTCCAAACTGGCCCACCCCAGCGAATTGGAATGAAGCAGGTATTGGCATGCATGGTCACTTTGGTGGACCAGGTCCTGACCCACCATTAGTGAATAAGCAACCGGATTTAATCCAAACACTGCATGTATGTGAGATGATGGGCAGAGGGAATGTTTGCTTTCAAGTGGGACTGTGGCCGTGATGTGCCGGCCAATAAGTGCCGCCACTGCAGCTCTTAACCACGATCTAGAGGTTGTTCATTATCGACAGATAAAATTCGGGCCAACATAGCAGAGGCCAGTCCACTCCGTAGACATGTGAGTAGCCTAGCGCCACCAATTCTCAAAACGAATTGACGCCACGTAAGTGGAATTTCTGCGATAGTGCGTCCTCTCTCTGAAAGCCCAAGGTTTCAGAAAGGAAGGAACAAAAGAAATCAAGGATGATGGGAATCGGGCCCTGCTGCAGGCAGCAACTAGGCCCAGGGCGAGCCAAGGAAGATCATACTCTCGGTTCTACTGGATACCCGCCATTGTGAGGGTCTAGGAAACCTATAGCGGATAGACCAGCCAAGTAGGCAACAGAAAGTTTTATTCTGAACCGCTTACTGACATACCACTTCATACACACATTGCGCCCGCCCTTTGCCACTAAGCCTTTGTAGTATTCAGACTTCTACTACTCACGGTGTATGCATCTTGGCCCCGCATCGGAACCCATCTCGGTACTAGCATCTGACTGTACAGAATTGACTGAATGTGTAAGACTTGAACGTCTTGCATGCAGTTCAAGTCGCAGGCCGCAGATCTTCAAACATATAAATCTGGATACCTACCAGGGTGTGCTTCGAGCTCATTAAAAAGCTTTGGGAAAGAAATGTAATATCGGGGTTGGGCAAGGATCCTCTAGCGGGGATACTTACTTTATAGACCCACAAAAACCGAATGTGCCAAACATTGCGGTTGACTCTTTGAAGAACTGCCAGAACTGGGTTGGATTATGCTTGCAGGGCTTACACGTTGATAGCAATTTACCGCACATGGAGTTGCTGCCTGGAGAAACGCGCAGGCAGTTGGAAACGGATGATATTGGTATGGCATGCGCTTCATTCCAACTTCATATCAAGAAAGACATTCGTTTGGTCAGAATCAAGTGATACAGAATTTCAACAATGCACAAGGAGAATACTGCTTTTGGTTGATTAATGGTTAGCGTTCTTGGAATTTCTATAATCAAGAAATTTTGCTTGTCGAGAACAACCCTCGCGCTTTCTCTCTTGACACCAAGATCAGTACAAAGCCGAAATCATTGCCGAAGTTTCGCTTTGACCAGTCAAACTTTGTGGCTACTGCCGGGATGTTAGCCGCGGCAGTGCGGACTAGCATGTGTGTTATCTAAAACTGCTTTGGTTGCTTTAAAGATTAACTTGTTACGGACTTTTCGAACTTATCTCCGTGAAGTGAGTGGGTTCCAGTGTTTTTCGAGGAGCAGCTGTATCGACTAGCTTAAACTCAAAGGGAACAGTTGAAACTTTAACTTCGGGGGCTCGGTTCTCGGATCTCGGTGCTCGTATAGAACCCTGAGCTGTAGACTGACCGTAAGCCCGGACTTAACGGGGAAATAGATACGGGTGGCAAGGGAAATGGTAGAAGGTTAACAGGAGGCGCGATGTCACCATTAAGCTCACTTTCGAAGTTGAAGTACATAAATACGTTAAAGTCGTCGTCATGTTCAAGAGTCCATAAATGAGCACCCCCAATCTCATAATTGTCTCTAACCCTACTCCTGCTTTACCTCTCGAGTCTCTCCACAACACAATTCAACGATGGCCCCTGAAGACCAAATTATCCTTATCACTGGAGCATCCGGTTTCTTGGCTTCTCATGTAGTCGAATCTTTTCTCCGTGCTGGTTACCAAGTCCGAGGAACTGTTCGGTCTTCTGCAACTGCCGAAAAGGTTCGACAAACCTTTTCAAACTATGCGTCTCAATTAACCTTCGCCGTCGTTGAGGATGTTGCTAGGCCAGGGGCCTTTGACAACGCAGTTAAAGGTGTTCATGGAGTGATCCATACAGCTGCTCCATTCCAGGTTTTTGGAGTTGAGGATAATGAGCGGGACCTACTCAAGCCGGCCATCGATGGGACACTCAACATTCTCAAATCTGTCCATGCATTTGCTCCCCAAGTCAAACGCGTTGTTCTAACTTCCTCGTTTGCTGCTATGGCGGACCATACCAAGGGCAGGTGGACTGGCCATGTTTACTCCGAGCTTGACTGGAATCCAACGCCCTACGAAGCTGCCGCGGCCGAAGGTGCTCCAGCCGCATTGGCCTACTCAACTGCGAAATCGTTGGCTGAGCGTCACGCCTGGGACTTTATTAAGAGCAACAAAGTTAACTTTGATATCACAACAATCATGCCGCCAATGATATATGGTCCTAACATCAATGCCACTGCCGACCTTTCCAAGTTAAATACCTCTTCTATGGACCTTTACCGCCTAATGTCGCCACAGTCCAAATTTAGCGATCCAGTGCCAGAGAATATGTTCTGGTCATTTGTGGACGTGCGTGACGTGGCTGAGGCACACCTGCGTGCCTACCAGGTGCCTGAAGCTGGCGGTGAGCGTTTCTTCGTTTGTAAGGGCAACTTTACCTACCAGCAATTTGTGGATGCTCTGCGGGCCAACCTTCCTGAAATCAAAGACCGAGTGCCCATCGGAAATCCAGGCGCGGGAGAAGTCCCTTCTGATGTTTACACTGTCGACACATCCAAATCGCAAAGAATCCTGGGTTTGAAGTATCGTTCTTTGGAGGAAACAATCGTTGATGCTGCACGATCCTTACTGAAAATGGAGTCTATGAGTGCTTAGATGACTGCAGATTGTAACGTATGGCAGTCAGTGCTGGACGTGTTTGTCCTCTTTGCGGATGGTCTCTCTCTTTTTCCCTTGTGGATAGAATGTGATTATTGCTACGCCAGAAATTTACATTGTAACGAGAAGCAAAAAAACCCTGTTTGCGTACTCTGCTAAGCTTGCTGAGTGCTGACCAAGCAAGTATAATATTATAAGCCCGTAAACTAAGTGGCCATCAACAGAGATCAAAATAGTGTGTGGAGAATGTAATGCATATGAGTCAAGTTATGTATCCATGCGTCGGGGCTTTTGGGCGAAAGAAGGCTTCAAAACTTTTGTTGTGCCCTCGTCCTAGGTTGCTGTGTTTCTTTCCTCCATCCTTCTACTCTGCTCAACATTTCGGTTACGAGGTGCTTGATTCAAGCCGACAACGCCAATTTTACCACATGAGACATCGCTCTCATAGTATAAGAGAAAGGTTCATAAGACTATACTTCTCGAGTAGCGACTTGACCGCACATGAGGTACCACGTAACAGTCAGTGATATGCTTAAGACCGCCAAGGCGAGAAAAAACTGACTCGATCTGACGGAGTTTCAAGCCAACAACAGATGGTAAAGCGACTATGAAAGAGCAGCCCTTGCCTTGAGACCCCATAGATTTATTACAGCCTTATCCTTGTGGTTTAGATAGAACAGTCAATGGCACAAGACTATTATAAACCCCAACAACAGTCACCTTCCACATAACTATCGGACCTTTCCATCAACCTCTAATGACCAACCATCGCTTGAAAGAATTCATTGAATCTCTCTCCAACCGGCTTGGCTGCATCCACAATCTGCCGCATCTCGTTCAGCTCGTCTGCCGTTAGTTCAACGTTACGTGATGCCCAGTTCTCTTCCAAGCGGGAGGCACGGGTTGTTCCTGGAATAGAGATTAACCCTTGCGCTGCCACCCAAGCTAGAGCGATCTGCGCGACCGAGCAGCCCTTGCGAGTTGCCAGCTTTCTGATCAAGTCGACGATTGCCTTGTTCTTGTAAAAATTCTCGCCCTGAAACTTTGGGACTAAAGATTTTTTTGCGAGTGAGACGATCAGTTTCCCGGTTTTGGTACGAGATAGAGAGATGTAGAGTCCATGATTCCCAATGGGTAACTGAGTGTGACATACCAGTGCGTCGGAAGTCAGTTGGTGCGAAGTCATCAGGTGACTTGAACTTGAAGTCATCCACAAGCCAGCCATGACCCAGAGGGCTGAAAGCGACAAAGGCCACTCCTAATTCCTTAGCCGCCTTGATCAGGCCGCTGCTCTCGTGGCAGGTTTCAAATGCGGAGTACTCGGCTTGAACGGCGTCAATCTTGGCGACTTGAGGATTGGGTGTGTTCTGTTAGCTTGTACTTCCATTTGCTGTAAATAACCGTAGTGGGCAGTACGAACTTGCGTTTGCCTTGCGCAGGGTTTCAGCCGAGCATTCGGATAGACCAATGTATTTTGTTTTACCGGCGCGGCGAAGCTCATCTAGAGCACCGATGGACTCCTCAAGGGGCGTGTCTTCGGTGGATTTCGAGTCATGTTAGTATACCAATCACCAACCAAACAGAATCACTTTCGAGGGGTGATCATGATTGAACGCACTGGGATCAATTCGGTGGAGATAGTAGAGATCAGGCGTGAAACCAAGCCTGTCGATCGTTCCGTCAATGTATTGCTTGATATGCGCAGCGGAGTTGTTCACTCTGCGCTCAGGTCCAAAGACGTCAAATCCACACTTAGAAGCAACTGCATGAACAGGATTGTGAGCCAGTGATGATAGATAGACGGAAATTGGGCAATGTGGTTGGTGCTTACCAAAAAGCTTATCGCGAACATTGTGCTTTCTGATGAACTCTCCAAGAAGCTTTTCGTTTTCGCCATTTTTGTAGGCTACCTAGGGCAGCAGACGCAGTCAGAGACCATTGTCCTTGATTTGCATGGGGAAGAAACGCCTTACTGCGGTATCCCAGAATGTACAGCCAAGCTCGATGGCTTTGAGAAGAACTGGCTCGGATTGCTCGTAGTTAAAATCAGTCCCTAAGCTGCTGTTGAGGCCCATGGCACCATAGCCGGGAACAGGGACCTGCAGGTCGCCAAACGGGAGGGTCGCGACCATCTCAGTGGATCATGTATAGCTCTACTAAACGATTGATTCCCTTATTCTGTGGTAAAAAAAGAGAGAGACTACCAAACTGCTCTTGCAAAGCTGGCGACCGCGAAGGCTAAATGACCAAAGCTCGTCAAATAAACAGGTTCATGGACTTTTATATCTCAGCCTGCAGGACTATATCACGTGACATTGACAGAAGAACGGCAAGTCGAACCGTAGTTCCACGGCCTAGTGGTCTACCTCACCAGTTTTCCGAGAAATAGACTTAGCTCCGTAATTCTGGTGGGGCTTCATTGCATCATCAAATCTTTAGAAGATCTTGATTGATTGTGAGAGGGTCTCGGAATGAGTCGGGCAGCAGCAGGTAAAGATCACACAGCATGTCTGATCTAGTGGATAATTCGGTGCCGGAGAGTGGAGTAATTGATTACGCGCTAATGGTGGGTCTTCTGCCCCAGGTTATTCTTAGTCATCACTTTATAAACCCCAGTTTAAATTTTCACAGCGGGCCGTCTAATTGAACCGCTAAACCCGGCATGGCGCTAGACCGATTCATTGCCACAGGCCAACGGGTTCGTCAGTTTCTTCGGATTTAAGGGACTTGATTATGTGTCAGGCGAGGGTAGAAGCAATTATCTAGTGAAGTAAATCTACACCATTTATCTCAAATTTCTTCCGAGGGCAAGCCGCCACCCAATTCTGACCTCAGCCAAAGCACCTTCCACTCAACGACTTCGGTCTTTAGGTCCAGTTCCCCTCATCGGAGACATCAATTTAGTACTTCCCAATGTCCAACGTCACTGTGAAAAGCCCGGAAGGACGTATTGAAAGTATCGGTGATAACGGTTCCATCCAATACGAAGAGAAGGACCGGAAGGAGCGACGTAGGCGCCAAAACCGACTGAATCAACAAACATGGCGTAAGTCTCAATCACAAAGCACATGGGTATCCACAATTCTACAATAAGCCGACTATACTTACGCGACATTTTCTACTTCAGGCGAACGGCAGCGGATAAAGAAAGAGGCTGCTCTTCTAGCAGAGAAGCGCGCCTTGCAGGAGCACGAAGATCAAGTGGTAGCGGGTCTGACCCTGGCGCCAATTAACCCGATGCAGACGCAGCAGCCTCTTCCACCGGCCGACCTCACAAGATTAATATCCATGCTTTCGACTGAGGAGGCTTTAAGACTCCGCGGACTAATAGAGTCAAATCGTTCTTGTTGTGTGCTACCCCATCCTCATATCTATCGCCTGTTAGCTGTCTTCGAGGCAGCGGCCTATCAGAGCTATGCCGGCAACCCCCAGGCCGATCACCTTCTCACATTGGGCAAGTTGAATGTATTTCGTGCCTTTGTACGTAACATCGCGGTGCTGGTATACAGTCGGGAATGGATGACGGACGATGCTATCTCGCGCTTTAGTATTAGTGGGCCCTCTCCCTCGCAGGTCCTGCCGGAGCAGAATCTGCCCTTCAGTCTGCGCCCGACACAACTACAACACAGCCAGCCTCATCATCCTTGGTTAGACTTCTTTCCCTTCGCGCGACTAAGGGATAATCTCATTCAGAATGAGAATGACATGGATGATTCTCAATTCTGTCGCGATCTTATGGGCTTCTGGACGATGCCCCAGGAGGATACGTGCGTGTTTGTCTGGGGCGATCCATGGAATCCGATGAACTGGGAAATCACCGAAGCATTTCTGCGCAAGTGGGGGTGGCTCTTAGAGGGATGTCCCGAGATCTTCTGGTCCACCAACTATTGGCGGCAGCTACGGGGAGAGAAGCGCCTGAACAGGAGGGCCACCCTTGATGTACCCACAATAGGAGTGGTGTAATGGTTTGGACCTCATAGTCTGAAAGTGGCATTTTCTGGCAAGTTTGGCCTGGTATTTCTGGTCTCGATATCGGAAATGTGAGTGATGTGAGTGTAAGCAGAAGCTGTGGGGTTACGGCGCACGTATGGGCTTCTGGACGGTGGATTTCAAGGTGGCAAATCATCTTTGGCTGTCTCAACCACAGGCCACGGGACACGCTGGTACTATATGTAAGGTCACGACAGTCGTGCATAATCGAGGCACTATTAGGAGGACGTCATAACTCCGCATGAGGGTTAGACCCACCGCAAGCGCGTAATCAACTGACAGAGCGGGATGAGTTCAATATTCTCCGGAATATAAAATGGTCAGACAAGCACGCTGGAGCTGTTTATTTGTCAACACTCCTAAGTTCTATTTTGTAGACATAGAGATAAACGTTGCTACTTGTGTCAGTAATTCGAAGGATCATCTGCATCCGCCTACAATGAAAGTCATCTTTGGAGCTATGAATATCGGCGAACCCGGTAAAGTTATCCCATCCCGCTCGCTGACGCAGATCAATAAACTCATCGATGCACTAACTAACACGATCTATTTGATGTACAGGCGACGGCCGAACCCGGGTCCACGATATCGAGCAAGCTCGTCGGATGGTTGATCTCTTTAAGAGTTATGGCCATAGAGACATAGACACAGCTCGGATCTATGGGAACGGATCATCGGAGGCATTTCTCGGTCGGATGGGGCTATCTTCACTCGCGTTGGATACCAAATTATTTCCATCGGCTGCCAACCCGTCCATGGCCTCAGCGACGACGTCTTACCATCACACCCCCGAAGACCTACGGAGAGGCCTGATGGAGAGCCTTGAAGCCCTCAAAGTCTCTAAAGTCCACATCTGGTATCTGCACAGCCCTGACCGAACTGTCCCGTTTGAAGAGACTCTAAGGGAAGTGAATAAGTTGCACCAAGAAGGATACTTCGACAAGCTGGGCATCAGTAACTACCAGGCATGGGAGGTGGCTATGATCTGTGACATCTGTGACCACAATGGCTGGATTAAACCAAGTGTTTGTCAGGGCATATACAATGCGTTCCATCGGGCGGTCGAACCCGAGCTCCTGCGATGCCTACGGTATCATGGTATCTCGTTCTACTGCTTCAACCCCCTAGCCGCAGGCATGTTGACTGCTCGGTACTCCCGCGACACGCCGGATGCGGTTTCTAGGGGCCGTTTCGACCCCAGCTCGGCATCAGGAATCCACACGCGCCGGCGTTACTACCATGATGTGTACTTCGATGCCCTGGAGATCCTCAGACCTGTGGCCAAGCAGCACGGGCTTTCGGAAGTAGAGTGTGCCCTTCGGTGGTTATCACACCACTTGGAGCTCAAGGAGAAATACGGCGATGGGGTTGTCATTGGGTCGAGCAGTGCGGAGCAGCTGGAGGAGAATCTCAAGGCCTTGGCTGGGGGACCACTTCCGCAGGAGATCATCGATGCCCTAAACAAAGGCTACGAGATTATCCGCGGAAATAGTCTGATTTACTGGCACTGACTTTGAAGCTGTGTTTTCCAGTCCATAGAGTCGCAGAATGAGTCTGGTAAATTGCAGAAACTCCTTGTATATCTACCCGTTGTCTTTTGTAATTATACCTGGCGACTTCATACTAGACGGAAACTGGCCGCCTTCCACCCCCCCCTCTCCAGTTTTATGTTTTCCGGTGTCGCGAGACCCGGATCTGTGTGTATTTCTGGCTGGAGTTATTCCGTTGATCAGATCCACTGGGGCTTTGCTGGACAACGCCGTCACCAATTAATACTGCTCCTCAAGATTTGAAGGACTTACGAATCGCAACGACTGAGTCTGGTCTTATGGTGGTCGAAGGGATCATGGATGCACGCGTAGACGGCTTACGAGACATGATTTTTACAGATATCGAGCCATCGACGGTTGGGTCATGGATGAACCAGATCTGAGGAAGTAAGGCATGTATCTGGCACTGTGATGCAGACTCCTAGGCACAATTTACTATATAACGGCATCGATCGAGGAGTACATACAAATCGAATCATGGACCTGAAACTTACATGAGAATGAGCGAATGGGTGAAAAGTGAGAGCATGGAGTATTTAATTAGATTAAATATTCAGATTGATATTACCTCACTATCAGACGAGTTTCTCTCGTAATATTCGGGGTCCACCTCCCTTGAGCACGAAGTTAGCCACTTCAGCGTCAACCTCGAGTCCGCATACTGTGTATAACGAGAGGACGACCCGCTCGCCCCACCCAACGGAGGTTATTTGCATAAGACCAATGGCTCTGACCCACATCGGGTCCGCCGAATTACCATTTTAGAGCAGAACGCGAGGTTTTGACTTTCTTTACATGAATCCAGCCCCCCTGTGGTCGGTGATAGAGACATTATCTATTATCTTTTAGAAGCGCAGACAAAAACAGAAAAATGAATCAGCCAAATGACCTGACTAGCCACTTTTCCAAAACTCAAGGCATGTAGCAACATAACCCATGTAAATGCCATACTTCCTCTTTCTTCATTGCATTTTGATTTCCGAAGGAGTTTGCTGACCCTATCTCAACATGATCAGATGTCCTATATGCCAGAAAGAGGTTTTTTATCCAAAATCAACGAGCATCTCGATTCTAGGTGTCAAATATTTATCGCAACCACCCACCTACAAAATACGATATCGTCTTCTCGTATCGAAAGTGGCAGCAATTCACAAAAACCAACGAAGCAACTTCAACTGAAAGACGGCTACGATTCAACGGGATCTTTTGCTAGTGGCACCGGAGGTGTGAAAAGAGCATTCCATCAGCCACAGTCTACTACCGCACGAAAGAAGTCATACACAGGATCAGCAACGGAGCAACCACGTCTTCAAAATGCACCTTTAGCCGAGCAAGTCCGGCCACGATGCTTCGACGACATTGTCGGTCAAGATTCCCTGATCGGCCCAAATGGTACACTCAGACAATTGATTGAACAGGATGAGCTTCCGCATATGATCTTATGGGGGCCTCCAGGAAGCGGTAAAACTACAATTGCCAGGATCATCGGGCCTATGATGAGGAGAAAGGTCTACGAGATCAGTAGCTTGACTACAACAACGACAGAGTACAGAGACATCGTCACGAAGGCCACACAGCATGTGCACAAGGACCGAAAAACATCCATCGTGTTTTGTGATGAGATACATTGACTCACACGGCCACAACAAGATATATTCCTCGATGCCGTTCAAAGAAGTAAAATTGCTCTTATTGGCGCCACCACTGAGAACCCATCATTGAATATTCACCATACCCTTGTCTACAAATGCAGGGTATTCACTGTCACGAAGCCAACTACCAATGATTTGGTCACTATCCTTCGTCGTTCAATGGAATCACAGACTCACGTGAAGTCATCACCACTTCTGGACGACGAATTCCTTCAATACATAGCCGGATTTGCTGATGGCGACAGTAGAATCGCACTGAACGTCCTGGAGATAGCTACGGATCTATGCACACGCCCAGGCATGACCAAGGAGAATTTGAAGCAATCATTGACTAAGAGATTACTCTACGACCGATCGGGCGACCAGCACTATGACACTATTTCGGCACTCCACAAGTCAATTCGAGGCAGTGACCCCGATGCTGCCCTATATTACCTCGCACGAATGCTCCAGTCAGGCGAGAACCCTTTATTCATCGCTCGTCGGCTTATTGTGGCGACATCGGAGGACATTGGTCTGGCAAATGATGTCTTGCAAACATACGCAACCTCGGTCTACCTGATGATTGAGAAGCTAGGGATCAAGGACGCACAGTCTGCGCTGGCTCAACTGGTAATAACAATGTGCTTGTCAAAGAAGAGTACTCGATCTTATCGTGGCTTGAATAACGCTCTTGCTGCAGTGAAGGAGCCGGGGATGGCTGACGTTCCAGTGCCTTTCCACGCTTTGGATCGCAGGCCTGAGCTTTTGAAGGAGGCTGCTCGGCTCATGTCCACTCACTCTAAACAAACCCAGGAAGGGCATGAATCCACTCAGAGGTTTCTTCCACGTGCTCTCGAGGGACGGAAGTTCTTGGAAGATTCTGATTTTTTGTTCAAACGAGATCCCGACTTGAGTTATGGGTGACCGCCAAAGGCCGCCACGGCTTGAATATCGCCGTACTAAGAACAAAGTTGTCGGTTTCCGAACTGGAACTTCCATACTATTATATTTTTTGATATAATATATTCATGCCACGTTGTTTGTGGATACTGTCCTTGCTTTTAATTTAGTGACAATCAGAAAGTAGTGGACTGTTTCCCTTTTCATAAGTCATGCATATATATTCCCTCTGAAAAGTGTATGGAATAGATAAGTGATAAGTGATGATGACCTCACACCTAGCGTACATACATGTCTGGTACGGCAGACTACAGCTCCATAATCAGGCATGTGATTCTGATACAAGCCAACTTGGATTTTGCGGCCATCTTCTTTTGACTAAGGGACAAATCTGTCGTACTGGGTACTTAATAAGTTCACAGAGTCTTTTGTCCTTGCCACGGCAGCCGATAATCCACCATACCAACCGTAAACTGCAGCGCTGAATCTGATTCATAGCTTCGAGATCTGGACGCCGCAATTTCTCGCAGAAAATCGGGACTTGCCAGCATGGCTTACCATACTAGAGTCCTTAGGCTCGCTGTGTTGCCATGTGCCATTTCTACCGACCGAGTGTGTGTCTGAACCGGATGAGTCTCTTTTGCTTGTGCTGACGCCTTATGCATGGCGGATTTGGTAGTGTCTGCACTATAAAGTGCTAATAGAGCCTTGCCCTTGACAAGATTTGTGGGGTATTATGTTCGAAAGCCGCTGCCCCGTATCCGACTGACACGTATTCGGGTTGAAATCAAGTGCTGATCGACGCGGTGGTTGGCTGGCTGCCGTCATCCTCCAACCATAATTATTTAGAAGGTCTCGGGATTTCGAACAGCATCGAATGTTTTCGCGAAGCATTTAACCATTCTTATAGTTCAATATCTGGGGTTGAGCAAATCAAACCCTATCCTAGAAGCAACAGCCAGTCTTTCTGGAGCATGCGCTCTAGCCAGAAGGAACGGTTACCATTATCTCGGTCATTCCAAAGTTCTTCAACGAGTTGAACAGCCATTAGATTTGTGGGAATGCGATTCAATGAATAGATGGCTCGCAGTCTTTCACGCACTTTATCGCGCAGGATGTTATTCGACTCGGTCAATTCGGACCCGGCTGATAGGAGAGCGAGAGATTGGAAGTTCAGATAGTACGAGGATGAAGGAATCAGCATCAAATGGCGTACTGCCTCTTCGGCGTATTTTAGTATCAACGGCTCTTGCGCTTGAGTTATATCCTGATCCGTAGAACAACTCCTCTGTGCATGAACACGAGATTGATAAAGTAGAACGAGACCTTGATAGCGGAACGCTTCGTATAAGTGGACGAGGTCGGGATTTTGGGCGCTCGTCGTCCATTCAATAAGCTGGGCCTCCAGTATGGCTTCTTGAGTGAAGTTCCGATTCTGCGGCAAATCATGTACCTTTCGGCAATACCGTCCGACATTGGCTATTGTAAGGAGTAGGCTGCTACATGTTCCGTACATTGGATGGTGCCAGTCACCCATCCTATGCACCGCGAGAGATATTATGAATGAGTTGGTACTCTGTGGTTCACCGGGTTCTACTAAGAACGAACTGCACATGTCCCAGTAAAGATACACTCCCAGACAGAGTCGAACCACAGGGTCATTAGTCGTCGACACAGATGTATCTTGAAGCATACTGTTGATCAAGGCACGGGCACCAAATAAGTGCTGTTTGCCATAGTCCTTCGGGTCAGGACCAGCAACCTGCATAAAAGACAATAGCATTATGGTCAAGAAGTGCGTGTAGTGAGCATGTTGGACTTGATCTATCTCTCTTCGAAGGCAAGCTATGGCTTTGCCATGTTCCTCAAGGGCCAGGATAGGGGCCTCTGCCGGGAAGTATTGTTCATGGTTGGCACTGATTGAGTGAATAGCGTGGAGAAGTGCGGGGGATTGGGCTAGGTCTTTCAGAATAGGGAAAGAGAACGGATTGTTCTCAGGATCTATAACGAACGCTTGGCTGACTTTCTCCAGGTAATACTGTAGTAACCGTCGATTGACATGCGTTTTAGGCTGAAGTGAGAGCCACGGTGCCTCAACTTGCCATTGTGTTAGCCGCGGGACCGACGTACAGACCAGACCTCGACGCTGGCACCGCTTGCACGTCGGGTAGCCTTCATCGCATTTGACCCGCTTCGCCTTGCATTCTCGACAGCCGAATTTGCTTTTGTTTCGCGCTCGAACCGGTAAACCCTTGTACTCTCGATCCGTAGTCAAATTTGCAGACTCGCTGACTATCACTTGTTTGAAACGTAATCCGCGGACTTCCATATCTGGTTGGATAGACTGTTGCATTCGAGACGAGAATTTGGGTAGAATCTGAAGAATCGCCACGAGGGTTATCGTATCACCACTGGATTACTAATCTCATCCGCGACACCAAACCCGTTAGCTTACGGTACCATATCCGATCCGTCCTGATTTCTTGTTTGTATCAACGACGCGGCTGCGATCATTTTGCCCCGGCGTTGACTGTGTCCATGTCATGCGCATGTCTCTGAGAAAGCCTGAAAGCCCTCGTGATGTACCGAGCGGCCAAAGGAGCCATGATCACCTGAATTAGCAGCACAGGGAATCTTCCTACAGGTGCAAAAATTGACCAGGTGTGAGGCCTCTTCTCCTTCTGTCTGCCACCGGGCGCAGACCAATGGTTCATTTTCAGCGCGGTTATATAGTTCGAGACAGTCTTGCTAGTGCCAGTCTCCAGTGTATAATGAGAGGTGCCGTATGATCTACCGCAAGCAGTCTTCGACAGACCACCCAACATTTATCATAGAGGGATTTTCGTTTTTCAAGGGCAGGGGAGAAAGACTGGTTTGGCTAGCTGTTTGGGAGTTAGATGGTAAACCAATTATCACGGCGTTATTTCGCCATTTGGCCACCCAGCATTGGTATTGGCTCGAAATATATCATGGCACGACTTCATGTTAACATACATTCGGGTCATCAGTGGCTGTGTCCATGGAAACTGTGAGACCTCCCCACTATAACCTTTTCCTTTTCTGGACATATCCCGAGGATTATCCCAATCATTCGGGGACTAAAGTGCCACGAAACCTAGTAGTAAAAACCCTGGACAGGAACTAAGAGGCATATGGCTAACTCTATTCTGGGGAGGTCTTCATATCTCTGCGCCAGGCAGTAGCTGCCAAGAATGGTTGTCCACAATATTTCGTTATACAAAGTACATACAAATCGCCGCTTGGACCCACTTTACCTTCCTCTTCTGTCGAGAATGCGAGGTTGAATCGGCGCATTGGAGAAGGTTTCGGCTAGCTTATGGCACCTCCGACGTACTTGAAGTCTGTGATACCCTGATAGTCAAAATACACCTGCTAGTAAGCAATCGTCACGCGCGGCCTCTGAAATTCCCAAGACGCAGACTTCTGCTGACTATCAAGACTAACCACAAGATGGAGAATTTGGCCTCGGATGCGACCGACATGTCACGGTTCGACGCATTTTTCATCATCTCCGTCGGCTATAAAACAGTTGGCGACCATACAATCACTGTGGATGTGCTCTATCCCAAGACCTTGAACGACTCAACGCAGCAACACAAGTCACCCTCCGGCCCCCGACCAGTCCTACTTCGCTACCACGGTGGTGGCCTTATTGCGGGCTACAGTCTCTTTCCTCCATTCTTTAGCCCTTGGTATCTCGAATTAGCGCAGGAGTATTCAGCCATCATTGTTTCTCCAAATTACCGACTGTTGCCAGAATCTTCTGTACTGGATGTGCTTGAGGATGTGGAAGACCACTGGCATTGGATGCATCAATCGCTTCCCGCACTACTGCAGCGGGAAACAAAAGGTACCGTGGAGGCAGACTTGAGGCGTATTATGACCGTAGGCGACAGTGCCGGCGGATACCTCAGTTTGCAAATGGCTTTAAATCACCCAGACGAGATTCGGTCGGTCAATGCCGTTTATCCTATGGTTAACCCGAAAGCATCCTACTTCAGCAGTGGCCAGGAGCGACCTGTGTTCAACCTCCCGACTTATCATCCTGATACGCTGAGATTGCACCTAGACCGTGTTAGGAGACAGGAGGCAGTCACGCAGAAGCCTGTGATTGTATCTGCTGCTGCTGACGCTGATCGATTCCGCCTAATGTTTGCGGCATGCCAGCACAGCCAGCTAGGGCAAATCTTCCCAGAAGCCCCCATTACCCCCTATCTGCTTGAAAGGCTCGATGCCGGAGCACGCTTTCCACGTGGTGGAGTCTTGATACTTCATGGACGAGATGACAGCGTGGCCCCTGTCAAAGAGAGCTATGCATTACAGGGAAAACTTGCCCAGGTTGACCCCGACCTCAACTTTCGACTTGTTGTGCGGGATGGAGAGCATGGGTTTGACCATCTTGCCAAATTACATGATGATTGGTTATGGGATGCGATTCAAGACATTGTTAGATCCTGGTTAGACTGAGTATTTAAGATTCTACTGAAGGCCAGAAACGTGCTCCTTCAATATTTGATCTGTAGGTACGGAACAATTAACTACCCGCCAGACTTGAAATGATGTATCGGGTCTATATGGATAGCAGACGGATTTATAAGTTCACACATGTAGTATTCGGTGGGTAAATAGGGGCTTGAATAGAGCAGCAAGCTACCTAGATGGTGCCTGGCGACCGCTACCGTACTAGGCTGGTGTATTTTCGTTCTCTTCTTCACCATATGTATCTCACAATTGTTGTTGCTTTTACTAGAGTTCTTGAGTTACATGCTTGTCGCGGTGTAGCTGTTCCTCAAAATGAGGGTTTTTATTGTTTATGGTGTGTTTTCCGCTGCTGATGGGTAATTCAACCAGATAGGAAGAAGATCTTTCATGTAAAATGTGACCTGTTTTAGCTGCTTCAGGGGAGATGAGATTGAGTCTCAATTTCTGTTAGGTGCTCTTGTGTGCCTTGTTTATATTAATATAATACTATCTATAGATGAGGGTTGAGTATGTTTGACGAAGCATAATGGAAACAGGAAAGAAAGGCTTTGGTGCGCAAGAAATTCAAATATATCAGGCATATCAGCCAATTCCATCCCAGGTGAGCTACACCTCGACACACATCGGAAAGAATCCCTCCAACGCATCACAGGATTAAATGTGCCCAATTCCACAATTCTTAGGAACATAACCGCGAGCATCCGTCGCAGAGCCAGCCGGTGCAATAGTCAGTCCAGCAAAGTCACTGAAAAAACCAGTTTCGGAGCTGCTAAAAGCACCAGACTTGCTGTAGCCATTCGGCTGGCAAGCGCGGCCCAAGGCAGACTTACAGAACGCGGCGTTGGCTTCGCTAGCGCTGAAGAGCTGGTTCTCGGGCTTGGCGGGGGCCACCTCGACAACATCTTCGAAGAAGCATCCCTCAAAGATACCACGGCCCTTTTCACCGCCCTCGATGGCGTGTCCAGGGATGGAGGACCAGACGCTGTTGACTGCGTGGAAGAGGGTTGTGCCGGAGAGGGCGGGGCCACGGCCGGTGGTGTGGTAAACGTAGTTGTCTGATGAAGAGTTAACTCAGTTAAATGTATGTATCATTAGGTTTCTCGTTAATACATACTCTGGAAGGTAATCTCGTCTCCTTTGCCAACTAGCTCCAATGTCCAGTAGTGGTGGTCATCACAGCCCGCAGAGTGGGTGGTCTTGCCGTTCAGGAAGTTGTTCGACCAAGTCATGCGGGTGTTGGGGTGGAAGCCGGTAACGTAGTGTTGGCGTCCGATGAGAGAAGTCTAATTCATCAGTCAAATTAGTAACTCGGCTATGAATATCAGGAAACGGAGATATCTGTCTTACCTCGCAGTGGTCGATCCAGATCAGGTCAGCGCCGAAGAAAGTAAACGCGTCGCCACCCCAGACAAAACTGTATTTAAAGACATTAGAGAATTGGTGTGTTATAAAGCATGCGACAGCTTGTAGTCTTGGGATGATACATACCCAGGGTTGAGATCCGTAATCTTAATGTTCTGAACAATGATATTGGAGACACCACCCTCAAAGTAGAGCCCTTTTCCACTGAGCACGCCTTTGTCTCCCTCACCAACAAGAGTCTTGTTGGACTTGATATGAATGCCATTCTTGGCAGCCTTATCATACGTAACGGTTACAGCGGGATTTTTACCACACCATCCATTGGAGTTGATGGCCAGCTGGCAGGCCTTCCCCATACCCCAAGGCGCGCATCCATCTTCGGTCGTGGTTCCCTCGGTTCCGATGAAGTCGAAGGTCTTGGTGAGAACGACGACTTGGGGTTCGTCACTCTCGAGTAGGGAGACAAGCTCCTCGTTGGTTTTGGGGTAGCTGGGGGTTGTATCGCCACCGCCAGTCACGCCGGCTGCGAAACCCTGTGCGGCACCTTTGACCACACTTGCGCTGGCCAAGGCGGCATTAAGACAGAGAAGATGTAGGAATGAGATCTTCATGGTAATATGGATTGAAAAAGTAGAGATTGGTTTGAAAAACAGGAGTATTGTCCAGAGGTCCAAACCTTCATCCTTATGTACTTCAGGTCACCTAGCAATATATCAAAGCCAAGGATTGAGTTTTGCCGAAGAAAAGAACCCCAGTAGGTACAGGGGCCACTGTTGTTACAAAGTGATCATAGTTCCTCCAGCCAAGAACTATTCTGCCCCACTGTAATGCAACCGAATGCACAAGTAGGGAAGGCCTGCAGTGACAGTTGTTTCAGGTATATGTTGTCCATATCACACAATCCTCTGAATGGAGTTTGTCTCATATCATTACAAGGACTCAATGTAGTGACCATTTTTAAGATACTTGGAAAGGATCACAGGCTTCGCCATATTCTGTGGTAAGTCAGACACTGAAGACTCACCGTACACATTCATTGGTTTGTGTCGGTTGTTTCCCCTGAGTAAGCTGTCAAATCAACCTTGAATTACAAGTCTTGGAAACAACCTGAACATATTTCTTAGACGGTGGCTTTTTTTCACAACAATTTGCTGGCTTGTTTGGTTGACACTGACGCCATAACCAACTGACATGGGGTGGGTCTGCAAGACCCTGTAAGAACTAACTTGAAGAAGTGAATTCCTGGAGAACCCTGACCCACCCTCCCGAGACAGCCACGCGGCTTTCCGCTCAACAGCCGAACGGGATGTAACCCGTCATGGCTCAGAACAAACAGACCATGCATATATGTCACAACTCTACATATAGCTCCTTCATTTCAGAATTCCTTATAATCACATTTCATTGCAAGGATGCGTATCCAGGTTATGGAAGCGCTACAACCGAACCGCTCAATGTCTCAGGTATCTCTACTACCGATCCTTCTCATACTAACGAACCTATTTATGGGGGCTACATCGCGGGGAATACTCGGACCCAGTCGGTGATATTACACGCAAAAACTGGAAATTTTCCGAGTAGCTCAATCCTTTCCTTATAACCAATCTATGAAGATCTAGAAGAGGGCACTCTACGAGCTCAGGCCGAGGATGTCAGCTTTTGTGGCCCCTGTCACATGTTTTACACTTAATTTGGCGAACCAGTGGGTGAAAATGTAGAGAAGACGGTCAAGGGATAGCATAGCTAACTTTCAGTTCTCGGCCGTCCTCGAGTCTTGGATCATCACGTTCGAATTGAGGGTGTATGTTCCAGGCATCCGTGTTCTAGTTACAGTAGGTGTGAGGATCGGTTAGCAGTAGACTCTAGCAGATGAAGACCACTGATGATATAAAAGGTCGCACGTTGGCAGGTGCACCTGAATGTCCACTTCCCGCCAGCATTGTCGTACAAAAATGAGGTGTCCATGAAATTCGCAGTGAGATTGAAACAATTTGGAGAGTTGAGCATCGTGAGCTCGGAAATGGTGGCATGATGCAGTCCGTTCGTGCCCAGAAGGCAGGGAGGATGACACTGGAATCCTGAGCAATCGCACCACCAGAACCAAACGGCTCTTAGAGTAGGACATCAAGATCAATAAGCTAATCACAATGAGTTCAATGATAGAAGAGGAATTCTTCACCATGAACCACCCCCTTTCCATTGCCATAGATGTTCACGTTATCGGCTAGAAATCGCCAGAACCGACTCGCAATCTGGAACGAATATTGTAATGCCTCGGTTGTCCAGAGATTGAGATGCTTTTCTGAAAGGAAAATTTCCTAAACGGCAAAATCAATGAGGCTGGTGATCAATAACCAGAAGGATTATTGAATTCATGATTATAAAATTCGCGGGACGTGCCAGCTGCTCTCGTGCGCAAAGTTTTCCCATACTTCTTGACAGTTGGAGTCAACAAGGTCAATGCCAGTTACGCTGTGGAACTCGAGCACATCGACATATGTAATCAAAAACCTTTATAGTTGAACATTTATTCCTGCTTTTGTAAAGGATAAGCACATACGACCACAGGGTGTGGAAAATAGGGCTTCCCGTCCGCTCAGCCGTACTCAAGCCACACGCCGGGAGGTTAGTAGTTGGGTGGGTGACCACCAGCGAATCCCTTCTGTTGTATGTTTTTGGGTTTATTTTTGTCGACGATAGTTAAATTTCTAAATAGATATGATATTACGGGAGAATAAAGATCTGCATCCCACGAAAATCGGATAGGAAGAGGCGATAGCCGAGTCCAAATAGCACACTTCAGTAGGATGTGTAGTTTTCTTCTGTTTTCAGTTGAGCCCATGAACTATACGTACCGTTTTCATCATTGTAATCTCCGAATGCTCCTAGATCGTAAGACTTCCACCGCTTTCCACTCCAGTCAACATCTGGCCTTCCAACGGTAGATCACCGCATTGCCAGTAAGCAGACAACATATCTTAGGAACAATCTTGGTAATACCAATGAATGAATAACATTCTCAACTTGCAGCTTACGCCCATAGAACGACCCGTTATGCGGCAGTCAGCACTTGCTACACCTTCCTCTCGACATCAACAGGGTGAGATTAAAATGGCATAATGTATAACATCTGTATTCAAAACCAAAGAAGCTTCTTACTATCAAAGCCAATTGTATTTCACCTTGGCCCTCCAAGAAACTTGGTCAATAGATCTCACTAAGCAGACCATGAACAATGGTTTGGGACTAATAGCCGCAGCAACCGGCTGAACAATCCAAATATGATCTTCTTTCCGCCATTATCTCTATTATGAAGTTAGAGGACATTTGAGAAAACGGTCAGACTTCCATTGAGAAGTTGAGAATTTCTTCGTGAGTAAATTCCCGTCATTGGAGGACCTTTCTCAGTCTGTAGCCGATAGCCGAAAGAAACAGAGGTCATCCAGTATGACCTACTCTTAAAAGTAAGAATATTCAACCCAAGTTGGCACTTTCCTAATGCTAAGGCTTTGCAAATCAGGCAATCTCTCCAACATAATCCGCTATCCGACAGGAAATTTCCAGGCATAATTCAGGTTTACCTGCCTGTAGTGAGACGAATGTTGCGGAAACTGCCACATCAAATTGATATATTGCCAAGCAAGTGCTACCTACATAACATATCAGAAGGCGATATCATCACTTTAAAAAGATATAAGAAGCCCCTCTTCACCCTGCACTTTGGGAATTAGAACAGATCGTTCACTCTCATCTTCCTCAACGACTACAGCCAAACGATCCTCTCATCCACCATTCCAACAACGCCCAAGACGTACACCCATCACCATGCCTATAGTTGTCCCCGAAATCAATTATGTCCCCAGCACCCTCCTGCACTCGACCAGCCACCTCAAAATTGAATACCTGGAGCTATGCGGAACTAAGCCCGAAGCAACGCCAGATTACATTCCCGGCACCAACCTCCAGCTCCTCACCAACATCTGGACACTCAAAATCCAAACCAAAAATGACCCGGACACTAACACCGGCGCTATCAGTCTCATCCTTGACCTCTCACCCCTCGGACACAGCAGTCCCTGCCGCATGCATGTCACAATCACTGACGAGCCCCGCGGCCCCGCTTATGCCGATGAAAGACAAATCATGAAGCGCGTGCGCCTCCATGAAGTCGAATATACTGTCGGGGGTCTTTGTAATCTGATCGTTGCTAATGACCTTGATAGATATAACTATACCAGTGATCGTTTTTATCTGCATAACAGGCATTGGTTCAAGAAGCTTATTGAGGAACTTGGGGGAAATCAGAGAATAAAAGAACAGGAAGTGAGGGATGCTCAAAATGCTGTCTCCTTTGTTTGGAAGGGGCCAGGAACTGACCCAAACAATCACGTGGATATTGCAGTCGGGGCTACCATGGTGAGGGGCACTATTGATCGTCGTGAGAGAGAGGACCTTGGTTTCTGATGGTATGAATGAGGATGACTTGGGGGGGCAATGTGTGGCTTGCGTGTGTGGTGCTTTATAGTGGTTTTGGTTTTTAGGCTAGGGTACTAAATTGTTGTAATGCCTAGGAATCGGATTCTTGAATTATGAATTGTGCAGTAACTTAAAAGATAGCAGTAGTGGTCGCGTAGTCTCTTTCGGAGGTAAATTGCTGTAAAAATTATCAACGAAATTGCTAACGAGCCCTGTGTCTGGTTTGTGTATATCCTGATTATATGTCTGATGGGCTGTACTCCAACAGCATATTCTTTTCTTACTACTCCAATGATTAATATGTGAGATGTGAGGTGCTAAGCCAAAACATTTATACATCTGCTGATTACTATAACTATATGCTAACCTTATTTCTTTTTAATCCCATCAACCCTCAAAGTTAACGGCTCGCCCTCCCTATCCCACGACACAAGCATACTCTTTGAGACCTTTTCCATCTCAGCTTCCCCAAGTGTCTGCAGGTCCAGATGCTCAGGCCCCTGCGTCACCCGACAAGCTAACAGCGCCAGCGCTGATGACTTCCACATCCCCACTCCTTTAGCCCTCGCAGTATGAGCGACAATCAATATCAAAAACAAAATCGACAAGATCGTGATCACGATCGGAGCCGCGGCCCAATACCAGCGCACAGATATATACGTCTCCGTGGTAAATGCCTCCCCTGTGATCGTGGTGCTATTCGGCCCAGCACGAATCCCCTTCGTAATGCCGACGGCAACGTTCTTCATAACGGGGCTGGCGTCTTTCCCCTCCTGCACAGAATACGTCCACCCAGCTTCAATTTGGTCTGAGAGGGATATGGTAGATGTGAAAGAGTTGAGGATCTGTAGCACGGTATTTCCTGAGATGGTGTAGTTACCATTGGTTGCGAAGTTTGGGGTTGAGCTGTTTAGTGGAGCCAGCTCGTTGGGGTAGAACATTTGGAAGTATTTGTTTTTCGTAAAGAGCTGCTCCGTCTCGGATGCTTCGAGTGATTGGTAATCAGAGGTGTAACTGTTGTTGGTGTATCTCTGGGCGCAGAAATACAGGGCGCATTCAGTGATTCGTGGCTTTGGTTCCAAGGCAGTGTGGTTTTCGGCGGTATAGATTATGTTCGGATTGTCGTATATCGCCGCTGCCAGGCCAACTATCGGGTTCAAGATTCCAGCAACCCGGGGTCCTTGGGAACTGCTGAGATTTAGGCGATCTGTGTCCGTATTGGCGAATGTCCAGGTTTCCTTCTCGAGATCAACTGCAGCTTCGGATCCAATGTCTACCGTGGCCGCTTCAAAGATGTCTGGCGTTATCTGTAAGTCTCCCGGCGTGGTATATGTGCAGTTTGGTTTGGCCCCTTGATAAGCCGTGCCATTGAAAAAGCTCGCGTACGAGCTATTTGAGGAGAGAGACGTGCAACTCTGCACCGATTGCAAGGTAACATCCTGGCATTTGCTGCATGCCCCCAGAGTGTCAAAAGTGGGAAACTTGCACGAGCCTGTACTGCAGGTCGGCTCCTGGGTATTGTCTGACCCATAGATGCTTTGGAGGATAAGGAGACTCATAGTATTGTCACTGTTTGCGTTACCCGGTACGTAGGCCTGAGCGGTTTGTAGTGAAGCCGTCTCATTCAAAGCGGGAACAATACGAGAAGGAAAGGTGAGAATCTGCTGGGTCAAGGGATCGAGTGCGGCCGAAAGAATTAATGTAACTGCGCCGAGAGTAGCCAGGCTGGGACGGTTGGTGGTGATCAGTTGCAAAGAACCCCAGATGCCTTGGCTGGCCTGATCAAGAGCGTATAGATCGTATAGCCGTCTTTGGCTGCGATAATAATTCCATTTGAGTTGACTGAGACAAACTCCGACCGGGAATAGCAGTGTAGCTCTATTGGCGGTTGCTATCACCGCGACCACTGCGTTTGGAGAGACTCTGTACGCCCAGTCGGCATAGGGCATCCCATCCAGGTGGTTTAGCAGCACGATCAGAATGACCACACATGCAACGCTCAATACGGATGCACCAATTTCCCATCCCCAGGATAACAAGCCGGTAGGGGCTTTGCTCTTCTTCATAGCCGACCCATGAATCTCTGGGGGACCCTCAACTTCACGAAGTAAATATTTCTTGGACGACCCATAGTCGGTGATTGGGTTTCTCTGGCAAGGATATGTTTCTCTTGAGTCGGAGCGGGAATGTTCGCGATCGGATTCTGGTCCACGAAGGCAGCGCTCCAGAGACCCGTTAGATTCTTCCGATGGACGGACTGGACTTGGAGGGCGGGAGACCATGTTCGAGCCCAATTATTCTTTGTCTTCTCAGACCACAGGATGAGGTCGTTGTTGTACCTCCCTAATAATCTGCGGGGAGTGAGAGTACTATATGGGACAGCCTTGCAGACCCTCCTCAGCCGGAGGGCTTAGCGCTTATTTCCCTGCCACGCACTAGTCGATCCCTCAACACTGTCAGCGAATGAACAGCTACAGTGCTTCAGACCCTCTTGATGGATCTTACCATCTTATATGAGCCACTTTCTTAAGTGTCTTGGCTCTCATCTTACTTGGACCCTCCCTCCTTTTTAGGAAGTCAATCTCACTCACCGTACATCTTTTGTCCAGCTGGCACAGCCCGGTTGCTTGACTGGGCTAGGGTCTAAACTGAAAGAAAACGAAGATTGGAAATGTGAGGCTGAAAGAGCTTCTAATCGATCTCTGCGAAGTTCCTCCTGTCCGGTGTGATGCCGGTACTATTTTCCGTGTCTACATCACGTGTAGTGGGCGTTGTTGATCTCGAACCCTACGGTCGAACTTACAGGTTCTTTTTTTCGGCAACCATACTATTCTCTGATGCAGCCAGTGAAGACTAGAAGCAAAGTAACGCTCTGAATGCGCGCAGATTTTGCTATTACGATATAAAAAGGTAACCAAAAATAAAACAGAGTATTGACATTGGATGGTCAAAATAGAAGTCAAAGTCAGAACAGCACAAAATACAGATTTTGCCCTTATTCTCGTGGTCAATATACCATCTGTAAGGTTTTGTGCCTTCTTGTTTGTCGTAACCGTTCTCTACAATGATGAATTCTTCTGCGTCCGAGTTTTCCTGCGTTCGCGGTAATCTTTCGGTCGGGCGAGATGCAAGGGGCCAGATTTCCCGAGGAATGCGATCCTTGTGAGAGCCAGTGCTATGGAATCTTTGGCTTAGATGTCTCACGAATCTACTCTAAGACATACCGTATCTTGGTCCTTAAATGCTGTGGATCCAGCCAGCCACATAGTTTATACTATATAATCGCGTTGGATCCAAGGTTCTTCCCTTTCGAACCTAAGCCTCAGACCCCACATTCAAAATGTACTTGTCCCGTTTCCTCACGGCTGTGGCCCTAAGCTCAGGTACGAGTGCCTCAAGAAATTCTAATCATTCCAGAACTAACAGTCACGCAGTCCTAGCCACCGCAGATATCGTCACCTACTCCCCTCCAACCGAACCGGGCCTATCCTACAGCATCACCATCCCAGATACCACTGCCGCCGCTGGCTCCGGCCCCATCTACCTACAAATATCTGCCCCCACAACTCTACAATGGGTCTCCTTAGGCGAAGGCGCCCAAATGGCCTCTGCGAACCTCTTCATTCTTTGGGCCGCCTCTTCCACGGAAGTCACACTGTCACCGCGTTCCAGCTTGGACGGTGGCATGAGTGAACCTCAATACAACTCCCTTGCAAACGTTACTCTCCTCGCCGGCTCGGGGATTAACAACGGCGTGATGACCTCCAACATCCGCTGTGATAACTGTCTCTCCGCCTGGCCAACTCCCGCTGCACCTCCGAGCAATCCCAGTTCTGTGTATACCTTGGACCCTAAGGGTACTTCAACACCTTGGTTCTGGGCTTCTTTTACTGGATCGCCGTTGAACAACCCTGACCCTTCGGCCGACCTGGCGATGCATGATGATTTAGGTTCCATGCAGCTCGACTTGAGTCAGGCACAGTTCTCTGCCGCGGAGGCTACGACTGATCCATCGTACAATCCCTTCCAATGAGCTTGACGTGTGAAGCATGAATCAAACTTCTAAGATTATAGAGTATATTGGAAGAACTTGTGATAGAGACTTTCAATTTTTATATCGATGTGTCCCGACTCAGCGCCAAGAGAGAACGGTGCTATTTAGGTGTCAAGAATGCTTACCTCCTCAGGCAGCAGCTCCGGCCTTTGAAACGGAAACCATATGGGTGGGGCGCTCATCCGGCTTTTGAATCTTCCGTAGTCGCTTGTTCTGCCCCTACAGATGGGGTAAGTAGTACATAAGCTTCATGACAAATCGATCTAATTATTAGTAGTTGTAGACATTGTAGACTCGCCCTTACACAGGCAAACAAGCGCATGCATGTCTTTCGCATTACTGTACCTTCCAGTAAGTAGTATACCGTGCCCAGATGTCCTTGGTACATATTTTTACTGCTAGTAAAACGTTCGAAGCCTCCATAAGCAGTATGCCTCCCAAAGGGAGCAACTAAAATATATCCAAGATTACGGAGGACCGACGCTGGCATCGCCAATCTATCTATCCCAGTATAGTAATTATGTGCTTACTGGAGGACTGAAGTCGTCTAATATGATATTTATAGTCGTCCAGGAATGACTAATATCAACTCATTATCACGCATCAACATGGCGATCCCACTCGACTGACTGGTAGGGCAGCTGTAGGCCAATCGGCGTCTGAAACTCGGTGTTTGAAACCGGGGACTAAGCATTTCAGTGGAGCAACTGCGTCTCACGTGACCATCATACAATAGTATATATTGTTCAATAGTCTTTGCCAGAAACCCAGCTTTGCCATGATTCAGATCTTATATTGCTTGAAGACTTGCATCTGTACCATTTAGACAGACTTTAAGTCAGACCAATCAAAGATGTCCCTAGTCCCCGACTTCATGATCCCACGCCCTGCCACAGACGACTACTACAACCTGGGCACATACACTCGACCCATCAGCACTACAAGCCAAGATGCGCAGATCTGGTTTGACCGCGGCCTCATCTGGTGCTACGCCTTCAACCATGCCGAAGGCTACCGATGCTTTGAGCAGGCCATAGCCCACGACCGCAACTGCGCCATTGCCTACTGGGGCCTGGCCTACGCAATGGGGCCAAATTACAACAAGGCCTGGCGTCTATTCGATTCAGTTGACCTCAAAAAGAGCATGAAGCTATGCCACGAAGCTGCACGCAAGGCTCAAGAGCTATGTAAAGCAGCTTCTGTCACTCCGGTTGAGCGCGCACTCATTGAAGCCATGCAAACTCGCTTCCCCGTTGACCACCCCGCCGAAGACTACGATCACATCAACCACGCCTACGACGCAGCAATGAAGAAAGTGCATGACCAGTTTCCGACTGATCTCGACGTCTTGGCTCTCTATGTAGACGCAAAGATGCATACGGCCCAGCGCAAGATGTTCCACATCAAGACTGGTCTCCCTATCGAGACATCCCCCGTTTACGACGTGCAGAAGCTCTTCAAAGATGGCTTGGCCCTTCCTGGCGCGGATACCCATCCGGGTCTGCTTCATTTCTGTATTCATTTCTGGGAAATGTCCGCCACTCCTGCCGTTGCGCTCCCTCCAGCGGATGCTCTACGCCATCTCGTCCCTGACGCTGGTCACTTGCACCACATGCCTACTCATCTCGATGTTCTGGTTGGCGACTACCGTCGCTCAGTCGACTCGAATACCGCAGCAGTCCAAGCGGACGAGAAATTCCTCGCCCGCGAAGGTGCGAAAAACATGTACAGCTTCTACCGTCTTCACAATTACCACTCGCTCATCTACGCGGCGATGCTCTCCGGTCAGTCCAAAATCGCGCTGAAAGCCGTAGACCAGATGGAAGCCTCAATCACAGACGATGTCCTCCGGGTCGACTCCCCACCGCTAGCAGACTGGCTTGAGTTCTTCAAATCAGTACGCGTTCACGTTTACGTCCGCTTCGGACTCTGGGAAGAGCTCAAAGCACTTCCAATCCCTGAAGATCAGGACCTCTACTGCGTCACCACAGCCATGACGCACTACGGCAAGGCAATTGCGTTAGCAGCCACAAACAACGTCCCCGAAGCTCTGGAAGAGCGCACCCTCTACGAAGCGGCTGCTAAAAGGGTTCCCCCTAGTCGGAAAGACTACCCGAACCTCATCATTGATATTCTGAAGGTTGCGACGGCCATGCTAGACGGTGAGATCGAGTACCGTCGTGGGAACTTTACGCAGGCGTTTGAAAGCCTTCGCGAGGCAATTCGTCATGACGATGCGCTGATGTATACCGAGCCTTGGGGCTGGATGTTACCTACGCGTCATGCGTATGCGGCCTTATCGCTGGAGCAAGGCCATGTGGAGGAGGCTGCGAAGGCGTATGCGGAGGATTTGGGTCTAGATGCGGAAATTACTCGGGCGCATCAGCATCCGAATAATGTGTGGGCGCTGCATGGGTATCATGAGTGTTTGGTGAGGTTGGGACGTGGAGCAGAGGCGCTTATCATTAAGCAGCAGTTGGATGTTGCTTTGAGTGTGGCTGATGTGGACATTAAGTCTTCGTGCTTTTGTCGGTTGAGTGTGCAGGGGTCGCAGTGTTGTTCATGAGTTTGTTCGGGTGTATATACATGAGTCTTATAGTGGAAAGCTTTGTGTTCGATTGATTGACTCGTGAAGATAATATGGTCAAGCCGTGTTCTTAGCTAAGACGTTGAATCACAGGTGGCCGCGAATAAGATCTATCCCATTGAAGGGAGTCATCAAGAGTCACGTATCCAGGCGTCTGTGAGTCCCTCCAGTATACTTTCATCCAGCCAACATCCTGCTCTGTACATCCTTCTAGTGGCTCCTCTTCTGGATCAGGTCCCCCGCGTTCTGCCAGCTCTTCCTCATCCAATTCTTCTGGTTTCCATTCAGCATTGACCAGACGAACAAATCCTCCATGTATATCATTATCTGGCGTACTCAGGATTGAATCCAACGCTTCTTGATCTACCATAATAAAAAAGCGGTATCTACCGTTTTTCAAATGCCATAAGTGCCTGGGATCAATTTCTTGTTCCTGTTCCTCTTTCACTGCAGTCACAGCCCACTTATTAAATTTATCACGTAATGAGGCCACTGTCATACCCTCAAAAGATCGATCTTCCAAGACTGTTGGAGTAAATCTGGCAAGAAGATCTAGACCATTATAATACTGAAGATATTTTTCAACACGCTTGTAGAATCGGATCATTAGTTTCTCCCAGTCAGAGTCACTTTGATATGTG